CACAGAAAAGCTTTCCGAGTTAAAATATATGCAATTTCGGCTTATTTATGATGTCCGAAAAACTTAGATTTGGTATAAAAATTGTCTGTTTTTATACCTTTTTGAAGAATATAATTTAAGTCCGAATGAACGAACGTAATGAAGGAGTCATTTCCGACCCCATAAACCATATATATTCTTGATCAGCATCGAAAGCTGAATCAATCTAGCCATGTCTGGGCAAAAAATAAAATTTCGACATCATTTCGATTTTTGCGAAAAATCATAAGGGGTTACATCATTAAAATTGCGAAAATTGGCAAAAAATTGAATCTTCTAAAATCTTAAATGGAGTATGCAGATTTATTAACCTAACAAAAACTAGCATAGAAAAGCTTTCCGAATTAAAATTAATGATTTTTTGGCTTAGTTATGAGTTTTTTAAACTATGATTTTTTGACAAAAATTGTCTGTTTTTATACCCCTTTGCAGGGTTTTATTATTTAAGTCAGAAACTTATATTTGCATCAACAAACGCAGTATGCAGATTTGTTAGTGCTTTAAAAACTCGCACAGAAAAGCTTTCCGAGTTAAAATATATGCAATTTCGGCTTATTTATGATGTCCGAAAAACTTAGATTTGGTATAAAAATTGTCTGTTTTTATACCTTTTTGAAGAATATAATTTAAGTCCGAATGAACGAACGTAATGAAGGAGTCATTTCCGACCCCATAAACCATAAATATTCTTGATCAGCATCGAAAGCTGAATCAATCTAGCCATGTCTGGGCAAAAAATAAAATTTCGACATCATTTCGATTTTTGCGAAAAATCATAAGGGGTTACATCATTAAAAATTTCGAAAATTGGCAAAAAATTGAATCTTCTAAAATCTTAAATGGAGTATGCAGATTTATTAACCTAACAAAAACTAGCATAGAAAAGCTTTCCGAATTAAAATTAATGATTTTTTGGCTTAGTTATGAGTTTTTTAAACTATGATTTTTGACAAAAATTGTCTGTTTTTATACCCCTTTGCAGGGTTTTATTATTTAAGTCAGAAACTTATATTTGCATCAACAAACGCAGTATGCAGATTTGTTAGTGCTTTAAAAACTCGCACAGAAAAGCTTTCCGAGTTAAAATATATGCAATTTCGGCTTATTTATGATGTCCGAAAAACTTTGGTTTTTCAATAAAATTGTCTGTTTTTAAACCTTTTTGCTGGGTATAGTTTAAGTCCGAATGAACGAACGTAATGTAGGAGTCATTTCCGACCCTATTAACCATATATATTCTTGATCAGCACCAACAGCCCAGTCGTTCTAGCCATGTCCGGTCGAAAAGTAAATTTTTGTATTTTTTTTCGAAAATTGAAAATTTCATAAGGGGTTACATCATTAAAATTGTCAAAATTTGACAATAAATTTAATTTGTTAAATTTGAAAACTGAGTATGCAGATTTGTTAATCTATTAAAAATTAGCATAGAACAGCTGCTTTCCAAATAAAATTTAATGCTTCTTAGGCTTAGTTATGGTGTTTTATTATTATATAGAAACCTTGATTAATATTAATTCAAAGAATGCGAATTTTTTAAGCTAATATTCATATTCGATACGGGCCTATAATCTAATTGCAAATGGGAAAGGTATATAAACTGCAGCTTCCCGAAGTTAGAAATAAATGACGACACTTCATTTTTTGTTTCTCAGTGTTTGTATTTTTTTTCTTTTTTTCGTTTTCCTTTTTGTTTTTATTATAATATTTTTATTTTAATATGTATGCCATATATTACACATTCAATTATTATGTATAACTGCTGTTTTGTTTGCTTGCTTCGCTTGCTGCATAGAGAGAGATATTATTATATTTTTCATTATAATTAGTTTTATAGTTTTATTTTTGCTAAACATATGCGATTTGTTTTGTTATATATAAACTCTTTCTCGTTTTTTGTAGTTGTTACTTTACAGTTGTTTATCAATGTGGTTTTCTGTCGGTACAATTGCATAATATATTTATACGTGTGTGTATATGCATGTACCTGATCTTTATTTCATTAATTACTCCTCATTCTTACAGATTTTCATTTTTCGTTTTCAATGTTTGTTTAACAGACAGGTTTTTGTTGTTCTTGTGTTATGTTTGTTTGTTTGCTGTTTGTTGTTGATGTTCTTTTTTCTACTGATAACAATGTGCGTAAGCAATCTTTTTTAAATGGTAGTAACTAAAAGCAGAATTTTCAGGGGAAAAAAATCAAAAGAAAAAAACGAAATAATTAAGGAAATTATAAGAAGAATCCATAGGGCTGGCAGTGCCACAAATAGTAAAGATGAATAAAGGAAAGGCTGTCCCTCAACGATATAGTATATATATATAGATATAGCTAAATGTATGTACAGTGGTCTCTGTTGTTGAGGTGGATAGCATTCCCTTTAAATGAAAACCGTTTAAATATGTGAAAATTAAACTGAAAATGATAGTTCTAAGCTGGGTTTCACTGTGTTATGTGGGTGTAGATGGATTTGTAAGGGGAATACATATTTTTAGATATATATATAGCTATTGTAAATATAACAAGGTGTGTGTGTGTCATATATGCGCTGCTGCTTAAGTATACAAAAATAAATAACTTAAGAACTGAGAGGTTTTACAATGTAACAATTTAATTTAATTTATTGTATTATTACTTACAAATTATTTAACATCAACAATGTTCTTTTTTTGTTTCTTTCTCTAAGCCCTACTACTCCTTGTCTCTTTGCTAATCATCCACTTCCTCCTCCTTCGCCTTCTACTCTTAGCCTGATCTGGATGTCGTCGCTGCGGTTGTGTGTGTGTGTGGAGGCTACTCTGGACCAGGTCATGGTCATGGTCTCTTGGCTCATTCCGTTTATTTTTGTTTACTTGTTTTTTGTCGCGCACAATTGATCGATTTGTCTCAATTGCCTAATATCACATCTCATTCACTCGGAAATCGCGACGCGACACGACCCACTCACCACTAGCTAGCTCCACTCCGCACCTCCTGTCTACGTCCACCCTTGCCCATTGATTCACCTAAAGCAGTCCAAGTCCGCACAGTCCCAGTCGGAGGGTCAAACTGTACAGTATAGTGTGTGTGAAGAGTCTCTCTGTGATGAGCACAACAAAAATCATTTGAGAACTATTTTAAAAAAATGTACGAAGTGTGATGGATGGATGCAAATGTTGGGGTTATAGTTGGGGGTTCTCTATCTTTGTCTCTGACTCTGGGTATTTTTTCAGTTTTTATTTTGTTTTTGAAGGGGAAGATACAAACTATCAGGAATGATGCACTAAAATCGCTGTGAACCAAAAATGATGTTTTAAAGTACGCAATGATAGTGTCATACATTTCAACAGCATTTTCATAGATTTCGAGTTTACAGCGATTTCTGTATGAGCATCCCTGCGGTATATAAGCTATGAATTTATTATAGTTACATTTTGTGTGTGTGTAGAGGCATGCTGCGAACCACTGAGCAAGGTATACTATCTGTGGATGTGTTTAGGAATAATTCTTGAACAGATCCCGGCCAGGATTTTTATGTAGAGGCAGTTGTGTTTGTATGAAGTACGGTGACTTGGGACACTTGTCTTTGAATTCTTGGCTCAGTGGTTCAGACGGTATGCCCTTTCGTATGTTACACAGTTTTGTTATATATATATATATGTACTATATATATATATATATATTTGTTAGTATAGGCACTTAGCATATTCGATTGTTTTCATAGAAACAAAATATATGTGGTGTATAATATATTGATTTTCAGTTTTTAGTTTCCATTCTCTTGATTTGTGTTTAGTTTTTATTTTTACATTTTAAATTTCATTTTGGTTGGAAGTCTTGCGTTTTTAGAGTTCATTTTTCATATTCTCCCTCTTTGTTTTTGATTTGATTTTGGATGCAAGTTTTGGGAAAACATTTTTCTGGTTTTGTTCACAGTGGGTTCCAAGTATTTTGAGTTAAAAATATAACAAAAATAATACGTTTTTCAGCGAATAAAAATAAAAATGATTAGTTTTAAATTTAAATTTGTTCTCAAATTATAGGGAAATGATGAAGAACTTATGTTTCTAAGTTAAGTGTGTGTTTGTGTGGGTGTGAATGTGGATGTGGGTGTGTTTGTGAGTGTGAATATCAATGTGTGTATACCTTAACTTAATTCTTATGCCCTAATCGTAGTGTTTTGTAGATATCGTGTACGCTCCTTAATTATACTGATTATTCCTTCTCTTTTCCTTTCTTTAGTTGCCAATTGATTTCTTATTTTCCGTAATGCCCCAAGTATTTAATTCACATGCGTCTCTTTAATTTGATTACAAAAAAAAATAAAAAAAAAATCATCAAAGCTCCACTAAAAATTATAATTTGTGCGTAAATTAAAATCAAGAATTAAAATTTTACATATATATCTACGATGAGCATCAATAATATTTGGGAAAAGGGCCTCTAAAAGGAAAGCAGCATCATATTTTTATCCAAATAGAATTCGATTGTTTTAAATGCCTATTTTGTGTACGTTGTCCTAAACCTCTCATAGAATTTCCGTGTTCTTTTTTTTTTAGTATAGTTTATGGCACCTTTTTGTTTATATTATGTGTATGTATTTGTGTGTGTGAGTGTATGTGTGTGTGTATGAGTGTAAAATACATATTGTTGCTTTGTCCTATATACAGAATTACTCGTAGAGTCATCTTTCTCGTTGAATATTTAACATTAGTTATGTGTCCTATGAGCTGAGCTGTTGAGCTACGCGTTTTGCAAGGATAAAGTTTAGTTTTTAGTAATGCATCTTCTCTTTTTCTTCCAACTCTTCTTAATTCATTTCTTTATCGTGTTGAAATATATATAGACGTCGTGTGAAACCATCAAACTGAGAAAATTGCGTTCATCATGTGTTTTTTTCGTTATGTAAAGAAATGCAATTTTAAAATGTATAAACTTTTCTTCCTTTTAGGTTTTTACCTTTGGAAAGGGGAGTCTGTGTCTGTGTGTTTGGGAAAGGAAGATATATTATAGCTTGACTGAGGGTTCCCTTAAGTCCTGAACTAAGTACGAGTATCCCCTCAATCAAGTGACGTTAAAATGTTTACAAATAATGCTTCAAAACAATATATATATATTACATATAATATATCTAAATAATAGGGACTAGCGGAGGAGACATAGCCAAGTATATAGGTAACATATACAAGCTACGCACTCGAATCTGTGGCGAAAAATTATGAGAAATAATGAATATTCCTAAACGTATATAATATATAACATAAAATCAACGTGAGTTCGTTCATTGATCAGCAAATAAAACCTAATATACGCTCCTGTTGCTGTAGGTTTAGTTTAGTTTGTTTTTTTGTCGTTCGATGCTGCATGTTTGGCTAACTATGCTCAGAAATCTTAGAACCTATTCACTCGGTAATCGTAATGATAGCTTAGGCATATATATTATTATATATTTATCTCTTGTCTTATCGTCGTCGTAGCTCCTCTACTGCTCATCTGCTTCGTTTTCATTACCCTTTTGAGTTTAGGTAACATTAGCTTAGTTAGATTAACATTAACTGATAACTGAATATATATATATATATATATATATAATTATATATTATATATATATATATGTTTATATACACACAGTGGCATATACGTATATATAGCTGGAGAAGGGGATGTGCACCATTCATTCATCAACGTCGTCCTTGCCTACTAAATATGATAACTGGTCCAAGCGTAGCCCACTGCTTCTTTTTCTCTATCTTCTCACTCTCTCGCAGCGGCCACAGCTGAAATTTTTTTTTTAAATATTAGCAAAGCAATAAAATACGGTATAAACCTAGACTCACCTTTTGTATGCCTCCTTAGATAGCTTGTAAATATCTATATATAGCACTTATAGATATATAATAACAAAAAGTTCTCCCGCTCGATATTTACACATGGAATTTCATTTATGTACAACAGGCGCACACAGAGATGCATCTTCCCTGCTAAGGGGTATCTGTCAACAGTTGCCTCCTTTGCTTTTGGCAACGCGGTTTTTTTTCTTTTTCGCTTGGGTTTCTCCTTAAGAGGTGCTGCTGTTGCTGGCTCTGGACTTCCGGTTACCGCTAGTCCCCGAGCCAACAGTGGCATTGGCATTGTTGTGTTCTATTCCAGAACCATAATGTTGCTGCTGTTGCTGTGGCTTCTCCTTGCTCCGCTGGCGCACAGAGGCATTGGGACGATTATCTGCAAAAATTCAAGAGTAATTAAAAAGAGTTCTTATTGGTAAGAAGTCTTACCTTACCCTTTTCTTTAGCAGAGACAACGACAGCAGCATTGACACCTCCACTGGCTTTGCCAGCTGGCGAGGCACCGCCTGCAGCACGCTTTTCAGCTGTAACCACCACCGAGACGGCGGCCAGGCCGCTCTTCTCAACCGCCGCCACAACAGAGGCGGGATCGCCAAAGACTAGATCCATCTTGTGGCTACCGGTGGGCGAAAGGGTGCCGGTGGAGCCGCCTGAGCCAGTTTCCTTGCTATCACCGGAGGCGGCTGCCTTGTGAACTTGAGCCACTTGAGCGTAGCTCAATTTGCTGGCTGTGGCGGCAGCCGCTAGATTCTCCGTGGAAGTAGATGTGGCCACGCTTTTGTGTTTGGCACTATTAGCCAACAGATTCGCCTCCTTTTTGGCGTGTAGAGCGGCAACGGCGGGTGGCTTCTTATGCTGGCCGAGGCAGCACTCGGCAAGGGTTGTGGTCAGACCACTTTCCACCACAGTGCAGGCGCCAGCGCCCGCGGCCAGAGCAGCGGAGTACTCGTTGTGACCTGCCAACGCCGACGGCAACGGCGGGTGCTGCTGCTGGGCGTAGCCTTCGACCAGTCTCTGCTGCTGCTTTGGATACACTTCATCCTCAGTCTTATTTGATTTGTCCAGCTGCTGCTGCGGCGGCGGTTGCTGTTGGGCTCCGGCAGCCGCTTCCTCCTTGCTGCTGGTGTTGATATTTGGTGTTAGACACTTTATCACATGGATCGAATTGTTGTTACTCGAGCTCTGCTTAGTAACGTTCTTAGTATTGGTTCCCTCCTGGAGCTGCAGCGCGTACTCTGTGCCCAGGACGGGCGTGGGGCTAACAGGTGGATTACGCTGTTGATAGTTGTGGGCCAAGTGCGCCGGCTGATTCTGGTTCTGCATCTGGTGGTGCCTATTATCTTTGCGCGCCTTGCCCTTACCACCACTGACGCCAACGCTGCCCCCAGTGCGCACCACATCCGACAAGCGGTTCTCAGACCAGTTATTCGATGAGGAAGCAGCACTGGCCAAATGAGCATTACTGTTCTCCATCCCTTGGTGATTGGTGGATCGCTGCTGCTGTTCCTCGCCGACGCCGCTCTCCACACTGCTGCTCAGCTGCTGCTGATGATGGTGCTGTTGCTGCTGCTGGTGTAGCGACTGCTTTTGAGTCAGACCCGTTGACGAGGAGGACGACGTAGTCGAGTTATGCAGAGAGGCGTTGCTGGTGACCTGAGGTGTATGCGGTGCGGTAGCCGATGTGGCTGGCAGTGGTGGAAAGGCCGCTGCCTCCAGATCAAACTGCGGCGGCTGGACCGGAGCCGACGGCTGTTGCTGTTGCTGCTGCTGCTGCAGTTGTTGCTGTTGTTGCGTTTGGTGCTGGTGTGTATGTGGATGCCCCTGATAGCCCAAAGAGCTGTGATGAAGACCGCCTCGATCATTGCTTCCACCGGAGAGGCTGTTACTGCCAGATCCGCCGCCGCCAGAGGATCCACCACCAGAGCCACTGCCACCGCCACCGCCACCGCCGCCACCACCTCCGCCGCTGCTGATGCCCAAGCCACCACTGTTGCCTACATTACTGCCGATTGAATTGTGGTGGTGGTGGTGATGGTGGTGATAATGCCCAGAGCCCTGCTGCTGGCCAGCAGCACCGGTGGAGTTCAGGTGGTGCTGCTGCTGTGAGGACAAGGAGCTGTGGTGATGATGATGGTGCGAGCCACCACTCGCCATCGACGACGAGTGCTGCTGGGCGTGATAGTGAGGATTGTAGTTGTTGCCCTTGTAGTTGCCACGGTGCTGGGGTGGTGGGACGTCGTGGATGGTATTGTAATGGCTCTGGCGCTCCCCGCCGCCGCTACGATGGGGGGCTCCCCCTCCGACTCCGCCGCCATCAGTACCGCCTGCGCCTCCCGACGGCTGTACGTTGCTGGCGGTGGATGGGCCTAGAAGATGCTGCTGTTGCTGCTGATGTGGATTTGAAGGAGAACTGCCGTATAGCTGCGAGTGAATAACAGATGTCAAGGATTAGATAATACATATTTTTTGAAGGATCTTAAATTTTAATGATTGTAATGATTGCCTTTTAAGCAAACTAGAAGTCCTATAGAAAGTAAACTAGTTCTAAGAGCGAGACGCTTTACTAATCAGTTTGCTTACCCCAACTCGCCCGCCTGGGGAATAGTTGAGACCACCGCCCTCCTCATCGCGGCGACGACGACGCGTTCTGTTTTGCCACTGCAGTGGCTCCTTGCTAATCGAAGTAGCCAGCGATGAGGATGAACTTGTAGACATGGCGTTACGATTAATCTGCTGCATGGCGTGTGAGCCATGCTCCACCACGCCACCGTCCCCAGTCTCTGGTTGCTGTTGCAGATCCTGCGCTTGCTGCTGCTGTGATTGCGCCGGCTGTTGTTGGACCACCAAGTGGTGCTGAGCTGGAGCTGCGGACACATAGGTAACTTGCGGGGCGCTGGCAGAACCAGAGGAAGGCAAATGGTAGTGCTGCTGCTGCGATTGTCCCTGCTGTTGTTGACCCTGCAGATGATGGCCGTGGGCGGGCAAAACCTGCACCTGGGCATAGTGGTGGTGAGTAGTCACCCCGCCACCATATCCCTTATCTAGGTTCTTCTGCATGCCGCCTGTAAATGTAACGACACCGATTAATGAATAAATCTGGGAAGATCCCCTTAATAACTTACCCTTCCAATTATTCTTAATGGGATAGTGGCGGGTGGAGCTGTTCACCTGCACCTGCGAAGGCTGTTGCTGCTGACCCGAGCTTGTTGGCTGCTGCTGCTGTTGGAGCTGAATCACTTGCTGCTGCGGCTGTTGTTGTGGCTGCTGCTGCAACGGTGCCTGCTGCAACGGATCTTGCTGAACAATGTTCGCGGGAACCACGCTGACCATCCCGCCTGGAATTGCGCCCGCTATCTGGATGGGTACAATACTGCCGCCTTGGATGTGCGACTGAGTTTGCTGAGAGTTGCGTGGCGGCTTGCCCCTCGACTCGCCGCGTGGTCCCGAATTGGTACCGGCGCCTACGTTATTGGGATTACCGCCGCCGCGATGATTGTTGTTGTAGCGTCCACCGCCGCCCTGCGGCTTGGACGTAACCATTGTTTGTGCAGTCGGTGGCGGCGGAGCAGGTGTGAAGCTGGCGGCGACAGCTTGCGAAGTCAAGGGATTTGCAGCGGCAAACAGATTGCCGCCGATCTCATAGAAATTCTGGCTATGGGGGGTAGTGGTGGCCATAGTACCAGGGGGCCACGGACCAGCCACCAAGCCGGAATAGAATTGATTCTGCGGAATCGGCTATAAATATAAGAAAATAAATTAGTTTACCACGTGTTCTCATGGATTCAGGAAAGGAAATAACAACCCGTTAAGGCAGATATACTCACAATCAGTACGGGATTGGTGTACGGAACTGAGGTGGGAGCCGCTATGGTAGCCCCGTTGGCGTACATGTAGCGCTGCGGAGTGGGAGCATAGCTAACGGCGGTAGCACCGGCTCCGGATGGATCAAAAACAGCCGGTTGGCCGGTTGGTGGCGATGTGAGACGGTAACCGTTCTTCATATTTGGTACAGCTTGAACGCGATTGATAAACGACTTGGGTTTGATGCGCGCCATTATCGGCTTGCCGTTGAACTCCTTAATCTCTTCGCGCAGGTACTTGAACGCCTTCTGCGCATCCTCATCAGACTTGAAGGTGATGTACCACGAGCTGTTGGCGGCGAATTCGCAGGAGATGGGCTGGGGGCAGGTCTCGTTGTTAAACAGAGCCTAACACAAAATAACGAAATCAAATTAGTTGCTTGTTTATAAACGAGGGAATGAGTCATCACCTTGACTTCATCGACTGGCGTGTTGTCCGATATCTCGCGCAAAATGATGATGCAACGTTTGCGATTGGGACGCACGCGCAGGCCCTGGTCGTCCACTTGGACGTTGGGGGACTCCCGCAGCACCTCGGTGATGAGCTTGATGTCCTTTGTTAGTTTCTTAACCAGATTAAATCCGGCCACTGTCCAAATGGGCACATACTGGTCACCGTCCATCTGCGACAGCAAGTAAGTATCGTTGGCCAGGTTCTCTCTGTTTAAAAACGAAAAAAAAAAGATTAAGTAGAAGCCAAGAATTGAAAATACTGAGAGAGCACCCACCTAGAGAAGTAATACTCGAGCTGTGTGGCCAGCATCTGCTTGAGCTTATCCAACGGTATATTAGGATCTTCGCCAGTGGCGCCCTGCGGCTGCTGCTGCTGCAGCTGATCGGCTGTGCCATTCGCTGGCAGCGTTACGGGTAGCTGAACGGGAACTTGGACAGGAACCTGGACCGGCAATACAATGTGCTGCTGCTGTGGCTCAAGGGCAACTAAATTCGTGTTGTTAACACCAGGTACGAAGGCGTCTGTGTAGACGACAGTGCCATCCTGGGTCTGGGCAAGTGCTCCATTCATGATGGCGTATTCGGTATTGTCGTTGGCCTCGCCACCGACTCCGACAGCTAGTGATGCTGCTGCTGGTCCTCCTCCTCCTGCTCCTCCGGCAGTGCTAACCACGCCCTGGGCCTGTGAAGGCGCCGGCTGAAGGCCGTATTGCAGATGCTGGGCGGGATGCGGTGATTGTTGTTGTATATGCTGCTGGAGTGTCTGCTGCTGTTGGAGCGACTGTTGCTGCTGTTGGTGGGCGACGTGCGAAGCAAGGTGCTGCACCTGCACCTGCTGCTGTTGGTGAGGATGCGGCTGCGGTTGCTGCTGGATTGGATGCGGCGGCTGCTGCTGTTGAGCGGGCTGCGCTGCTGCTGCGGCGGCCACGGCTGCGATGGGAGCTACGGGTGGTGCGGCGGCTGCTGCTGCTGCGGCGGCTGCTGTAATCAACGGTATGTGGGCTGCGGCGGCTGCTGCTGGGGCTGCGATCTGTGTGGTGGCGCCGAACAGATTAGTGGCTAGCATCGCCGTTTCGACAGGAACATTGGTGTAGACCGGCGGCTGGATCTTGACTGCATCTCCGTTCATGTACACATATCCTCCTGCAAGTGGACGAGTATGTGAGACTGTGTGAGTGTGGGCATAGTATGAGGATGTGTGCGTAGTGTGCGTGGCGAGAGGGGGTGTGGTTTCAATGTGCGGTGTACGTGTGTGCATAAACAAGGTCAATTTTTTCTATTTGTTGTTGTAGACGTAACGGGAAACTTTCGTAATCGGAGGAAGCTACTGCGAAAACTCTCTTCTCGGCACTCGGCCGAATTCGATACAATACGATACGATTTTGATGGACGCAAATAAAAACAAACAAAATTCGATGCCAACATAATCACACAAACATGCGGATGTCAGAGGCGAAGTAGCGGTGAAAAGCTCGAGAGATGATGTGTGTGACTGCATGTGCAGTTGTGTGAGGGGTGGCGGCGACATTTACATATGTATAGTGTACATGCACTGGAGACTCCACTACTAACCTAGGTAGTATTCCATGGTAACGTATGTTGCAATTATCAAGAAATTCCACACACAAAGACACAGTCGGTTTTTTACTTCACTTCTCTTTCTTTTTTTTAAATTTATTATATTTTTTTTTCTTTTTTGCTCTTTTGAGCTAACCCACACACACACTTGCACGCGGCACACTCACACACAGCTCAGACACACACACACACACCAGTCACACACACACGCGTTGCCACCCAGTCGCGAGAGAGGGAGAGCGAGCGAGGAGAGAGAAAGAAGAGCTCTTTCTATTTGGAAAATTTGATTTTCACTGTGATATATTCTCCTACTTGTTTGCTGGTGCCCCGAAACTCGATTCAGCAATCTTATTTATTTATTTATACTGCTGCGGCAACTGCTGCTGCTTTTGATTCGGATTGGGATTCGGATACGGATACGGCTCCTGCTCCTCCGCCCCTGCTCCTGCACATTTTCTTCAACTTCTATGTTGCCTTGTCGCCTCCTTCGTCGTTGCTATTTTTGTTTCTTTGCTGTTTCTGTTTCCTTTTTGCTTCTGTTTCTGCTGCTGCTTCTCTTTTCTTTACGTTTTCTTTCGGTATGAGTAGTGTGGGTCTATTTTTTTTCAGCTTTTTGCACACGCAGAGAATAAATTGAAAATTGAGAAACGACCGAGAGGCAATTGATTTTTTTTTACTTTTCACACCCAAATCGCAGCGCCCGCACCCGCCAGCGTAGCGTTTATTGTTGCCAATCACTTGCGAAAGTCTTAAATAAATTGTTAAGCTTCTGCCTGTTTTTTTCACAACGAACTTATCACGCGAAAAATCCAAAAATTCGACTTCTCATCGTCATAGAAAACTTTCGCCGTTTCGATAGGTCCCACGGTTGCAAACGATACCATTTACGATGGATTTGAATAGCGACTAGAATTTATTCGTTGTTACCAGGTGGCTTTGTTTTACGACTGTCAACGGGACTTGAAGGAAATCATGACAGCGTTTTTTGACAGCGTTATTTGCACAAATTTTAAGAAATCTTTTCCGCAAGCATGCATATGCACGCCAAATATACCACACAAATACATCCCTACATTTGTAAAATACCGAAAATATACTGACTTTCAGCGAGGTGGCAGCGTTGCAGCGTGCAAGAACATAATATTGTTAAGCAAATTCCAGCCCCCTTTCTCGCTCATCCCCCTTCCAGCCCCTCATTATTCCCTGAAGAAGGGATCTAAATGCATAATTAAGATTTGCAACTCGCACTTACCATTTGCAGTGAAGGAAGTCCCGCGTGAAGCCACCTCCAGTCACTGTTGCAGTGCAGCTGCAGCGTCGCGGACCAAAACCACTTGTTAAAACCAAATGAAACAGCAAGCGGTTCACTGCAAACCAATTCTTTAGCGTAATTTAAAGGACTAGTTCGACGACAATCGCGGACAAATTTTCACTTTTTAATAGTCTTTTTTACTTGTTTTTCATCCAACAAAAAGCAGCACACGCAAAATATTCGCGCTCACAACTAGTTTGCAAAGGTAGAGCTGTCAATACTTCGATAGCCTCATGGTGATATCGATAGCATCATCGATTGTATCATTTTAAACCATTTGTAATTTAAATGCTATATTTATCTCATAATTGGGCTTGATTAAAATTTGTTAAAGTTTAATACCCACAAATGTCCAAGTTATTAGTCAACAATATTACCACGATAGTATCGATATATTGTATATTTTGACGCGGTGAAGTCGCAATTAGAGATGAGAAAACTAAATTAAAATATCAAGCAATTTTATTTGCATTTTTATATATGTATGTTTATATATTTTTGACCCAAGTATCTTAATATTTAGTTTTTCAAAATTTTATAAGGTTTAAAATAAGGCTTTTAAATTTGTACATTTGTTAGCGGTACAAGAACTAGTACTGAAAAGCTTTCCGATTTTAAATTAATGCATTTTTGGGTTAGTTATATTTAATTTACTCAAAAAATTACTTTTATAAATGTAAATTTAATTTGCCTAAAAAACACATATTTTAGGTAGTATACGAAGCCCAACAAGCTGATGATTGAGATGTCATATATGTTTCGATTTCCAAGAAAAATCTTATTCAATAATCAATAAAGCATGAGCATTCCACATTTTTATAGCATAATTAAAAAAGGCTTAGCCCCATTAAGATTTTTGGGTGTGGCCTGCACACCCCGATTATTTCCGAGCTATAATTTTAATTTTAATAATGTATCAACCAGCATAATCCGAGAGTTTAATAACTACATCATTATCCGTTTTTGTCTCCATTATGCTAAGGCAGCACCCACACACACTTCGTTTATTTAAATTGAACATTTAATTTTATTTATAACATTGTTCTCAGTTAATGGTCTATTGCTTCTTCTGTCTTCATGTAAATGTTCTATATATCAAGAGTTTTTCAATTAAATCGGAACAAAGAACTTTTGCAAGTTGCTGTTGAAGGTTGTTGATGTTGTGGTGCTTAAGAATGAAATATTAGTGAGAATTCACACCGCTTTTTGTTCGTTTTTGTCCGCCTAGAAGCCGTGCACCTTGAGCTGGTCCGGCTTAGCTAGTCCCACCTTCGTCAACCATTGACAGATGTTCTCACGCTGATCGCCCTGGAGCTGGAGAACCTCACCATACTCTGGATGCTCGATTACAGTGCCATTGCATGCGAATTCCTGTGTGGAGTTTCAAATATATATTTAATATCAAAGAGAAGGAATCTAATCTTTCAAAGGGTAACACAGTTGTGGTCACAATAGGTTTAGAACTATATATGTATGTTACCCGTTGCAGTTGTTATTAACGTTTTTTAAGACCCTCGGGCGAAACTGTGTATAAAAAACTTTCACCCTAAGACAGATACTATGACTATACATAAATTTCCTAACCACAACTGTAAACACCATTGTTTTAGTTTATATATAGTTTCCAGTTATAGCTTACCTTCTTGCAGGAGCGGACTATCTTCTTCAAGTCATACTCCGCGGACAGGCCCTGGACAGTGGTTAGTGTCTTACGACCGTTCCTCTGCTGGATTCTTATATGCACTAGCCCGTCTTGAATATCATCATCATTGCCCTTGATTGCATCAGCAAAGGGGTCTGTAGGGAAGAGCGAAGAAACTCCATTGATTATCAAATGCAGTGATGAAACGTAATGTAATGGAAGTACAATGTAATCACACCCTTGCAGCGTGCTTTGCTTTTTTGCGTGTGCATGGGTGTACACACACACACACCAGCGCAGAGGCGGGGGCCGCTGCTCAATGATGACGAACACGAGAGCAGCCATTTTTATGTACATGTGTAACTGGACGAAAAACTGCACTCGCAGCACTTACCACGAGTGTTTAAATTCTGGATGGACATACGACAATAAAAACAAACCACAGCCGAAAACAAAAACTTTTTGAAATGATCTGTTGTTATCTGAACTTTTAATTTAACGTTTTAGTGAGTTTTCGGAAATGTGTTTGTCTGACAAGTTTAACACAGGGTTGTCGCTAGGGCTGTCTGAAAGATATCGATAAGTAAAACAAATGTATTGTGATGTTTAGCAGTCGATATATCAACAAGACGAAAATATTTTTAAGTTACACTGTCCTTTTTTTTAAATTGGCAAGAATTTTAATTTTTTTAATAATAAATTTGGTATGCAGATATATTAACCAAAGGATAACTAACATAGGAAAGGTTTCCGAATTAAAATTAATTTGGCTTAGCTTTGGTCTCTTTATCATTCGTTTGCAAGGGTATATAGGCTTCGAATTATTAATTATTCTTTCTGGAATACCTTTAATTGGTTAGGCCCCTTCAGTTTATAATAACACACTTTTTTTTTAAATAATAATTGGCATTTCTTACTCCAGCTTCAAGAGCTGCCAACTCCTGCGACTATCGCTTTTGTGCCCGAGCAACCCTGTGTGTTTGGGGGAGCGCAGCCAAGTTCACGCTATGCCGGGCTGCCATATTTCTTTCCTGCTTGTCTTTCAACGAGAAAAGGTGGGCATTTAGCGTTTTGTCTTGATTTGGTTAAGTTAGAGCCTCCCCACGGCGTTCAAAGCGCTCTGCAAATGTTGGGTGCAATGCCTGCACCACGTGTTGCAGTCAATTTTGCTGTAGGAGAGCCGAAGCGCGGAGGTAAATCTAGTTTTACCCACACGTGCAATACAGCAGCAGCAATAGTGAATACATGAATAAAAAATGTACAGCATTAAAGAGCTTAAAACCATGCCGAAATTTGTTACCAGTGAAAGTCTACAACGCAGAAAATGGTTAATAATTTATTTTTCCTTGCGTTTTTTCTATGTACCCTGCCTGCGGTTCTTGGAATATTCATGGAATATTGAATTATAAGGTAAGAGCACATGTTGGAACTGTTTAGCTGATTTAATCATTATTGTGATGAATGAATGAGCGGAAGAGTACTTTGAAGACTATATTCATCACCCAAGACTGAAATAAGCTAGAAAAAACGCGTTTAATGTTCCAAAGTTCATCAAAAACTAACTATTTTTTCTCTTTTTCATGTAACTCTGGGTTTTTCTGATATGGTGTTTTTCTTAAAGGTAAGTTAACATAAAGACATTGCAGTTTACAGTTAAAGATTTTGTGATGAATGAATGAGCGGAAGAGTACTTTGAAGACTATATTCATCACCCAAGACTGAAAATAGCCGAGGGTCTCTTCTAATTGCAAGCCGAAATGCAAGATCTAACCCTTTTATTTTTGTTTTTTTTTCATGCTTCCTTCCATTTCTATGGTCAACACTGGATTCCTCCATAAAGGTAAGCCCAAAAATCATTTCAAGTTCTTTAGTTTTGTGTAAAATGATGAATGAATGAGCGGAAGAGTACTTTGAAGACTATATTCATCACCCAAGACTGAAATACGTTAGAAAAAATAAATAGTTGAGTGCCCGGAATTATTACTAATTTGATGTCTTCATTTTGCAGACGTGAGATGGCAACCTCTTCGCACCTCAACTGGTTGATCATTCGCAACAACAACGCCTTCTTGTTGAAGAAGCGCGATGTTAAGAAGCCCTTCAGCACAGTAAGTAAATGATAGGTCCTTTGTTTTGAATAACCTAAAAGCTTCAAATGATGTTTCTAACTTTATACTTTCACAATGATATTTGAATACAACATGATAGTAACTTTAATCTGACCAAAAGTTGGCTGCAGTAGTGTATTTTTAAAAACCTATGTACTCATATCGAATCTTTTTTACCTTTCCAGGAGCCAAACAACTTGGCCAGCGTGAGCTCGTACCGCTACAGCGGCATCGTGCACAAGAAGACCCTTGGAGTCGTGCCCGCCGCCGACAAGAAGGGCTTCACCGCTGTGCTGAAGAAGAGCAAGTATGCCCAGCGTCCCGCCAAGAACACGGTGCGTGTTGACTTCAAGGCCGGTCCCCGTCGTTCCCTGAAAAAGCTGAAGAACCTGCTCATCGGCTCCAAATACCGCAAGGACCTGACCCAGGTAAATAATGCTTCAATTTAGGCTCGAGTCACTTTTTATGATGATATTTTTTAAATTATGCTACACAACCAAGATCGCAGAATGATCCGTGTTGATAAACCTGTCTGAGGCTTCTCCCTTTTTTAAAGAGCTTATTTTTTTTCCACTTTCACCATATAATTATGTTGTATTCTTGCATTTTCAGGCTGCCCTCCGTCGTGCGTCCGCTGTCCTCCGCTCCCAGAAGCCTGCCCCCGCCAAGGGCAAGAAGGCTGAGCTGGCTAAGGGAAAGAAGCCCGAATAAAATGTATACCAGATGGGATCATGCGGAGCTGTTTTCTACTTGAGAATAAAGAAAAAAAAACGTTAAAAACATCCTAAATATTTAAATCCGATGTGTTTTGTGGGATTATAAAGCATCCGCTGAGGCAAACAGTCGTAAAAAGTCAGCTAGCCTATCTTAATTAATTGCTAAATTTTTGTCATAATCTTTTTATCGACGCTTAGATTTTAGCAATAATCTAGCAGAATTTTGATTTGCAAAATGATTACTAGAATTTTATCCATGAAATTGTCTTTTTTTATTATATATGGTTCGGTTTTATTGAACTATAGTTCCTGGTTAATTGGATGACGTTACACATAGAAAGAGACCATGGAATTGCATTGAAATCTTATACAAGACCATCTAAGATCATGTCAAGTCTTTACTAGCTTAGATCTAAAGACAAATACAGTGGCTGTTAAACTACGTTTACACACGGATATTAAATGCGCGTATTGAGCTAAGGGCTACTCCTCCCTCAGTAGAAGTACTCATACTTCTGGGCATGATGCAGCATCACCTCCATCGATTTCTTGCCCTGCAGCACACCATTCCGCTCCATGTAGTTCCAAATAGAGGCCATGAACACACAGAACAAGATGACGCCAAACACTATGAACTTGAGCAGCAGGAAGATGGTGCGCATGCCCACCGGGGCCGTGAACTCAACTAAAAGGACCAGGAGGACAAACAGGAAGGTGGCGGCACTGTAGTAGAGTATCCGATCGGTGTTTAGCTGGAGTAACGAAGCGTCGCAAAGGGCCAGGGCTTCGTGAAGTGCGGCCGTCCGGGCGGCGGGCATTGACTGGACGGAAGTTGAGCTGCCATTGCAATGAACCTCTGGCCGAGTCTCCTCCTGTTCATGCTCAGTCTGAGCATCGCCGGCACCCAGTTCACGCACTGCACACGTTTCCTCGTCCTCCACCTGACAATTCACCTCGATGGTGGCCACTGCTGGAGTTTCTGAAATGGTTCTGGAGTTTTCCTCTGCTACTGTTGGCCGGGATAACCTCAGTTTGGCCAGGACAGCCTCGTGATCTGAGAAGCTGAACTTTTCGCCGGGCACACGGTTCGGAAAAGGGAGCTTGTACTCTGCGATTTCGGCATTCACATGATCCCCGCCGCGCACAAAGATGTGATCGATGCGAATGCCTTGGGGATTTCTTGCCAGAGCTCGAGGCGATGTATACGAATTGTGTTCGCACTCATTCGTTCGGAAGGTGTCCGAGGCGCAGCTATCGAGCATTTTAGAGGTGTAGAGCAGCACTTTATACGATATATCCTGCGGCTGGGCGTTCAGATCGCCGGCGAGGATCTGCAGCACCGAATTGCCCCTGGTGGCTTCGATAAATTGAGCTGTGTCGAAGGCCTGGATCACCCGGTGCGTCTTATACTCGTCGTTGGCGTTGTCGTACTCGGCATGGAGGTGGGCATTGTACAGATGCACCATTTGTCCGTTGACCAGAATGCGGCACAGACCCACTCCCTTACCGCCAAACCAATCAGCGTGCTGAATACGATGGAAGTAGCCGTTGACGGACCACGCATGGAACAGCGTGCCCAATATGGGGTACCTTGATAACACCAGCAGACCGGCACCCATCACGCCGCTGTGGAAGTAGTGTGTATGTGGCAACACCGCCTCCGTTCCCTTCTGCAGCCGCTCGCTATCCTGCTGCGTCCACACTTCCTGCAGGGACACAATGTCATACTTGCCACTGGCCAGCTCTTTGCAAATAGCATCTATTCGGGGTCCACGGTCGCTTGACACGTACGGAATGCCCCTGAAAAATCACAAATGCACATATATAGTTATAATCTCCGGAGATGCAAGGTTAATGAATGTCTGGCTGGCAAAAAGGAAGCCGTAGAAGGAGATGCACCAAATGCTCACCAAATGTTCAGGGTCAGAATGTTCAGCTCCAGCAGCAGCATTGCGTCGGCCGTTTTTCACGTTAGCATTCTTACAATCCAGTTCAATTCGAGCGCTGGGATCGGCGATAAGATAAACTTTATAATTTTGTTGTTAAGATTTGGCTGCTAGAGGTGTGAAAGCCTCGATACATTTATATTTTCTTTGTGTTTCTATCATGTATCGATATGCGATATCTTTCCCCATAGTTTTTTTTTTTAGTTTTCTTTTGGTATATTTGATTATAGTATTTTTTAAAGATCTGGCTATGGTCACTTTATTGCCGCATCATGTTTGACAAGCAAATTTCAGTAAATATAAATTAAAAAAACTTATTGCAACAGAAAAGTGGGGGCGCTATGTTTCTTAAGGTGCAGACATGATGCTCCAGCTGCTTGTATTCTGCCTGGTGCTCTTTATACTCCTTTATTGGTAAGTAGAAGCTCCCAACGCCCAGGCCTGCTGACTGGTTGTCGTTCGAGCGATCATAAAAACATAATTGAATCCCTCTTCTCTATTTTAGGGTCTTGCCCACGGTCATTAGCTGGTATCTGATCAAGCGGTTTCGGGTCAAAGTTCGGATCGGACGTATCTCGCTGCCATATCTGTCCCTGAAGAATGTGCACATCAGCAAGAGCGGATTCTCGGTGGTAGGCGTAGCCGCTCTTAAGTAAAGAAATTCCTATAGAAGTCAAATGCCCCCAATTCTTGTTTTTACCATAGCAAATCGAGGAGGTGTGCCTGCGCAGCAGCTTCTTCACCACCGAAGTGACCAAGCTGCTTTCAATTTACATCCGTGACATTCGCATCAACAAGGACATACGCAACTGGCAGGATGTTGACACCGATGACGACCCGCTCCAGCAACTGCCCGCGATGCCCTCGTCTAAGGAGGCAAAGGGTGTGCCGGACTTTCGGCAGACCAAGGTGCCGGCCAGCATCATCACCTTCGCACAATTTATGGCCGTCCATGTGAACAACATATCGGTGGTGCTGATGAATAATGACTTTGATCCCGGCTGGTTCCTGCATGCGACGGCCAAGGAACTGCATCTGGATGGGAGCATCGTGCAGAATGCTCGAGTCCTCCTGGTGAATGCGGCGCTGAGCGAGGCGCAAGCCAAGATGCTGAGGCACTGCAGCTCCAGACGGCAGTCATTAGAGAATCTAAACAAAATACGGCCCTGTCTGGGAGAGGTTAGCTTTGATGTGACCCTGGACGCCTCGCTCTTTGCCCAGGGACCGCTTTCCATGGATGTGAGTTGGCTTAAATACGCGTAGAAGGTAATTTAATAGCCTTTTCCCTTGTAGACACTTAGTCTGGTAATCAACAATGCCAAATCCGTCATCCATGGCGGACTGTACGAGTTTCTCAGCGAGGCCAAGCGCAGGACGTCGACGACGACGGGCCACCAGGCAAGGCGAACGACTCGGGTCTTAGGTTCACCCAAGAGCAGCTATGATAATGACAACTATGAGAAGCTGGCGCCGATTATACCAAAGAACTTTAATTTTAGCATCAAGGCGGCTACATTTTCCGCCGTCAAGGAGAACTCGCAGAACGATTTTAGTGCCAAGCTGCAGTTGTTTCATGTAAGGATCTAATTTACTCCTTCCCCTGATATGTTTTAATGAGAATCTATAACATGCTACCCAGATCACGGGCAAGTTCAATTCAAAAGTCACCGATGAAAAGACCTTGCTGCCTTCCATGCTGGCCAAGTTGGTGTTCCAGCATTTGGATATAGACACCAAGTACGAAAAGCTGTTGTTTGTAGAGCAGTTCACAATAGATTCGGTGGTAAGCATGGCTTCCTTCAGTATATGTAACTTTTATGTAATTATACCCCATTTCCAGCTAGAGAAGGACATCTTTAATCTGTATGTGAAGCTCAAGACATTCCAGATAATCTACAATCACAGCGAGATCTTTGATTTTGTCAACAACAATTTCCTCGCACGACAGCGCTCGAGCGGAGGGGCCTCGCAGCAGCTGCCGCTCCAACTGATTCACAAGCAGAAGTCTCTGCCAGATCATCTGTGCTTGGACAAGGCGTCCGAGGACTGCCTGCAGGCAAAGAACCGCCGCGAAGGTGGCATCCTCGAATGGATAATGCAGCGCATCGTTGTCAAGGGCTGTGCTGAGCTGTTCAATGTCTCGCTTCTGATGCAGCTGGAGGACGAGAACATAGCCATGAGTGTCAGCCACACGCGGTTTCTGCTGGAACAGATTGAGGAAAAGCGGAGCTCGCGGTATGACAACAAGTTCCTTAACCTCCTGCTGAATCAGCGTCAGTGGACCATGGAGCTGATGGTAGAGACGCTATGGTCCAACCTGGGTAACTCTATCAACGATACAAACAATCTGAAGAAGACCCACTCGCCTGGATCGCCGTTCTTCTTGGGCGTGAGCCTGGTCAAGCTATGCTCTTATGCCAACACCACAAAACTGGACATTTCGGTGCACACCTTCCGCACGGAATACAGCATGCAATTGGCGGAGTTTGTGGTCAAGTCAATGGAGTGCCTGCGGCAGTATCGAGGCCTAGAGCCAAAGAGGACAAGCTCAGGACGTTCCAGGCACAGCGCCGTTCAGAACCTAACTGATCTGCCATTATCGTCGTCATCGTCATCATCTACCTCACTGCGCGTGTCCGTCAAAATCAAGGACATCACGGCCTATTTTGTAAACCATCACAACGCCTACATGCTGCTCAGCTTCTCCGAGCTTTACCTGTCGCGAGCCCAGCACGTAGCCACGCTGAAGCTAGAGGAATTCCAAATGGCCATCATGCGGTCGATGAAGGCCTCGTCGCTGTGTCTCACTGACTTCGCGGATGTGTTTGCCACCTGCAAAACGATTCGCTTAGAGCACGAACAGGTGGAGGGCGCCCTGGGCAAGCTGTCCATTTACATACCTTGCAACACGGACGCCACCTGGAACTCCAACCTGCACATGCATCTGCTCACCCTGGTGAGGGACATGGTAGATCTGAAGACGGAGCTAGCCCTGCCCGCATCGCCGGCGAAGAAGGCAGCTCCTCGCGGAGGATTAGTCGTAGAATTATCTGCGGAACGAAGCACAATTTTCGAGATAAAGCTCTCCGAACGCCACTCCGTCCAGATATTTGTGGAGAGCCTTTTCTTCAGCCACAAGGATCGGAACATAATCTACGCGGAGAATGTCTTTGTCAAGATCGACGATCAGCACATCTTTACGGTGAAGGAGCTGGACATGCAGTCGGTTCCACGGCTGGAGGTGCTCACCCAAGAGCGCCTCAACTTCCCCGGCTTTCAGTTGCTCTCCAACAGGGTGTGGGTCACCACGATCGGCTCCTTCAAGGCCATATTCCCCTATGACCACGACTTCTACAATGCCATCAACAGCGAGTGCGTGTCCCACTTCAAATGGCTGAAGTTGGTCCACAACTACAAGAAGAAACCATTTACGGTGGATTCTCCGCTGCCCTGTGATTTGGTCATCAAGATCAAGGAGTTCCTGCTGGAGATAAGCGACGATCCCTTCGAAGTGAAGCTGCGCGACAACTACGTCCTTCTGGTCGACGAGTATCTGGAGAGTCTAAAGCGGAAGGCAGTGTTTGACAAGAAGATTGCCGAGCTGTGTGCGGAACGCCTCCTGCTGCCCGCTGGGACCATCGAGAGCCTGTACGCGAATCTGGTAAAGAAGAACTCGGAAATCTACATACAACGCTCGAAAAAGATCCGCGAAAGCGGTCCCGTCCGCACACGCCTCCTGGCTTGGATTATGACGGATGTGGAGATCATGGCAATGGCTGATACCTCTATACATGGTTACGATAATGTGACACGCATGATGCGGGAGATCGATCACGAGAGCCCCTGGCCGGAGGAGGGCCTGGAGTTCACCACGCTGTGGTGTCGAGGCGTCAACATCAGCTGCTCCGAGTGGAAGTTCATGCTGAGGTGAGTCCTTTGCACCTGCACCTCTTCTTGTTCTGTAATATTAATTTTCTGTGGTCTTTCAGGGACTTTCCGCAGCCAATGTTTTATGTGAAAAGCATGCGGCTTTATGGAAATCTCTGTGGCGCCGAGCAGATGGGATCCAAACGGGCAAAACGCGATGTCTTCATTGAAGTGGGCGAACCTTTTGGAACCGATGTCATCCAGCGCAGCATGCCGTCGCTAAAGTTCTACCACGACTTTGACTGCGAACTGGAGAGCTGCAGTTATGCCTTTGGAGCCTGCTGGGAGCCCGTGATGGCCCAGTGCAATCTGAGCTTCGAAAAGATCTCGGCCCCGTCCAAGGATCCCTCGCCTCCGCTGCCATTTTGGGACAAGTTGCGACTGCTTCTGCACGGACGACTAACCCTGATAGCCAAGCAGTTCACCATACTGCTCCACGCCTCCCTGGATCCGTACAACACTACGGAGGAAATGGAGCTGACGTGGAACAACTGCGGCATAGTATTGACGAATGCCAAGATCATGTTCAAGGGAGAGCTGAACGTGAGTACGGCAAAAGCTGTGCAAGATTCGCTTGGGAATTAAATGTATCCCTTTTCTCGTTCCAGGTTACCGTTCGAACGGCATCCCGCTACGACGATTGTCGCCTGCTGCACTTCCCCAACTTGAAGCTGACTGTGAAGCTCAATTGGGTGTGCCTTGCCAATCCAAATGATCATCATGCCGTCATGCCATGTGCCCCAAACAAGCTGCCCGAGTACTCAAGCAACCAGGTCCACGATTCGTTCCGTGCTTTCCGGTCGCTGAATCTAAACATTTGGATATCGTTTGAAACGAAGCCAAAGGCGGGCGAAGACCTGGAGGTGGATATACCCAGCCTGGTGCTGTACGGAAGCACGTTGCGCTGGTTCGAGAGCCTCCAGCTTATCCTATCAGGCGTGACGAGACCGACGCGACGTGGACCGGTCTTCAATAACGTACGACCCAGGAAAAAGCCACTCAGCAGGCACTACAAGAAGGCCAACCTGCAGATGTGCCTGCACAAGTTCCAGGTGCTCTACTGGATGTCGCACGCCCTGCAAAAAGGCTTCCAGCTGAATGGCCGACGTGTGTCCTTCAGTTCCGAGCACTCGCTGTCCCTCAACCCGGTAGAGGATGGCCTCATTCATCGGCCGAAGGCGGACTGGTCAACGATCTACATGAACTGTGAGCTCAACGATGCCGAGATCTGGCTGAAGAGCATTGTTACCGAGAAGATGGACAGCAGCTCTGAGAACCTGGCCGCTAGTGCAGCCGCCGATGCCTTTAAGATCGTTCGCTTCTACTTTCTCAGCGTGGCCAAGGTGTCCTATGGACGCGAGGCTCTAATACCCGCGGCGGCCGCCACTACAGAGGAGGATGTCAAGGCAAAGTCGACGACGCCCACGCATAAGCTGGTCGTGTACGACCTAAAAGGCGCCTGGACCAAGAGCAATCGCGATGTGGCCTTTGCCCTGTTCGATTCCTTTATGAAGTCGCAGAAGCTGAAGAATAACCTCTCCACGGAGGCGGTGAAGAGCTATCGCAAGGAGGGTGCCGGCAATTCGGCGGTGCTGAAGCATAAGCGAAGCGATAGCACCATAACCCTGTCCAGTGCGAGCAACGAAGGACTGCCAAGTGCCTCGCTAAAGAAGGCGCCCGCCCAGATCCATGCTACCGCCATGCTCCAACAGCTCATCGCCGAGGCGGACCACAAGTTCAATGTGTACAGCGATGATCATAGCACTCAGTCGAGGGAGCTGCAGCTCCAGGGACTGCAGGCTTGCTCCGCCCAGGACATTATTCATGAGAATTGGTCCATTAGTTTGGTCAACTCACAAGTGCTGCTCAAGGGCTGCGAGACGTCCGGCTATGTTATCATCAGTGCAGCCAAGGCGGAGATATTGCAACGCGAACACCGCCCTGTTTGGCGGGAGCGCTCCCTCATCTCGAAGACCACCTGGAAGGGATTGCTGGAGTGCATGCAGTACTATGCCACCGTGAGTGCTGGTGATAATAACTCCCTGCTGGAGAAGGAGATTATGTGGCTGACAGTGGACAATATCCAAGACAAGGACGAGACGGTGATCAATAACTTGCCCGAGGATATTTCCCATTTGGTGGGCAGTGGACGCAGTGTGGGAGGTGTTGTCTCTGAGACAGTGGGCGCCTTCCTCAGCGATAATTCCGGTGAGGCCCAGCCCGTCCAGCTGCAACGCATCGTGTCCAAATGTAAGTGCGAGTTCTTCTACGTGAGCTACGGCGATGCCATCGATCCGAATAGCATTACTGAGGTGCCGCCGCCACCTTCCGAGGAGCTTCTATCGCCGTGGGAGAAGCAGGACGATCCCGTCGATGCTTTCACCTTGATGCATCACGACCTAGACGTCTGCACCAACTCGCTGCAGTACGCCATGATCCTGGACATCGTGAACAACCTACTGCTTTACGTAGAACCGCAACGCAAGCAGGCGGCGGAGAAGCTCACCCGCATGCGCTTCCAGCTGCAGCTGCACTCCACGGAGGACCAGAAACGGCCCATTCAGCAAAAGCAGACGGTGATCCGCAGCCTGCTGATGAAGATTCGGTCGCTGGAGAAAGACATACACATGATCAGCAAGGAGCGGGTGGAGGATGGCGACACCCTGGAGCTGCGAGCGGAGTACGAGCATGTCCAGCAGATGATCCGCGAGAGCAAGGAGGAGCTGAACACGTACAGCGAGGACCTGGACATGATGCTGCTGTGCTACAAGGAGACCCAGCTGTCGCAGCTCAGTAAGATCCTGAATGTGCGATCCGACGAATCCGTGACCATGGTGCGGACCAACGAGATCTGCTTCAAGCGGGCCCAGTGGCGGCTCACGGAGACGGATGGTCAGATCGGCATAGCCGATCTCGTTCTCAGCGCCTTCCTCTACACCAAAAAGTCGAAGAGCGACGATTCCGTGGAGCATCTGCTGGAGCTGGGGAACATACGCATGGAGAACCTCTTGCCGCGCGAAATCTATCGTGATGTCCTGCTGGCCACCGAGATACAGAAGGACATGCCAGTGGATACGCACAAGCGGGTGCTGCGCATCTTCTGCCGGGAGAAGGCGCCAGTGGGCGGGATCTCGGTGAAGGAGCACTTTGAGATCAATGTGGCCCCCATCACCATAGCCATCACGAAGAAATTCTACAGCACCATGCTCAAGTTCTGCTTCCCGGATCGCGACGCCTCCGAGACGGAGGTCAGCGACGAGCTGGACGACAATGCCTCCACCAGTTCGGCTTCCACAACAAATTTACAAGCGGTCAAGCCTTCGTCATCGTCCTCGGCGTCATCGTCGTCGATGTCGACCAAGCGCTCTGGTAAGTCCAAGAAGGGCTCCAAGGACTCGGAGTTCTATGTGAAGATCGAAAAGGACGATGTAGAGAAGATGAAGGAGCGCGCCGAGAAGAACAAGCTCTTTATCTACATCAAGATACCAGAGGTGCCCGTCCGCGTCTCCTACAAGGGCAACAAGGAGAAGAATCTGGAGGATATTACGGACTACTCCCTAGTCATACCCACGCTGGAGTATCACAATGTTACCTGGACCTGGCTGGATCTATTGCTGGCCATGAAATCGGTAAGCCGTCGGGTGATATTCTCGCAGGCCATCAAGCAGAAGCTACATATCCATCAGCGACAGCCCATCCTTTCCGCCGGCGAACGAGCCACACCCCAGGAGGCAGAGGACAAGGCAGTGATGCTGTTCGGCAATCGGTTGCTGGTGAGGATCCAATACCCATAATGGTTTATGCTTTGCTTTAACGGGTTTCTCTTTCACAGAACGAGAACAAGAGCCAGAAAAAGGGTGGCGTCTTCAAGTTCTCCTCCAGCGGGAAGTGATGAAGCTCCGCAGACAGGAAACAAAAGGATACTTAACCAAGTTTGTATGCTTTATCTATTTATATTTATTATTACTGTGTACGTTCAAAGGATGTACGAAAATACAATGTGCAACTTGCTGTGCTGACCAGGACTTGGCAGGACTTGACTGCTTAACAGGAATGTCGAGTCGCCCGCTTAACAAATACGATTCACATACACTTCAATCACACACTCAAGTATTAAGCTACTGCAACTCTTTAAATATAATATATAATATATGTTTCGTTTGTTGTTAGCAATAAAGAAGGGCATGGAGCAGACGTAGTTTAATTTTTACACACACATACGCCCGAGTTGTTTATACTTTTATTGTAAACTTTAAAACACTTAAACTTAGGCATCTTCATTCCTACTTGTTCTGTTGCTTCAGCGGTGGCTGGAAAAAAGGCCCTGGTCAGCATTGTCAAGATCTTAGGATTAAGAACTACTCACCAGCACAAAGACTCGTTTGGGCAGCGCCCGCTGCACCAGTTCATCGAGCAAGGCATTCTGGCTATCGTTCTTCTGCGGATCCGCCTTCGTGTTGTACTCCAAGCTCAGCACGGGCAGCTCCTGCCAGCCCACTTGCAGGGGATACAGGTTGTAGACCAGTTCCTTCTCCTCGTAGGCCATTATGGAGATATCCAGCTGGGGAAAAATATTTTAGTATTTTAATTAACATTAGGGAGAGGATACCCCACCTGTTTATGTCCCGAGCATATAAAGTTATCCGTCTTGCTGATGCTCAGGTTGGCTGTCAGATGCAGTACATGCGTTGTCGGGTTCTTCAGTAGCACCTTGAAAGCCATAGGCATCTTCACGAACATCTTCTCCTCAATGGTGCAGTAGATATTCAGCGGTGGCTCCGCAATATCCAGGCCACTGATCACAAACTTGGACTCATTCTCCTCCTTGCCATTGGCACGTCGCCAGCGGATGCAGAAAACCCCAAAGATGGGCACAGCGGACGCTCGCTCCGGTTCCAACGTGTAAACGCCCTTGATAAAGCCACGACAATGCCCCGTGCCCTGGACAGCTTCCAAGGCCTTATTGTACACCAAGCGAGTGGTCTTGAAGTTCTCCTGGCCGGCGCCTGTCGTCGCCTCGCTAGCTTCGTTGGCCTCCTCCGAGTGCAGGGAACTGCTCATCACGCCTGCATTGGCCACCTGCAGGGCATTTGACACAGCCGAGTTGCTATTGATGATGGTCATCGTGGTGGGTATCTTGGCCACCAGACTCTTGCTCATGTAGGCACTGATACCGGCAGGCGGCACCGGAGTGGGACCAGAGGCGGTCTCTTCGATGGCAGTCGCCGGCTTGAGGGCGGGCCTAATGAACTTACTGGCCACCGGCTTGCCCTCCAGCTTGCCCCGATGATCCAAATCCCGAGCAGTTGTCCAGTCCCGCAGAGTAGCATTCGTGCGAAGCACTATCACGCTCTCCAGTTGCTCACCGGCACTGTACTTGTTGGTGTATTTCTTTCGCTTAAAGCTGTAGTTCGATTGCACTAAATTGTGATCCTGCAGGAGAAGTAGAACCGTTACAAACACGCTTAAAGCTTTACAAGAACCCATTACTTACACATATAAAGAAGCTGTCCAGTATCTCCACATCATCGACGGCCACCACCTCTGTGTTGGCTCGCAGTAGGAAATTCTCGCCACGATACAGCTGACCCAGCGGCTTCCTGTCCAGGGTGTAGAAGCGAGCGGCGAACTTAAAGTCCCCGTAGCAACGCACCGTCAGTACATCCTCCCGTGACTTCCGCAGCCGCGTCTCGTCCAGGTACTCTATCTGCACGGGCGAAATTGTCGCCAGGCTATTGTTGGGCACACCCTTCACCTCGTGATCGGGTGTGGATTCCGCCGAGCTGTTCGTTGCTGCGCTGACCCTGGCTGCATTGCCTCCAACGCCACCACTGCCGCCTCCACCGGGACCACGATCCACATCCAACGTATAGCTGAGCCTCTGTTGCAGCTTGATTTCCGCTTCCGCCAGGCTGAAGATGTAGAAGGTGGCCGTGTTGCTGCCATGAGCAGATAACTCTCCCACATCGATCTGGATCTGGGCGTGAAGCTTCTGGCGACCCGGTGAGATATCCGTGGTGAGAAAAACTGGAAGAGGTTGGATAGTTATATTAGGAATTTTTAAGATCTTCTTGAGGTCATAACCTGGGCAAAAAGCCACCGATTGCCAAATGTCATATATATTCCGATTCGTGATTAAAATCTTAATTCATTAATGACAAATTTTGAAGAAAACTATATTTACAATTTTTTCGCATATTTTCCAAATTTTATAAGGGGTTACATCGTTAAAATTGTCAAAAATTTGTAAAAATTTTAATTTTTTAAAATTGTAAATGTAGTATGCAGATTTATTAAGCTAACAAAAACTAACATAGATAAGGTTTCCAAACTGCAATAATTGAATTTTTGGCTTAGTTATGAATAATTTAATACAAGGTTTAGTGCGTTCCCTTTCCTTCAGTATGTGTCCCATCTTATCTCTTTAACAAATTTCCTGCAGGTGCTCCCGCAGACAATCACTCTTCTTTGTGCTCCCAGTTTCCGTTCCATGCTCTAGCTTATCTTTATATTGAAACCCAAGGCAAACATTGCCGCACAGAGAGTGGTGACGCCTCACTTCCTCGTAGCCCCCACACCAAGTTCATTGCCGTGTGTAAACACCTGAGAGCTCACAAGGCGGCGGCGCAGGTGTTTCTGGGCTTCTGTAACTGGTTGCTCATTGGGTAAGGTCAGTGTCGCCACTCGCTGGGCTAGGCTGGCCTGGGCTCTATAAATGTTTGTGTAATGGGCTTCTGAGCTCCAGTACAGGAGAGTCAACTGATCGAGATGCAAGCTGCTCTGCTTCTGCTGACGATGATGTGGACGCTTTGGATACCGGAGATTGCGGCAGCGGCGGTGGAGGAGCAACTGGAGTTGCAACGCAATCCGCGCGTGGTCGGCGGACATCTCAGCGATGTGCGGAATCAACCGCATATGGTCAATATACGGCGGCGTGGCAATTTCGAATGCGGCGGCTCCCTGATCACGTCGCAGTGCGTCCTCACCGCCGCTCATTGCCTGAATGACGGGCCGCCCTCCGATTTCGTGGTCCGCGGCGGAGTCACCTATCTGAGCGACATGAGCAATGCACGCTACGTCCGGAAGGTATTGTTACCGTCGGCCTACAGTCGCACCACCTTGGACCATGATGTGGCTATACTGCAGCTCCAGCAGCCGCTCCAGGCCTCCATTGCTCGTCCTATAGGATTGGCTTTGAACTCACCGCGTCCGGGTAGCTTTGTAAGAGTCTCCGGCTGGGGTTTGACCGACTCCGACTCCACGACGCTGCCCAATCAGCTGCATAGCGTCCATGTGAAGGTGATGCCGCAACGCGAATGCCGGAACTTGTACCGTGGCTATCGAAACATCACCACGACCATGTTCTGTGCCTCGGTGCCGGGACTAAAGGATGCCTGTGCCGCCGATTCAGGCGGACCTGTGGTCAATGCACACGGCTTCCTCGTGGGCGTCGTGTCCTGGGGTAGGGCGCATCGCTGTGCAGCGGCGGACAGTCCCGGTGTTTACTCCGATGTGAATTACCTATCCGACTGGATAGTCGATAACATGCACAGGTACTGCTAAGAGCTGCTACAACCAATCGAAGCTGATCGTTGACGTCACTGGGAGTCGAAGCAAGAATGCCATTGGAAGCACTGCCTTCTATTGTGATCCGCGATCTCTGTTTGCTCAGCTGTTTTGATCCGTATTTCGGCGAATATCCGGCCATAAAAGCCGGGGCAAGGTCACCAGCGCCACAGTTCACAGCAAGATGCTCTGGCGCTGGGATTACCTAATCTTGGGCATGCTGCTCCTAGCCGAGCTCTGCCAACTTGGCGAGGCGGTGGCGAATAACAACAAGGTGAGGCGGAACAGGCGACTGAGAAGTGTCAAGGGACGCCAGTTGTCTGCCAGAAGAACCAACCAGGTGGCGGCCAGAAACAGGAATACCAACAGATCGGGAGCCGGCGTCAAGAAGCTGAATCAGCGAAGGAAGGCAACTACAACCGCCAGCAAAAACTCGGCCAAGATCCAATCCAGGATTGTGGGCGGCACTTCTACCACCATTTCGACAGCAAAGCACTTGGTGCAGGTGCGAATCTCTCAAACGAATCTCTGCGGCGGCTCCATCATAGACGATCGATGGATCCTCACCGCCGCCCATTGCGTCCGGGGAAACCCAGCCTCGGCCTTCATTGTCCGCGGTGGCACCACAACTCTCGATGGCAGCGATGGCATCGTCCGCTCTGTGGACTCCGTGCACGTGGCACCTAAGTTTACCACCGCCAGGATGAACATGGATGCGGCGTTGCTCAAGCTGAATGAGTCCATGACGGGCACCAATATAGAAACAATCACCATGGCCACTTCCCCGCCCAAGGCGGGCTCAAATCTACGAGTAGCTGGTTGGGGTGTCACGTCGGAAGGCAGCTCAACGGCCTCCAGGACCCTGAGGTTTGCCCAGTTAAGGGCAGTGCGGAGGAGCAGGTGCAGGAACCTTTATCGCGGCAGGGCCACCATTACGAACTACATGATCTGTGCCACCGCCGCTGGCAGGGATTCGTGCAGCGGGGATTCCGGCGGTTCGTTGTCCAGGAACAACACCTTGTTCGGCATAGTGTCCTTTGGCTTTGGCTGTGCCAGATCCCGATATCCTGGCGTTTACGCATCCGTGTCCGCCATTCGTCAATGGGCCAACAATGTGATGGCCAACAATTGAGGTTCTTACACAAGTAAATTATGTCCAAGATCACTGATGAAATTATACTTTTAAAGATTTAAAGTGTTTTGTATCAATCAGATCTTAAAAAAGATCATCTTACTCCTTTCATTGTAATAATTTTGGATGTAAAGATGACTTTATGATCTTATAAAACATCATTTTGAAATGAACTAAATTGAATTTCATGATTGGTATATGAAATACTAAACATTATAGAAGATAATATAATTATAATCGTATATAATATAAATTACATCTTTGATTATATCAATTAGTTGTTTTTATGGACATTTCAGATAACTTTTGACCCTCATTTTCATGTCTTTTTAAAGTCTGAAGGACACTTAATATTAACCCAACTGATACTACCTCCTAAGGTCGTTAGTTGCTACTTGCGATTAAATAAATATTTGTTAAATAAAGAGTTTTGGCATTTAAAAATAGAAAACAAGTTCATCATACTTCGCAACAAAGAATATATATATAAAATAAAGACAGGCAACTAACTTTGGGAAACCGAAGTTTTTATACATTTTCTGTTTGCAATTGGAATAATATTAAATCGATTATAACTTATTTATTCTAAAATACCAAGATTCTAGGGAATTAATATAGATAACTTCCCTAAACAAATCAAAGTTTAAAAAAGCCATAACTAAGCATAAAATGCACTAATTTAGTTTAGTTTTTATTACATTAACAAATCTGCATACTAAATTAAACAAAATAAAAAATTAAAATTTGTAAATTTTTGAACATTTTAAAAACGTAACCCCTTATAATTTTTTGAAATTTTGAAAAAATTAGAAAAATTTAATTTTTGCCCTTACATGTGTAGATCAACTAGGCTTTTCATGCTGATCAAGGATATATATGAATTATAGGTTCGGAAATGGCTCCTTCAATTTGTTTTAAGCATTTAACTGAATTTAAAATACCTGTAAAAGGGTATAAAAACACGTGCATAAAACAGTTGGAATTTATCTTGACGCAAAGAACGAAAACCTTGCGTCGTTTGGTCTTTAAAAATGAGTAAATATAAATATATATATATTTTATATAAACAATAAAGCATTGATAACAAACACGCTTCAGTCAAATAACTATGGCGATGGAAAAGAAAAACAGTATGATATTTAGGCCATTGTTTAGGCCTGTTTTTGGTAGCATTGTTTGTTTAAGACTCTATTTTAATAAGTTGAAATAGGTAAGACCTAAAATAATGTAAAGTTTGATCCCAGTTCTATGATGGCTTCATACTTCATACTTGAAGAGATTGATAAAAAATGCCTGACCAACTCACTAACAATATAAATATTTGAATTAATCAAAGATCTAATTATAATTATTCAATCAAGTCAAACAAATCGGAAATAATACTTCCGTTCAAGTTGGGTTCAGAAACCCATGTTATTATAATAAATATTAGATTGTAATAACAACAACATATAACCAGTTTCCGCTTCGATATTTCTTTGATTCCGAGTCAGATTCCGATTGAACAATTGTACAAATGTTAAAGCCTCCCCAGAGATATAGGCACTATAAAAGCCATATCTCCCTTTAATGAATATTCCACAATGATTTCGTCACGCTGCCTGCCCTTGCTGTTGCTCCTCATCGTCCTGGATATCTTCGGATATACTTCCTTCGCTGCCGGCAGCGTGGCGATAGAGCCCCGTATCATTGGTGGCCAGGTGTCCAGCATTAAGCAGGAGAAGTATCTCCTTCAGGTGACCACATCTACAGAGCTGTGCGGCGGATCCCTGATCAAGCCGCGTTGGGTCATCACAGCGGCACATTGCGTGTACCAAAAGAACAAGGATGAGTTCAAGGTGTATGGTGGTGCCTCCAATCAGGGTGGACCATATGCCACCATCCGTCTGGTGGATTACGTGGCCATTCGGCCGGACTTTAATAAGAAGACCTTGAACATGGACGTGGCAGCGCTGCGTCTGACAGCGGACATGACGGGAGCCAATATAGAGACCATTGGCCTGGCTTCTCAGTCCGTTCCACCTCGCGCCTTGGTCAAGGTTTCCGGTTGGGGACTCACAACACCCGATGCCACATCGACGGCCACGCGGGTGCACAGTGTCATAGTGCCCATGTGGTCACGTTCCTCCTGTGTGTCCGCCTTCAAGGGCATACATCGCATCACCCGCTCCATGGTGTGCGCAGCCAAGCTGTACAAAAAGGATTCCTGCGATGGTGACTCGGGCGGACCGCTGGTCTATCGCGGCCAGCTGGCGGGAATCGTGTCCTATGGCTATGGATGCGCCTCCTCGCTGCCAGGTGTCTACACCAGTGTCCCAGTGATACGGCAGTGGTTCCTGCGTGTCGTGAAAGAGAATTCCTGAGCATAGTCTCTCTAGCGTTAGGCCTAATCTTTAAGTTTCGAATAAATAGTTCAAGTTTATCGGACATGCAATTAACTTGGGGAATGCGGCAGGAGATAATGGAATATATAAGCTAGCTTCCAGGGTTGTGGCTCCATTAGACCATGTTAAAGCTTCTCCTTGGACTAGCACTGCTGGAGGCCAGCTCCGGCAGCAGGCTGGGTAAGATCTTCGGTGGCATGACCACGTCCATTAGTGAGCATTCCTTCCTGGTCAATCTTCGACGCAGTGGAGGGTTTCGTTGCGGTGGCGCTCTAATCTCACCCACCTGTGTACTCACTGCCGCCCACTGTCTGGAGCGGCGACACCACCAATTGCACGACCTCACTATCCACGCCCAACAGCAGTGTCTGGGCGATCAGTCGTCTTCGGACCATATGCGTCACGCGTGGTACGCTGCAGTTTCGCCATACTACCGCCCCGATCAAGGCCTGGACTCTGATGTGGCTGTGATCCGATTAAGGCACTCCTTTGACATCTCCAGCAATGCGAGTCTCGTCAAGATTGACTACAACGATCTGCCAGAGCGGACCAATCTCACGGTGATGGGCTGGGGCAAGATCGATAGCCACGGTCACAACTGGAATCAATGCCTACAGGCGGCCAAAGTGCAACTCATCCCGCAGAAGCAGTGCTGCGAAACCGTAGGATCTCCAAAGCAATGGGTCACCCAAAACATGTTCTGTGCTCTGGGCGAGAATGCCAAGGATGCCTGCCAGGGGGACTCCGGTGGCCCGGTAATTAACGATGATGGACGCACCGTGGGCATTGTTTCCTGGGGCTATGGCTGTGGCAGTGGCTATCCCGGGGTCTACACCCGTCTCGGCACTCCATCGATCACGTACTGGCTGAAGAGCTTCGTGGAGCGACATTGTTGGTGAAAGGAAACTTTCAAACTATTTTATAAATAAATAATAATTGGAGAAGATTTCTTCCGGAATACTGAAATAATGGGCAGATCGTGTGGAAATATATTTCCGGACTAGGCGCAATTCACAGCCATCATTATCACTCCACAAATTGCAATGCAGTATGTTCAATCGGTAACACTCAGTCTGGACATGCCATGACGGGACATTGGTTGCTTCTCTGGTGCCTCTGCCAGGTAACATTCGTGATTACCATCTCGGCCAGCAAATCCCGCATCGTGGGCGGCCAGGAGACGACCATCGATCAAGTTCCGTACTTGGTTTACCTGCGACAAGGTGGCTTTTTCATATGTGGCGGTTCCCTGATCTCGGCCAGCGTTGCTCTAAGCGCAGCACACTGCGTCTCTGATGCCCGGCCGGAGGACTATACCATTCATGCTGGCGCAAGCCGCCTGGATGAGGATGCTCCTGTCACTCGCAGCGTAGCCAGTTTTCACATATCGCCCAGCTACTCAGCTTCCAACTTTGACATGGACGTGGCGCTATTGAAACTAAGGGAAGCCATCCAGCCGATGCCCGGCAAAGTGGCCTTCATAGCTCGCTGCCGTAATCCGCCGGAGGCTAATTCCTATGCCAGGATTAGTGGTTGGGGTGTGACGCAAGAGAATAATCGTGATCCCGCTGCACAGGTTCGTGCTGCTATGGTGCGTATACTGCCGGCTTCGGAATGCAGACGATCCTACGCCGGAGTAGCTCAGCTCAGTGACTCCATGCTCTGTTCTGCCGTCCGGGGTCTCCGTGACTCTTGCTCCGGTGATTCTGGTGGTCCTTTGGTGTACCGCGGTCAGGTCTGCGGCATTGTTTCCTGGGGCTTTGGATGCGCCCGCTTGGCTTTTCCGGGTGTTTATACCAATGTGGCCAGCGGCAGGGTAAGAACATTTATAGAGGAAACTCTGCGCAGGATTGGGCATTAACATGACTTCGCGAGAAAATAAAAGCGAGTTTGAAGAGCAAAGTTTAAAGTGGACATAGTTAGTGAAATACGCAACACGAAATGTATTAGGAAACGATCTGAATATATTTCCAATGAATCAATCAACTAATTTGTGGAATCTGCAGTTCAATCTGCATTCCAATATTCTACCAACAAGGCCATCAAAAGTGTCGAGAACACACCGATGATGATATGAAGCCCCATTACACAGCGGTTTTTAATCGTTGTTGTTGGGTTTCAATTTCAAATTCCCTTACCAACCAATTCGCTGATGGAATCGCTCGATAGGCGACACACAAAATGGTTTATTAAAATAATTATTATTTGCACAATAAACTAATGTGTGTGTGCTCTGTAATGATTATTTCCTCAAAGGCATATAAATCGGAACAGCAGTCGCCGCGCGATTCGAGTCGGAACTGCGACCGAAGAGAGTGTGTTTACTCAGTTGGCTATTCCGGCGACTCGGAAACTGGATTGGGCCAACAACACCGAGGCATGGAGCGAGCTGATGGCGGCTCTGTGGCACCTACACCTGCTGCTGTTGCTCCTCCTCTACCTGATACCATCAAGTTGCTGGGCGGCCGGCAACGAGGCCAACAGCCGAATTGTGGGCGGCGTCCCAGTGGACATCGGCAGCGTGCCCTACTTGGTTAACCTGCGCATCGGTGGTCGGTTTATTTGCGGCGGCTCATTGGTCACACCCCAGCATGTGGTCACGGCGGCACATTGTGTCAAGGGAGTGGGCGCTGCCCGCATCCTGGTCGTGGCTGGCGTTACAACGCTAAGCGAAGCGGGTGTCCGGAGTGGCGTGGAGAAGGTCTACACCCCAAAGGCCTACAGTACTCGCACCCTCAACACAGACGTGGCTGTTCTGAAGCTCAAGACACCGCTCAGTGGTCCCAAAGTGGCCACTATTGAGCTCTGCAATGCCAGCATGAAGGCCGGCGAACTAATCAAGGTCTCTGGCTGGGGCCAGATCTCGGAGCGCAATAAGGCCGTCTCTATGCAAGTGAGAAGCGTGGACGTGGCTTTGATTCCCCGAAAGACTTGTATGAGCCAGTACAAGCTGCGTGGCACCATCACCAGCACCATGTTCTGCGCCTCGGTTCCTGGAGTCAAGGATGCCTGTGAGGGCGACTCTGGGGGACCGGCCGTTTACCAGAATCAACTCTGCGGAATAGTTTCATGGGGTGTCGGCTGTGCCCGACAAAAGTCCCCAGGTGTCTATACGAATGTAAAGACTGTAAGGAGCTTCATTGACAAAGCCTTAGGCATGTGATTGATAGAAATACAAAACAAGAAATGGTTCAAAAACTTAAAAAAAAGGTTAAACATATGTAACATCTGTAGGATCTGCTGATTCTTGGAGAAGGGATTTCTAAGAACCTAGCTTCCGGCGTATATGACAAGAGGCTAGCGGAGCCAATAGAATTTGTATCCACTAATTTCTAATTATAATGAAGACAAATTAATCTGTACTCACCACTATTCCGGAGACCTCCGGGTACACTGATGTGCACGCCCACATTTTGCAGATAGACATTGTACGGATTGCTGATGGTGATTACAACGGGATAGTATTCGTTGACTAGCATTCGCGTGGTGGCCACCACGGGCTCTTGCTCATCCATGCCACTATTATTCTCCTGGCCATGGCCAAGGTTCGTTTGCGTGTCCAGATGAAACCTAGAATATAGAGACGATGATCAGTGGAGCATAAAACTCGCTGCTTGCATGCAATTTTCCCGGAAACTAGTTTAGTCTTCCGGTACGAATGGCTTTGACTTACGTGGGCGCGATGTAACAAATGGGATTGATCGTAACGTTATCATCGAGATCCCGGCTACGCGTGTGATGCCGAAACAATTGGCGCGAGTAACTCGAACTGCACGTGAGCAGGGCGGCCACCTGGTCGGTACCCATGTATGCCTCCAAACGAACAATGCGCAACTGGGTGTTCTCGTGGAACTGCTGCGCCTCGGTGGTGCAAAACATCTGGTAGTAGGAGCCAGGCTCCAATCTCATGTTCTTCTCAAACGGTTGAGGCAGTGCCACCTGCTCCTGACGCAGCTGTGTGAGGCTGGGAAAGCAGAGATACTTGAGAGCCTCCAGCTTGTAGCTATTCTGCGGATATCCAGCATCGGCCAGAATTACATGGAAGCTGCGCACGCTCAGCGGTACATCCGTAAGAACCCTTAAAGTATAAAGAACACGTATATAAGGAGAGATTCAGCGACCGAAACTCCCGCACTCACCTCACTATCAGTTTCAACTGGACCACGTCGTCGTTGTTTAGCTGCACTCTCTCGAATGTGGCGCACATCTCCACCACGTCGGTAACCTTATCCAAATCGATTTGAATGGGCGACTTCACGCTGGCCAGTGCAGTCGTCCACAGCGCCTGAGCTTCGCTGGTCAGCTGAGTCTTCGGCATGGGCGGCATACCTTGGAACACCTGCCAGAGGTTCTCCAGCAACAGAATCCGTTCCGCCTGCTCGCCACGGTTGTGGCGCAGGGACAGAGCTTCCACACTGCAGGCAATGTAGTCAGCCACGGAGGCAGAGAGCAAGGCACAGCGCAGCGTCTTCAGCAGAACGTCCGTAAATATGGTGGACCACTTTTCCTGCCGATAATCCGGGAGCATTAACGAATACAATCTGGCGGAGAAGGTTAAAGCACTTGATATCGATCAAACTGTACGAAGAGAAAGGATTCAAACTCACGTCAAGGCCTTGGCATGATCACCGCTCTTAAGGTACTCCTCAGCCATGTCGATAGCTAGTTTCTTGCGAAACCTGAGGCACTTGTAGATCTTAAACTGGGCCATGGCCTGGCTCAGCAACGCTATGATCCCCGACGAGTGGTTGAAGGTGCGCTCCATTTCACACAGGTGCACATTGGCCTGCTGCTCGGCTACCAGGTCGCCCGTCTTGACTGACCGAATGCCGAAGAACTCCGTGTACAGAGACAGGCTATTGTGGCTATTCGGCGTTGGAGGCGTCGCCTCTGGGGAGCTCAACAGAGTGGCATATGCTTGCTGGGCCGAATCACGTCGCTTCATCACATATTCCGCTGCCTTGTGGTAATAGATTCCCGGGTGCTGCGTTTGTAAGGCGGGCAGGCCGTTCTTGATGGCTTCACAAAAGAGCTCGGCGAAAACAGAGTGTCTGAAAGCAAAATATCGTATGGTTACTCCAACGTTAAAGAGATAAGCGAGGCTAGAAATTACTGCGTGCTCAGCCAGGCATGATGCTCAAAGGCCAGATCCTTGAAGCCCACTCGGGACTTGTACTTCTCTACATGGATGATGAACTGGTTGATGGCGTCTCTCGGGGTCTTTAGCTTGAACATTAGCCGGCAGATTTTGTAGTTCAAGAAACCGGCCAGGGTTTTAATCTCAAGACAATTGCCATCGTTTATCCGAATTTCGTCCAGATTAGCGTAGGCCTGGAAGTAGTGCCTGCACATTAAAGTTAAAGTAATTATTATTTTCTCACTAAAAAGAAACAAGAAAAACTCACTTTTGGCCGGTGCTAAAGTCCTGCCGCATCTCCGCCACGAATCCTAGCTTGAACTGATGCCGAATCTTCAGCGAGGTGTGCGCCGCGGTCAACTGATCCCGATGGTTACGTATCCGCTTCGACATGAGCGCGTAATAGGACTGCGCCATGTCCAAAAAGGCCGACTCCAGCCGTAAAGCGTAGCCCGTGAGGTGTTCCGTGTGCGGGAGGATGAACAACATCTTGCTGGTAATCCCGCAGGCGCTGGTCAGGCTGGCAGCCCGTTCCGCCGCCAGTAAATCCTCGCCCGGCGGCAACGGGGCAGCCTTCTGCAGCAAGACCAGGCACAGCCGGGTGTTCCGCTCCTGCAGGGCGTTCTTCAATGCCTGAACAATGCCGGCGCACTGCACTTGCTTCTCCGTCCACTGCAGGTCGTTCCACTCCATGTCCTGAAAGAGCACGACCACCGAGGGCAGAACGTGCAGATGCTTCAGCATCCAGTTGCGCTTGAGTATGCCCTTTGGATGATACCACTCGTAGGAGGCGCGCTTGGGCTTAGCCACCGGGAACTCGTAGTTGGGCGGCAGCAGCTTGTACTGCACTGCCGCCCTGTCGGCGGCCTTGCGCTGCAAACTCCCGCTAAACGCCTCCCACACGGCCTTGTGCACGCCCACTCGCGCCGTGTCCAGCCCGCAGAAGCCAACCAGCGGCTGCGGGGTCACGAGCAGCTCCGACGGCAGGGCGCTGGCGTCCATCGTCGTCATGCTTCCGTCCGTCCGGCCGGGGCTGGTGCACTGAGATTGAGATGGGATGACGGCTTCTTCTGCAACGGCCACTCCTCTCCTTGGGTCCAATGTGATGATCTTCTCCAGCTACGTTGTCCGTGTTGCCATTTAGTAGAGGTGCGCAATATACGATTAAAACATCGATGCACTTCGATGTTTATCGAATGTTCTAATAATCGATGTTTTTCGACCATCGATGATTCTGTGCCGTCACTATCAATATACATCGATGTTTTTGCTCTACCATTCTGGCATCTCTGAAAGTGAAAAAGCTTATGTAGCTTGAAAATAGCTAATAGCCTTAAAATAAGCCGATATTGATTTTTATCTAGCGTTTTATCGTTTTTTTCTATAAATAAATACCAAATAAATAATACTATAATCTTAAATATTTTTGGTACTTAAGTGAAATTTGAGATTTTGATTTTACACGTGTAGAGAACATTTCGTCAAATGCTCACCTTTGGGGTAGAATTCTTATACATGACGTCAAATACCAATGTAAAAAGTAGAATTAATTAAATATATCGATACTTCTCTTTCTTAGCTATTTCTAGCTATTTTTGGTCTTTTTAGCCAATCGGCAACGCACTCTGGTAACACTGGCTGACACGTAGCCTCATTCGTTTTGTTATTTCCAAAGGTAAGATTTAAATCACTGCTTGCAAGCTCAAATCGGACAGTTGCACTCGCAAACGGTTAATTAACTAGAGCTCCATTGCTTTGTGCTTATTTCAGTGTGCGACGCGTGCATCCCAAGACAAACAACACAACAATGGCTCCACCACAGAGAATGCGCGTCGCCAACGAGAAGGCCAGCAAATATGTGACGATGCGTGGCAATGTCCCCAAATCCTCGGTGAGTTTGGTTTTAAGTTTGAGTTTAAATGGACTCCGAGAAGTGCATAAGGAGTTATGTGTAAGGAAAGTCCATCAGGAGGCGATAATCAATTGCGAAAAGTGCCACGCCGTCATTGATTTTATTGCTGATGCGTGCGCTTGGGTATGAGTGTGTGTGTGTGAGAGGAGGGCGGGGGAAGCTGGTGTTTGTGCGAGTGTTATCGGCTCTTCTGGAACTTTGATTAGATGTTCGCTATCGACGCTCGTGCCACTAATTCCAATAATCTCCAACTGCATGTCACAGCTAATCTCAACATATTTCCCATTGCAGAAAACGAAAGAGGGTCAGTATCCCGTGGGTCCCTGGCTCCTGGCGCTGTTCATCTTCGTGGTCTGCGGCTCGGCCATTTTCCAGATCATTCAGTCGATTCGCGCCGCGTAAGGAGAGCTCTCCCCTCAGTTCCGCTTCGCACAACTGTCACCAGCCGCCACATCTAGCGAGGATGGGACACCTTTCCGCAACTTCACTATACACTTCCCCCAATATACAGAACAGAAACGTAGCTGAATTTTGATTACTGAAACCCCCGGAAACATGTGCAAATGCCTATAAAAAATGTAACTTGGCTTTCCAGTTGATTTTCGTGTCTGCAATATGTATTTTCTAAACACAAACTTTAAGTCCATTTAACGCGTTTTGCATTAATTAATTGTAAGCTCCGCAGCCAACTGAACGTTATGTGCATTCCTGCTAAAATGTCTCCTACACTCACTGAAATAGCTGAACGCGATCCAATATCCCAATTAAAGGCGATATATATAATGCATTTTAAAGATGCTTCTCCATGCTCGAGTTCTTTGAATAGTGCAAAAAAGTGTTTAAGCATTGTTTTCTAATGCAACAGACGAGTAGAGAAGAAAACTATGAGTACATAACAATGAGGAATATATAATATATAATAATTTTTTACCTATAAATGTGTTTTCTGTATATTGTGGGGTGCTTATTAATTAGTATTTCCAATTGGAGATTATAACATATTCTCTTAACTATAAATATACTTCGTGTTTACTCACGAACAATGAATGACCCATCACTACTTTCTGCAGCCCTGGATTTACTAACAAAACAGCTGATTGGACGCCTCGAAAAGAAACAGTGGAAATCTTAATATAGTGTTTAAAAATGCATTTAATTGTTATTATTAAATAGTACAAAGTAAAAAAAGTTAATGCGTCGCCTGTTCACATTGGCCAACATCCAAATAATGTCGAAGAACAAAGGAAAAGCCAAGGCAACTGGCGAGGCAACAAAATCAACTCCGGCCAAAGAGGAAGCCGGTCCGATTACAGTGGACAAAACAGGCAATATATGCATACAAATTCTGGCCAAGCCGGGTGCCAAGCAGAATGGAATCACAGGAATCGGATTGGAGGGCGTGGGTGTTCAAATAGCCGCTCCGCCCAGCGAAGGTGAGGCCAACGCAGAGCTGGTCAAGTTCCTCTCGAAAGTACTTGGCCTGCGAAAGAGCGACGTGTCGTTAGACAAGGGATCTCGGTCTCGGAACAAGATAATACTCATCAGCAAAGGAGCCAGCACCGTGGAGGCCATTGAGGAGTTGTTAAGAAAGGAATCGGAATCATAGATAATAGATTTATCGCAGTTGTTGAGGAGTTGTTAAGAAAGGAATCGGAATCATAGATAATAGATTTATCGCAGTTTCTCAAATAAATTTGGATTTTAAAACACATTTGCTTGTTTATTATTTGGTTTTTTTTTGTTCATCGATCGGGTCATCATCAAACCTTAATTATACATTTACTCTCCATTGTTTATATTGTAGCTATCAACTAGATCGCGTATGTAAGTATGTAGTCTTTAGGTTTTTTACATAAATTACTTGGATTCTAAATTAGAAATTCCTTAAAACGACAACTGCTCCTGCTTTTGAATGTTTGTTTGAGTCTGTTTATGATAAGCGTATGTTTTTGTCGCTTATAACGCGGCAAAATGTTAGGAAATGACAATACAAAATTTAACTCTGCTGTCAACTTAGTACGAAAGGTCGAAATGCAAGTAAATTATGTATATGAATGTGTGTGACTGGATGAATTTTGGTTTGTTGGGGATGTTGGGTGTGCGCTTAATCGACCTCCTCCATGTGGGAAGCATCCTCGGTGTCCTCAACCAGCGAGGGGGCATCACCGGCGCTCTGGGCATCCTCGGTGGTCATTGGCTCGTCCTCGTCGATGCCCAGACCCAGCTTGATCATGCGATAGATGCGGCTGGCGTGCACCTGAGGGCTGTCCAGGGAGAAACCGGATGAGAGCAGAGAGGTCTCGAACAGCAGGATAACCAGATCCTTGACGGCCTTGTCGTTCTTGTCGGCATCAGCCTTCTGACGCAGAGTCTCCACAATGGGATGATCGGGGTTGATCTCCAATTGTTTCTTGCCTGCCATATAGCCCATGGTAGCGGTGTCACGCAGAGCCTGAGCCTTCATGATGCGCTCCATGTTGGCGGACCAGCCGAACTGCGAGGTGACGATGCAGCAGGGCGAGTCGACCAGACGGTTCGACACGACAACCTTCTCAACCTTGTTGTCCAGAATGGACTTCATCAGCTTGCACAAGCTCTCGAACTTGGCCTTGTCCTCCTCGCGCTTCTTCTTCTCGTCCTCGTCCTCAGGCAGCTCCAGACCCTCCTTGGTGACAGACACCAGCTGCTTGCCCTTGTACTCCTTCAGATGCTGGATGACGTATTCATCGATGGGCTCGGTCATGTAGACGACCTCGAAGCCGCGGGCCTTGACGCGCTCCACGAAAGCAGAGTTGCTGACCTGGTCCTTGGACTCGCCAGTGATGAAGTAGACGTGCTTCTGGTTCTCCTTCATGCGAGACACATAGTCGGACAAGGAGCAGAAATCGTCGCCAGAGGCGGAGGTGTGGAAGCGCAAGAAATCTGCCAGCTTGGCGCGGTTGTTGCTGTCCTCGTGCACGCCCAGCTTGAGGTTCTTGCTGAACTGGTCGTAGAACTTCTTGTAGTTCTCCTTGTCCTCAGTCAGCTCCTCAATCAGCTCCATGGTCTTCTTGACCAGGTTCTTGCGGATCACCTTCAGGACCTTGTTCTGCTGCAGCATCTCACGCGAGATGTTCAGGGGCAGATCCTCAGAGTCGACCACGCCCTTGATGAAGTTTAAGTACTCGGGGATGAGGTCCTCGCAGTTGTCCATGATGAAGACACGGCGCACGTACAGCTTGATGTTGTTGCGCTTCTTCTGGTTCTCGAACAGATCGAAGGGAGTGCGACGGGGGATGAAGAGCAGGGCGCGGAATTCCAGCTGGCCCTCCACAGAGAAGTGCTTCACGGCCAGATGGTCCTCCCAGTCGTTGGTCAGCGACTTGTAGAACTCTCCGTACTCCTCCTGGGAGATATCATCGGGATTGCGAGTCCAGATGGGCTTGGTCTTGTTCAGCTCCTCATCCTCGGTGTACTTCTCCTTGATGGTCTTCTTCTTCTTGGCATCCTTGTCCTTCTTGTCGGCATCCTCATCCTCGCCAACATCCTCGATCTTGGGCTCATCGGTGTCCATCTCCTTCTTATCTTCCTCCTTCTTCTCGTCATCAGCCTCATCGTCGCTCACCTCCTTCTCGCGCTCCTTCTCGACGAGCAGCTTGATGGGGTAGCCAATGAACTGCGAGTGCTTGTTCACGATCTCCTTGATCTTGCTCTCCTCGAGGTAATCGGTCTGATCCTCCTTGATGTACAGCACGATCTTGGTACCACGGCCCAGGGGCTCAGAGTTGTCAGCGCGCACGGTGAAAGAACCGCCAGCGGACGACTCCCAGATGTACTGCTCATCATCGTTGTTCTTTGAGGTGACCGTAACCTTGTCGGCGACCAAGTAGGCGGAGTAGAAACCCACACCGAACTGACCGATCATGGAAATATCGGCGCCGGCCTGCAGAGCCTCCATGAACGCCTTGGTGCCAGACTTGGCAATGGTTCCCAGGTTGTTGACCAGATCGGACTTGGTCATGCCGATACCGGTATCGATGATGGTCAGCGTGCCGGCAGTCTTGTTGGGAATGAGCTTGATGTACAGCTCCTTGCCAGAGTCGAGCTTGCTGGGATCAGTCAGCGACTCGTAGCGGATCTTGTCCAGAGCATCGGAGGCGTTGGAGATCAACTCACGGAGGAAGATTTCCTTGTTAGAGTAGAATGTGTTGATGATCAGCGACATCAGCTGAGCGATCTCAGCCTGGAAGGCGAATGTCTCTGCTTCCTCAGGCATCTGGAATGGGTTGGGTTGAACGGAAAGATTAGTTTAATCCGGATTTTTAATTGGATTTAGAAAACTAACGCAGCTGCATATTCACTAACACCCTTTTGCTTGCCTCTCTTGCCTCTTTTCTTTTTCCACCACCACATGCGTGTTTACTCATATATGTACATATGTATGTACATTGGTGGTCAAAAAAGTAGAAACCCAAAGATGACGCACATTGAACTATGTACATTGCGTTTAAAATTAGAATTTAGAAAATTTATTGTTCTTTAATTAACTGAAGGTGAACTAAAAACCCAAATTAAAAAAAGGTTTTAATTTGTTCTAGAAATAAATGTAATTTCATCCCTCCTTTTCGGCCCACCACTGTATATAAGCATGAATGTATATGTGCGTAACCTCTGCACATTGTAAATTCGTACATAACCAAGTTAGGAATTGGAAACATCTAGAAAACTGGGAAAAACTAATCTCCTTGACAACTGTTATTAAAAAGGGACACAATTTCGAGAAAATACTGATGTTTTATGTTATCAAGCGTTTTTTTCACAGACTGACGCCATTTAATTGGCGGCATTGCTAAGTGGCCATGTGTGTGTGTGTGACATGTGCAAAGTACTCTTTAAATTTAAAGTTTTCCGTGTAAATGCAAATGCAAGACAAAGCACGTGTGGGGTTAAAAATTAAGAGTGTTTTTTTTAATTAATCACCCAGTTTTGCGTATTGTTTAATTCATCAAAGTGGAAAAGAAGTTTCCAGAATGTTCTCCAGCCGAAAAGCCGGCACTTTCTGCATATGTATGCGTGTGTTCGTTTGCATCACTCTTAAATAGCCGCAAAAATCATTAAAGCAATAAACGCAACGTAGAGGATTAATTAAAAACGGCAACATCTTGCATCACTTGGCTTCTAGAACTTTAAAATCAATATTCGCCAAATGGGTCAAGAACATTGCACTGTATGCGTTTTCTTGCCATTTTCCTTTGGATCACTGCTTTCGATTACTCACCTTGTATGTTATTCTTTCTATTCACAGAATAAAGGTAAAAATGTATAAATTTTCACTTTGCTTTGTTGCAAGAATGAGAAATTCACAAACTATTTCGCTTCGCAACAGACGTTGACTTTCGATTCACACCGAACGAAATTTTTTTGGACTGATAAACCGGCAACGCAGGCCAGCTGCTTATATAGAAAAACTGCCCCAACGACCGAATGTTCTAGAAGCTTCTAGAGTTTTCTACACGCTCGGTACTCAACTTCCGGTTAGTATTTTCTCGCGATACGGCTATCAGTGTTGTGAAGTGCTCGAAAAGTGCGCAACCTGTGCGGGCGAATTCAAAAGTTATACTAAAACTGAATTGGAGAGGGATTTGGGTAGAGAAAGTTAGATCATGGATTACTTGATTACAGAGTGGAATATATACTTTCTAAACGGTTTTTAAATTAATAAATTATGTATATACTTTAATAATATATAAAGTTTATATTTCTTCTAATTGTTTGATCTAAATTAAAGGGTGTATAAATGCGAATAATTATTATTTTACTAGTATTCAAATATGCTATAATTCCCTTGTACCCTATAGGTGCCAAGTATGAAGGAGCTAGAAGCATTAAATGTAATTATGTTTATTTTTGGTTTATTTTTAAATTTTTATTTCTCACCCCTGACTTGCTAAAGTACCCTTAATTTGTAATGGTCAGGGCTGAAAAACGTTCGGCAGCGGTGATGGTATGTGTGTCCTATCGATTACTTTAGAGACACGGCGCAGCTGCTAGGCACTTCCTCCACTATCAACAAACAACGTACAACGGTTTTTTAAAAACTTCGGGAAGACATAGAACAAATGGAACTGTCTTGAAAAGTAATTAAATCTCGTAAACTAGAAAAGTTTTTTTTACATTCTTCTACTATGCAAAATATAAACCATAAATATGCAATTTTAAGAATATAGAAATTAGTTTACGAGTTTTAAATTTTATTTGAATATCCAGTAAAAAGAAAATATGAAGCTCAGTTGCTTAATTCAAGTGACAAATAATGGAATCATCAGTGGCTTTGTTCACGCAAATCTCTTGGGTGGAGGCATCACAGAAGTATCCATCGGGGCAGCTGCCGGTGACATTGGTAGGCGTCAAGGCTCCAAAGCAAAAGGCAAACGTGGACCGCGAAGTGCAGGCAAAGGTGTAATTGGGAGCACACATGCCACAGCTGTCCGTGTCCCCACAACTGGAGGGACTTTCGCTCCGCTGGAAGCAGATCACTGGCTGATCCGTGCACACCAAACCTTCGGTACATACAAAGGTCTGATTTACATCTGGTGTTTGGCTACCAAAGCATAAATGGTAAGCGGTCTGGTTGATGCAAGCTGCTCCATTTGATTGGCACACATCGCAGTCAGCCTGAATCCAAGCAATCGATACTACCACCAGGGTAACCTGTAGATGGAATGGAAGGTATACTTAGATAGAAATAGGTACAAGTTTCTCAAAAGATCCTATTGTAGAGTCCAAGGGTAATATTCTTATTTATCATACAATATATTAATCCCTTCTCCATTTAAATATCCTTAATAAGGATACTTAGGAGGAAGGGAATAATATTAAGCTCTCACCAAACCCAAGAACTTGTACATCCTCACTACTTTGCGCTTCTTATGTGAATGATTAGGGAAATCCAAGGCAATGCTATTTAGTCTATATTTTGACAGAGGTGCCGAATTTGTTCTAGGGCATCGTAAAAATTCGGAGCCGTGGGTTATGAGAGTGCCTCAACTTATCTTTATGGACACTAAACAAACTTTGACTGAATTTGAAGGTGTGTGGGCCGGCTTAGGCTCCTATAAAGAGAATTGGCACCGCTTCTGGCAACCATCACAAGGCAATGGCTCTTCCCGGTAAACACACAAGCGCCATGCTGTCAGATATCACTCTTAAGGTAAGTTAATTGCCTGGCAAGTAATCTCTAAGCATGTAACCCATTTGGTTGGCAGATCTGTCTGCTTCTTGGAATTTTATCCGGGCGTTCTCTTGGGCAGTCGGTTTGCTCTAGCTGCGAGGCGACCAATGGACAATATGCCTGTATCAGCGAGACTGCCTTTGGGTTTTGCTTCGGTCAGGGAACTGTGGACGAGAATGCTGTGCAAAGCTGCGAGGAGGGCTACTACTGTGTCCTGGAGGGTTTCTGCGCAGCAATGGATTCAGCGAAAGTAAGATTTAGATTTGGGTTAAAGTAAGATAAGATTGTCTAAGTTCACACTTTTTTAACATTAACTTTCTCACAGCCGGCCTGTGTGCTAGAAGATTCTACGACAACATCGGCTGTTACCACAGGTTGGTAAATATAGCGAGTAAATAAGTTTTGGCAAAAATTAAATGGGTTTATGGCTTCCGGCCCAATTTTTCTTCTTTTTAACTGACAAATTCATCGACTGACTCAATTACAGTGGAGACTACAGAGTCTATACCTACTTCTACGACTCCTGATTCTACAACCGACTCTACGATTCCTAATTCAACACTAGAGTCTACAATTCCTGATTCAACGACAGAGTCTATAATTCCTGATTCAACGACAGAATCTACAATTCCTGATTCAACGACAGGGTCTACAATCCCTGATTCGACGACAGAATCTACAATCCCTGATTCTACAACAGAGACTTTAATCCCTGATTCAACGACCGAATCGACTACATTCGAAACTACTGAAAGAACTGATTCATCAACAGAATCTACAATTCCTGATTCGACGACAGAATCTACAATTCCCGATTCAACAACAGAGTCTACGATCCCTGATTCAACAACCGAGTCAATAATCCCTGATTCAACGACTGAATTAACTACATTTGAAACGACTGAAACATCTGATTCAACAACCGAATCTACTATCCCTGATTCAATGACAGATTCTACAATCCCCGATTCAACGACAGAGTCTACCAGTCCTGATCCAACAACTACAGAGTCGACTACGGAAATTAATACAGGTTCGTCGAAGAGTATCTTATAGTTTCTAGTTTGATTTATAATATTCGCTTTAAGGTTTATCTACTGATTCCAGTACAGATTCTACCACCACAACGGAGATTACTACAGGTTTAACATAATATAGTACCAAAGATTTTATATTTTAATGACTCTCGCCTTGCTTTATTTTACTTCATAATGACAGAGATATCGACGGATTCGAGTACATTGCAAACAACAGAATCTCCTACGCCTGAGACTTCGATCACAACAGATGTTACTACAGGTCTCTACCAATCTGTTTTCTAAAATCCCTTTTTATTAATCGTATTTTTTCCACCACAGATACGAGCACTGCTTTTACCACCATAACAATAGGTACGCAAACATAAGATATTTCCGTTTTTGGGATTTACTTGCATATATCTAATTGTAATCCATAGACTCATCCCCTGGCACCACAGTAAGCACCACTACTCTGCCATCAGAAGTGGACGCGAACCAATACTGTTCAGAATTGGGGGCCAAAGGCTACTTCCGAGTTGAGACAGATGCAACCTGCCAAAAGTAAGCATTATATATAATACACAATTTCAATAATAAATAAATTCAAATCTCAGGTATGTGTACTGCTACAAGTTGTCCAAGGATTACCTCGGTTGGCTTTATTATTGTGACACGAATAAATACTACAACTCCGATACAGAGTCTTGTCAATCGGAAAGGCCATCAAACTGCTAAGTGTTGGAAGTAAAAGAATCATCTTAGTTTAGATGTAAACCCTTGCAGGGTATTATAATTTTCTTAAATTCTAAATTGAATTGCAAACTGCAAGGGGAGATAAACTTTGGCTTCCCAAAGTTAGTTCCCTTTTTTATTTTTATTTTATTTTATTTTCAAGTAAATAATTTACTTAGCTAATAAAAATCACTATTGCTACTATAATAAATGTAAAGATTATTATGCACAACCATCGGGTTTCGTGACACTGCAGTATCCCAAGGATGCGTTAAAATATTGCCCGCTCCTGCAGTTCTTGACCAAAGGTCTTGAGAGGCCATCCTTGGCCACATAGCAAAGGACATAGCTAAAAGAACATTTCCAATTGAGTCATATTTTATCGAGTTTATTATGAACTGATAAACTGATGATGATTACCTGGCACATGTAGAATCGTTTTGGTTCTCAATCATCACAGTCGGGATCTCATTAGCGCAGGCCTTGTCTGCACTCCAAGCGTCTGTGCTGCGAGCAGGAGTTGGAGATGCAGCCAGGCAGTGAACCAGCAACTAGACAACGTAAACTCTAATTACTGAAACACTCGATGGGAATCCTTGCTTAGTAGTTACCAGGGATAAAATAAGTCTTGGCCACATACTGTCGCTTTAACCTTGCGTCCTCTTTGCACACTGAAACCTTGAGGCATTTGTGGGGCCTTTATGTAGCAACAGGGTTTAATCTAAGCAGCATCGTTTATCTTTCCGCTTTTTCTTTATGTAATTAATGTTTATGGTGTGTACCTCAACTTGATCTGTGTTTTGATAGCAATAAATGTGTGTATGTATGCTCAGAAGTCTTTTTAGATACGAGCAATTATTCCCATGGAAAAAACAAACTCAAGAGTGGTCATCAAATGAAATAGCAACAACCCGGGCTTTGTGCTAATGTTTTACTTTACTGACTTACTAGTATTTTTTTTAAATATTTAATAAGGCTCTGAATGGGTTTTCTAAAATCTATTTGCAGAAGAAACTATATATAAAGTATGCAACTTTAAGTAAAACACTTTGAAACTCTCTGCGCAGCTTTATCTTTCTAAATAACGTCAAGAATAACTCTCTTTACTGTTCTTACTGTAGGTTTTTTATTGGTAAAACGATAACAATGTTAAAGATTAGCAAGAAATTCTACGAAAGTTGGTGCTTATGTACAACCATCCGGTTTAATGGTGACGCAGATTTTGAAGCTGTCGTCAAAATAATAGCCCATCTTGCAACTCTTGATTAGTGCGTGAACTTGTCCATTTGTAAAATAACAATATACGTAACTATAGAAATTGGGAATATAAGTAAATAGTTTTTTGTATGTCTTAACTTAAGTCTTACAAAAGCAGGTTAGTTTTCTAAAACTAAAACCTGATGGTATGGCTTACCTGCTGCATGTAGGATCATCCTGATTTCTTGCCATGGTCGTGGTTGTAATTTCGGCGCAGGCTTTCTCTACACTCCAAGCTTCCTCAGAGGACTGGTCACTTAATTCTGAAGTTGGCAGTGCTGTCAGCAAATTAACCAGCAGCTAAATTCACGGGATATTAAGAACAATTCAATTTAACAATACAAAATATCCGATAATGCCTCCTACCATAAGTAAAATAAATTTCACCAGCATTGTTAGCTTTGTATTGCCTGACACTCTCTAAATGCAAAAAGGAACCAAAAAATGGGCTTTTATATCGGAGGAGGTTCTCCCAAGTACTGCTTATCTTTGAACTTAATGGGGATGCAATAAATGATTGTGGTTTTTATTATTAGTGATTTTATTGGCAAATCATTTTATGATGTATTTCGAAATTCATCAGAATTTGCTGGTTTATGTACAATAATCGGGTTTGGTACTGACACAGACTCTTTCAGAGGAGTCAAAATATTGGTTTGCCTTGCAAGACTTTATCAAAGCCTTGATGACACCGCTGCTAATATAACAATATACGTAGCTGCAAATTTAGGTAATTGATAATTAAAATTATTAAGTTTGCTTTAGTTTTCAGCTTACGTAGTGCAAGTGGGATCGTCTTCGTTGGTAAACAAGGTTGTGACGGTAATATCCGCGCAAGTAGCCTCCTTGCTCCAGGGTAAAGCTGTTGTAGTCGTTGTTGTAGTTGACGTGGTCGTTGTTGTGGTTGTCGTTTCTGCCTCGAGGCATCCATCTGGCTTCGTGGGTCCGCAAATTTTTAGGCTTGCATCAAAGTAAAGGTTCTCCTTGCATGTCGTGATCTTCACTGAATGGACACCGGTATTGCTCACCGAACAGGATATATAACTGAAACAGTTTTTATAAGTGGAATTATCTAGTTTTCGAACAAACAAATTAATTACGTTGTACAGGTGGGATCATCTTTGTTTTCGAAAAATGTACTCTTAGTGGCTGCATTGCACAAGTCCTCGGCATTCCAAGGAGCTTCGGTTGTCGTAGTTGTAGTCGGTGGCGTCGTTGTGGTTGACTCACATACTGGACTGGCACCGCGGTAGCAAGTGTAAAAGCCATCGGTGCAATAGAAACCATCGGGACAAGGCAGGAGTTTATACGTAGGCACTCCTGAAAGTAAAAATATTTATTATAACGGCTTGTGTTCGGTTAGTTTTTGTAATCCTGCTTGCTACGCTTTGATTTTGTAAGATCGTTGACTATAGTTGAATCTCACCCAAGTACCGACCAACTTACTCACCATCGTAGCAAACGGAGAAGGTGGTTTCGCTGTGACAAGCCACATTGCTTTCACTTTGACATTCATTGCAGGCGGCCATGGCATTGTGGGCCAGCAGCTTGATATTATTAACAAGGAATACGGATGTGAATCAAGAAATTTACACGGTTTTGGGTTCGGATTCAGTTACCAGTGGAATTATTAGCGCCTGCCACATCTTTTTGGTCTTCCGTCGGAGATCACTCTAAAATACTGGGGACGAACAATTCACTTTATATATTTAACACTTTAAGTTATCTCTGGAGAGACTTGCCCAAAAATAAGAGATAGTTGAGTTATGTTTGCTTACTTTTATTGCGTTGTTAGGCTCTTCGCGTCAATAAATAGTACAAGGCTACGATACGGTAATTTATATAAAAAAATATATATATTCACAAATTGAAGGCGCGTTTGTTAGTTATTAGCTGCTAGCAGAGAACGATATACATAGGAATACATAGGTAGAATACATAGAAACGGGAAAAGAAAGCCTTTCCGCTTTGGACGCAACACTGAGGCATCGGTATACATAGCATAGCTAAGGGTTAACACGTTTAATAGTTTGTATTTGTAGAGTAGGCTTGTGTATACTGGATAGTTATGAGTTCGTTGGCCTGGCTGGCTCTTAGTCTTCTTTTGGAGTTTTTGTTTTTTGTTTATATTGCATAAATACGTTGGTACTATAGTAAGTATAGTCTTAAGGCAAATCATAGCGGTTTAAGCAGCACTTTTACACTTATTACACTGTGTTACATGGACTTAAGGCAACATCGATGTTCTAAATGCATTTTAAAAATAAATTCGTAATTTCTAAAACGAAATAATACTTCGTCAGCGCAAAATGCATTAATATTCAAGTTCAATTTCAAATTCGTATACTTGATTTAAGCCCTAGACGCATCCGTATTCATACCAGATGCTATTGCTCTTGTCCTCGGTCCGCTTCCGCGCCGTCTTGTCGTCCTGCAGAGGAGTACTAGTGCTAGCGGCAGGAAGCAAAGGGCTCTGGTCGCCGCTGGTCGAGGCACCGCCGATCGTTGTGTTAATCCGATTGTACATGAGAAATGTGGCTGGGCCACTACTAGCCGTGGTGTCGCCCGTCTTCTGCGGCGTCTGAGGTGGCTCCGGCGCTGGTGCAGTAGTTGCTGGGGCATTGCTACCGCCCGACGATTGCTGCTGCTGGGCGGAGCTACCATCGGGTAGCTTCTGGTGCTCGTCGATTAGATAAACGGTGCGTCGGGAGCCAGCTGTGCCCAGCGTCAGGCTGCTGCCCGTCACGTCTGGCGCTTCAAGACTGCTGTAAAGCAAACTTCATATTAGCATAATAAATATTTCAACGAGACGAGGAGCCACAACAATGGGATGTTCAGGGAGAAGGCATAGGGCGGAGATACAGACAAGGGGCGTAAGGCTAGGGAGTAAGTTTTAATGGGATCTTAAATGATTGTTAACATCTAAAGCGCATTACCCGTGCACGCTATTTCTACGTGAGTTATTCAAATCCGTACGTTTCTGTGCCTGCAGGCTACTGCGCACGGCACCTCCGCGTTGGATGGAGTTATCCAGCAAGTCCCTATTGTACAGAGTGTGTGGTGCGAACGGGTGTTGAGTTGTGTATAATACATGTAAATAAAACGTAGATCGGAGAACCGTGAACCCAAAAATACAACCAAAAACAAGAAAGGAAGTTAACTTCGGCACGCCGAAGTTTATATACCCTTGCCGATAGAACTTCTATGACAAGGAATCCCTACAATATAAATTATATATATTTATGATTAAAAACAATGAAGTAACACCTCTTTTCATTTCATTCACCTAAACATATTTATATTTGCAGTTCACAGATTTGCATTTTTCCTTTACATCAAACGATCGTTTGTATGGCACAGTCGTCCGACTTTCATGAAATTTTACACAAAATTTAAGACTAATATAAAATGGCTAAACCTCAAACTTGATGAAAATCTGTTGAAAACTGAAAATGTTATAATTTTATTTGTAAAAATTTTCCGGTCATTGAGTGAGAGTATATAGAAGGCTAACTACAAAATTTCATTCAGATAGCTTCAAAACTGAGAGACTAGTTTGGGTAGAAACGGACAGATGGACAGACGGATAGACGGGCATGGCTAGATCGACTCGGCTGTTGATCCTGATCAAGAATATATATACTTTATATAGTCGGAGGTGCCTCCTTCACTGCGTTGCAAACTTCTAACTGAAATTATAATACCCTGCAAGGGTATAAAAAAGAAAAGGAAAAAAACAAGGAAAAAAATCCTAAATAGGCTTATATTAGCAAGCTTAAAATCCTTATTTTTTGAGCGGGTTTTTGTGTGAAGAATTACTTTTGCAAAAATTATATACAAGCATTGCTTGAAATATGTTAACTTTCTGTTATTTAAAAGCATACCAATTCTTAAAAATTTGCTTTAAAAATATAGATCAACTTATTTTAATATATATTTTATATTGAGCAGTTTCGATCATCACCATTGTTGTATTCTTTGTTTAGTAAGTTGTGCTGAATAAACTATTTTCGGGAGTTAAGTATACTTTACTATAAATAAAATAAATGACACCATATCCCCGCTCGTCATGATCATCACGGCTCTTAAAGAGAGCTTGGAAGACTTCGAGATCAATAATAAGCTAGTCAACACGGCCAAGGGTATGGTAAATAAACAATAATTTAATATAAACCATATTTTCATGTATCTTGACTTTTTTGGGCCTTGTTTTGGTTTCAATTATCAAGAGATATTTTATTAACGTCTTACCTTAATTAAGAAAACTATAATTTTTATTATTGCCACATCCACTTGATCAAAGTCTATCAACCACCAAGCACTAGATTAGTAATTTATATAAAAAACACACAAAAAGAAGAAGAAAACTAAACTTCCTGTATCTAGGGCCTTGCTTAAGTATAAGACTTGAGAATCGCAGAGGAGAGCGCTCTATGTACCAAATAGTTAAACAAATCCTATCTTTCAGTCGAAAGCTTGAAACTTAGTGATGGAGTCATTTCCGATCCTATTATTCATATATATTTTTGATCAGCATCAACAGCCGACTCGATCTAGCCACGGTTGCCACATCCACTTGATCAAAGTCTATCAACCACCAAGCACTAAATTAGTAATTTATATAAAAGAAGAAGAATAAAACTAAACTTCCTCTAGCTAGAGCCTTGCTTAAGTGTAAGACTTGAGAATCGCAGAGGAGAGCGCTCTATGTACCAAATAATTAAGCAAAGCCTATCTTTCAGTCGAAAGTTTGAAACTTAGTGATGGAGTCATTTCCGATCCTATTATTCATATAGATTCTTGATCAGCATCAACAGCCGACTCGATCTAGCCATGGTTGCCACATCCACTTGATCAAAGTCTATCAACCACCAAGCACTAAATTAGTAATTTATATAAAAGAAGAAGAAGAAAACTAAACTTCCTCTAGCTAGAGCCTTGCTTAAGTGTAAGACTTGAGAATCGCAGAGGAGAGCGCTCTATGTACCAAATAATTAAGCAAAGCCTATCTTTCAGTCGAAAGTTTGAAACTTAGAGATGGAGTCATTTCCGATCCTATTATTCATATATATTTTTGATCAGCATCAACAGCCGACTCGATCTAGCCATGGTTGCCACATCCACTTGATCAAAGTCTATCAACCACCAAGCACTAAATTAGTAATTTATATAAAAGAAGAAGAAGAAAACTAAACTTCCTTTAGCTAGAGCCTTGCTTAAGTGTAAGACTTGAGAATCGCAGAGGAGAGCGCTCTATGTACCAAATAGTTAAACAAAGCCTATCTTTCAGTCGAAAGTTTGAAACTTAGTGATGGAGTCATTTCCGATCCTATTATTCATATATATTCTTGATCGGCATCAACAGCCGAATCGATCTAGCCAGGTCCGGCATAAATTTAATTTTTTCAAATTTTTTGACAATTTTAATTTTTAATTTTTTTAATTTTTATAAGGGGTATCGTTAAAATGGTGAAAAATTTATGAAATTTAAATTTTTTTAATTTTTAAATTGAGTATGCAGATTTGTTACCCTAATAAAAACTGAAATTACTGCATTTTGGCTTAGTTATGATATATTTAATATTTGACCTCTTAATACTTAGCTAACTTCAAAGGTATTAAGAAAATTATTCATGTTTTTTTTGTATATAAAATAAGTTTTTAATATATGATTAGTGTACTTACTTTGAACTTCTATGAGTAGGAATCCCCACAATATAAATTATATATATTTATGATTAAAAACAATGAAGTAACACCTGTTTTCATTTCATTCACCTAAACATATTATATTTGCAGTTCACAGATTTGCATTTTTCCTCTACACCCAACGATCGTTTGTTTGGCACCTATATGATACAGTCGTCCGATTTTCATGAAATTTTACACAAAATTTAAGACTAATATAAAATGGCTACACCTCAAACTTGATGATGATCTGTTTAAAACTGAAATAGTTGTAATTTTTAATTGTATTAATTTCTCGAGCGTTCCTATGGGAGCTATATGATATAGTAGTTCGATTTTCATAAAATTTTACACAGAATTGTAGAGTATAACAAAATGGCTATATCTCAAATTTGATAAAAATCTGCTGAAAACTGAAAATGTTATAATTTTTTTTGTAAAACTTTTCCGATCATTCCTATGACAGCTATATGATATAGTCGTTCGATCTGGCCCGTTCCGACATATATATGAGTGAGAGTATATAGAAGGCTAACTACAAAGTTTCATTAAGATAGCTTTAAAACTGAGAGACTAGTTTGCGTAGAAACGGACAGACGGACAGAAGGAAAGATGGACAGACGGATAGATGGACAGACGGACATGGCTAGATCGACTCGGCTGTTGATCCTGATAAAGAATATATATACTTTCTATGGTCGGAGGTGCCTCCTTCACTGCGTTGCAAACTTCTGACTGAAATTATAATACCCTGCAAGGGTATAAAAACCACAGAGTTTCGATCGCTTACCGCTGCAGGCTCTGGCGAAGCGGAATGTTTCGCTGGAGCAGATGCGTATCGGAGGCAATGGATATGGGCTCCTCGTTGCTATTATCCGACTCATTACCGCCGGACTCAGAGCCGATTACAAATTGTGAACTGGTTCGGGCATCATCTACCCAGGAGCGACGGTTCTAACGAAAGGGAGCACAGAATTAGTCAGAACACGGGCTAGGACAGGTTACTTACTCGACTGGGCACTTTGTTCATCAAATCCGAGCTGGCCTTCTTCACTCTTCTAACCAGACCAATGGCAAAGGGTTTTCTGAAATCAAAAGATACGACTTGGTACCCATTTTCCTGTACTAATCTGTTTGCTTCTTACTTCTTGTGGACTGTGACTTCGGTCTTTTTGTAGTGCTCCATGATTTTCTCCTCCAGCTTTTCCTTTTGTCGCTTAAGACTGTGCACCCGTTCGGTGTAGTTCTTCTCCTCTTCGTGAAAGTGCTTCTTGTCCTCGAGGGAAATCGCCAAGAGCTCCTGATATTGGGAGAGTAACTGTGACACATTGTCCATTAAGGCCTTGCGCTCTGAATCCAGATCGGCATTGTTTTGAATGAGCATCTGCAGGGTAAACTCATGGAGTTATAACTAGGTAATACCAAACGCAATTGAGAACTCACCTCGCAGCGTTGCTGAACCTTAGTGTACTCCACTTGGAGATGACGAACTTGGTCGCTCTTCGTGTTCAGCTCGCCGGTTAGCTCCGTATTGTGCAGCTTAAGGCTCGAGTGCTCCATGCGTATCATCTTGTACTGCTCCTGGATGTTCTTGTACTCGTTCTTGAACCGATCACTGGTGGCGAATAGGTTGCGGAAGTCGTCGGTAAGCTTGGAGTGCTCAGTGCGCAGAATGGACAGATCCTCGCTACAGGTCTTCATATTGTTGTTCTGCGTGGTCAGCTCTTCAATGCGTTGCTCCAGAGCCGTTTGTTGTTCGCGGGTGTCGCGCATCTCCTGTCGTAGATCCCGCACCGCCGCCTTCAGCTGTTCCTTGTCCTTGTTCAGCGATTCGTATTCGGCGGAGAGCTGATCGTGCAGACACTGCAACGTCACTTGGTCCTGCAGCGCATGCTTGTGCTCCTGCTGCAGCGAATCGATTTCCTTTAGCAAGGTATCCTTTTCGGCCGCCAGCTGCGAGTTGGCCAGCTGTAGGGCCACATGCTGAGTATTTAGCGACGTAATCTGGGAGCCCAAGGCAGCAACGTCCACACTGAGCCGGGCATTCTCCGTCTGCAACTGTGTGTTTGAGTCTTTGAGGCGCGTCAGTTCTGCTGACTCGCGTGCCGGGCTAAGACGAACCTTATGCTCGAACCGCAGTTCCTGGGAGGAAGGCTGCGCCGCAACCGACGCTGCAGGAGCAGACGCCGCTAGCTCGATGTTCTTTTCTACGGTGAATATTTCCTGGCGGTGGCAAAGCACACACATGTCCGATTTGACGCCTCCGCCCTCGTGATCACCGTCGTCCTCCATTTGTTGCTGTTCGCGCGTCACGTTTAGCATGATCTCTCGCACAGTCTTGAAGGTTTCCGGATTACGTACAAGCTTCTCCACCACATGCTCAACGTTCAGTTCGCCGGGCTCTTCGTCGGCGAGGCCGAGCTTCTCCAGGTTGTGTCGCACCTTCTTTGTTACAAGAGTTCCGGTAACCAGGTCATTGCGTAGTGTGCTTATCATCTCCTGGTCAATGTTGCGTTGCGAGACTAGCTCCTGGTTCTGCTTCTCCAGCTCCACGAGTTTTAGCTGCACCTGCTCGGCCTCCTCGAGGGTTTTGGTCAGCCTGACCAACTCCTTGGCCTGGGCATCAAGTCGGTTGACGCTCTCGTCCAGCTGCACGGACTTCTGTTCGCTGCCCTCCTTCAGCTTTGACACCTCTTTGACCAAGCTGGCGTTCTCGCGCTCATAGGTCGATACCTTGGCCTCGATCTCGTAAAGCCTCTGGCGGGTCTGTTCGTGTTGCTTGGACTTCTCTGTATATTGCTCCAGCTCCTTGGCTTTGCTTTCAGCCAGCCGCTCCAGATCGTCGGCTCGACGCTGAATGCTCTCGTTTAGCGTCTGTATGCGCTGCTTCTCCTTGTTCAGAGTCTCCACATGCTGCTCCGCATCGGCCAGCTTCTGGCGATCCGTCTCCCGCTCGAGACTCTGGCGGTCGTAGCTTTTCTGCCGACTGTCCAAGGCGTCTTGTAACTTCTTGTTCTCCTCCAGAGCGTTCTTGAAGACGCCTTCTAGCTCGACATTCTGCTGGGTAAGCCGCTGGACATTTTCCTGCATCTGTTCAATTTTTAGCGAGAGCTTTTTCTTTTCCTTCTCCAGCTCCAGCATCTTGCCGGAGGTCTCGTGAAAGTTGCTCTCCTTCATCTGCTCCAGGGCGGCCGTCAAGCGACGATTCTCCAGCTCCAGTTTAAGAGCACGTGTCTGGGCATTGTTCGTGAGCTGTTCGGAAAGACTGTTGTCGCCAGAGTTGCAGTCGTCTTCGTTGTCAGAGAAGGACTTGTCCAGCTCCTGAGTCGTATTGAGATTCTTAGCCACCAGCTGCAACTGGGCATTCTCCTCCAGCAGCTCCTCGAGCTTCGATCGGTCCACGTCCCGTTCCAGCGCCATATCGTTGAGCTTCTGCTTGTACTTAATGATCTCGGACTCCAAGGAAATGGCGTGCTCTGAACGTTTACGATAACGTTGCAGCTGCTCCTCAAGCATTTCCCTAGGAGGATTAAATAAGTTATATAGTCCCTTTTAAGTTTGTTAGGAGAACATACTTTGATTCCAACAGCACGCGGTTGTCCTCACGCAGCTCCTCTACGCGCGACTTATAAAAGTCGGAATCACCGAGTTTTTCACGATACTTCTGGACCTCCACCTCCAGGCGATCTGCACGCTCCGCGCGCTCCCTTAGGATGTCCACCTCGTCGCGATAAGCAGACGCCCGCTTGGCCTCCGTAAACCATTCCTGGCTCTCCTGCCGCAGCTTATCGAAGCGCACTTTCTTGTCATCGAGCTCCTCCCGCAGCTCCAAGAGATTCTCTGATTTTTCCTCACTGAAAAGCGGAATTGACATTACTGAAATAATGGAATATATATGACAACTTACAGCTCCTGTCGCAACTTGCGGTTCTTAGACCTGAGATCCGCACACTCTACGGCTAAGTGATTGCTCTCCGAGTTGGAGGACGATGAGGGCGTTGAGGTTGCCGTTCCGTTGGACGGGGAGCGAGGCACACTGACGCCCTGGCTGCATTCCACGAGATTGTCGCCAGCGGCCATTTCGGGCTCCACGCAGGCCAGATCGATCCACTTCAGATACATGAGATCCCGCTCCTTCGTGAGGCGCAGGATGTGCGTGTACATACTTTGCGGTGTCAGCCGTTCCACAGAGTCCTCGGTGAGCACCAGGCTGTGACTGTCTGTTACCTGCTTGATCAACGCCACAATGGCATGCTGCGTCTCCAGATCCAGCTCCTTGATACGGGCAATGAACAGCTCCTTGTTGGGACACTGCACGGCGGCACCGAGCAGCAGCGTGAGCAGCGTCCGCATCTGGTCCAGGCCGCTCCTGCTCTCCGGATGGTGGCCCAAAGTGAAGGCATCGGGCAGGACCAGTATGGTCTGGCCCAGCTCCTCCTCGAACAGGGCCTTGAGATTCCGCACAATGCATTCGAAGTTCTTGGCCCTCGCAATGCTCAGCGACTTTCCATTGAGATCGTTCAGCTCGCTGGGATTGTTCTGCGGCTCCGGATCGATCTGCAGCCAAACGCTGTGGATAATGTGGCCATCGAGCAGAGAAGTATAGCCCGCGAGCAACTCCGCTCGCGGCAGGCATGATTCCAGCTGTAACGGAAGAGATTACCAGTTTAAAACGAGAATAACGTGAGCGGGCGTGAATATGTATATTTTTGTAGCTGGACAAAAGACCAGCACTCAAATGAAGCCCATTACACTGTTCCTCCTGCGCCCGTGTCGTGGATACCGTAAGCCACCGTCTTGAGCAAGTTACAATGACCTTGGTTCTTGCGACTCTGCGAAAGCCACATAACTACAAACAACTGAAGTTAACGATATAGCAACGGTGGTTAAGCTTTGCCGGGTATTATTATTTCATTCAGAAGCTTACTATGCTGTGAAGGAGTCATTTCCGACCCTATAAACCATATATATTGTTGATCAGCATCGACAGCCGATGCCGATGCCGACAGTCAATCTAGCGACATTTTTTCAAAATTTCAAAAAAAGATAAAGGGTTACATCGTTAAAATTTTAAAATTTGGCAAAAAAATTTAATTTTTTATATTGCAAAACCCAGTATGTAGATTTGTTAACCCTTTAAAAAGTAGAACAGAAATGTATTCCGAAAAGAAATTGGTGCATATTTGGCTTAGTTATGATATTTTAAAAAACTTGATTTATCAGAAAAATTAGCACATCAAAATCTTCCTAGAATTTATATATTTTAGGTTTTCTTGCTGATATACTAAGACAAAAAGATAATATTCTTTTGTTTAAAGTAAATGTAAATGTATGTATGTTTTGGGCGATATTTCATTAGGTAAACAAACATAAAAGACTTTAAGGGCGATAATGACTGCCAAGAAGCTACGATAATTTCCATGCTCAAATCGATTTTGTGTTCGACGACACCTGTTCCCATTATGTTGACCTCAACTGTGTATGTGTGTGTGTCGTGCGCGAGTATGTGAGCAGGTTGTTCTCATGACTGTTTGTTGTTGTTGGCACTTTGTGTTTTCTTCGCTTTTGTGTTTCCATATGTGCGCATGGGAATCGAACACTTGAATTATTTATGCCAAGCACATAGACCCACTGGCGATGCAAATATCGAGCAGCTTATCCATAGAACAACTCACCCAAGAAACGAGTGCTCCATTTATGAATTCGTCAATTTCCATTGGCGTCGCCGTTGCCGTGCCTGCCATTGTTGTTCTTGTTGTTTCGGTGAGATGGACGGAATATGTAGGTGCTCGTGGTGTGTGCCCGCTACTTCTGCACCTGTCACAATGTAGCAGCTGGTGCACTGCGGCCCTTCCGAATTGCAAGCTGCTGCTACTTTTTTATTTTCCCAACGATTGTCCCGCAGCCTCCCAATAATCATTCCAAGGACGGGGCATTTCCCGAGCCACCAATAACGCACATCCGGAAAATCACAGTTAAATATACACTAGGAACGGCGGGACAGCACTTTTTCAGAATGGGTTTAATAAATACGTTAACTACAAGCACTAAAAGCGGTACGAAAAATAGCGAAAATCACTTTTGGGAAGACGAGTTGTATTTTAGCTTCTATAGAGATGGTCGTTTTTGTGAGTTCAAAGGTATCGGTTGATCGATACATCGATATATATTTATCAAATTCTCTTCCTATGGTCACACCTTTTTCACTTCACTTGCAAAATTCTGTTAACACTCTGTTCACCATCACTTCTCTGTTAACCTCTCTCATATTTTTAAATTCTTCTGTAAAATTCTGTTAACTCTCTCATTTTTTTTTAATTCACCTGCAAAATTCTGTCGACCTCTCATATAATTTTTAATTCATACGATTAATTCTGTTAACTTTCTTAAGGCATAATTTACGTACTCACCAGTGTGGCCAGCTAAATATGGCTGTAATAGCTACTGCCCCACCGATACCGATATCGATAATACACGGTTTGGAATGCAACAGAATTCGTTGGAATTTCAGTTTGAAAAGAAAGCTTTCGAAAAGAAAGCGCTTGGCTCGCTCGTGTCGTGGATCGGAGGAGGATGCTGGGCTGACGAACGGATTATTCAACGCGCCGCAAAAATGGCAACGCTCGCAAACAAAGCCCAAACGCCTCGAAAGTCCCATTATAAGGAAATATTCGCGTGAAGTTTTGATTAAATCGAGTGTTAAAGTGTTGTTTTCAATTGGCGATACCAAAACGACGGGTGCCCGAGTGTCCCGACTTAATTTTCGACTGTCTATATATAGATCCTCTGTATAGACAAGCACAATATTGCAAATAGGTTAAATATCTAACGTCTCGGAATGGGAAATCAGCCGGGAAAGCTGCACACGCATCCGCAGAGCGGTCGCCCCAAGAAGGCCGTTCACTGGAAGTCAGCAGGCAAGTAGAATCTCCAGATGGGAGTGCCCGAGTCCTCCCAGAATGAAGGCTCCCCCGCCGCAACAGGCGGATTCGGAAGGGGCCAGAGAACGGATAGAGACCCACATAGCTGGCTAGCTGCTGGTGGGAGCGCTAGAAATGCTTCTATTTATAGCCACTCTCACACACTCAGTGGTTGCCGTCTTGTCTCCGTCTGTTTGGCCCCAAAAGAATGAAACTCACTACGTCAAAGTAATGTTGTCGTCCGAACCACATCGGAAGAACCATTCATTATGTTTGTGATCAAATAGTATTGCCATCTTCCGAGTGCATCTTCTTGTATGGATGGAAACCATAGACGAAGGTTTTTCCAGAAGAAAAAATACAGAAAATGTTGATTTTTATACCCTTGCAGAGGGTTTTATAGCTTTAGTCAGTTGAGGAGTCGTTTGCGACCCTATAAATCACATACATTCTTGATCAGCATTGATAGAGCAATCCATCTGGCCATGTCGGAAAGAATTAAAATTTTTGTCATTTTTTCAAAATTTTATAAGGAGTTACATTGTTAAAATTTTCTAAAATTGACAAAAATGTTTATTATTTAAAATTGTAAATTTAGTATGTAGATTTATTAGCCTTCTTAAAACTAAAATAAACTCGTTTTCCAAATTGAAATATTTGCTTTTTGACCTAGTTATGATTTGTTTAAACCTTGATCATATAAAAATATTTCAGATCTTGAGGAAATAAGTTGCCAAGGAAGCCTGTTATTGAGTTTCTTTTTTTTATATTTTTTTATTTATACAATAAGAAAGAAAGAAAGTTTTCTCCTTTAAAATTAAATGTAAAGGAATTCAAATCAAATAAATACCAAATATCTCTTCTATACTCAAATAATTGTATGGTTTACGTGTTAAACCAAGTCCTATTCCTTTACTTTGAATAGTTTGTAATCAAATTGTGCTTTCAGAGCGACCCTCGCCACCCGGTCGACCCATCCTGACGCCATTGGCGCAGCCAGAGCAACAGCCGGACGTGGTCAATCTGAGGTGGGATCGGCCCCTCCATGACGGGGGCTCTCCGATCACTGGCTACACGGTGGAGCACCGTCGCATGGGGTCACCGCATTGGGTGAGGGCCACGCCCATTCCCGTGACTGGCTGCGATGTCTGCATCAGCGGCTTGGAGCCAGGATGGCGCTATCAGTTCCGCTGCTTCGCCGAGAACATTGTGGGTCGCTCCGATGCCAGCGAGTTATCGGATCCACTGACTGTAACACTGCAGCGGAATGCGATCACAGTGCCACGATTTATTGACGAGCTGGAGGACATGAATGCCGTGGAGGACGAGCGCATCGAGTTCCGGGTCCGCATCCTAGGCGAGCCACCGCCGGAGATCAATTGGTTCAAGGATGGCTACGAGATCTTTAGCAGTCGGCGCACTAAGATCATCAACGATAACGAGGCCAGCGTCTTGGTTATCCACCAAGTGGCCCTTACGGATGAGGGAGAGATCAAGTGCACGGCTACTAATCGAGCGGGTCATGTGGTGACCAAGGCCCGTCTGATGGTTCAGGCTCCACCGAAGATCCGGCTGCCCCGCACTTACGAGGATGGACTGATCGTGGAGGCTGACGAGGTGCTGCGGCTTAAGGTGGGCGTGGCTGGACAGCCACCGCCGGCCATAACGTGGCTCCATGAGGGCGAGATCATTGCCCCAGGTGGACGCTTCGAGGTAAGTAAAAGCCCGAGCACTGAGGGATACATACACCTTATCCTTGCTTCCCTTTACAGATCACCAACACAGAGAAGAACTCGCTGCTCAAGATCGACAATGTGCTGCGCGAGGATCGTGGCGAGTATATGGTGCGGGCCTGGAACCGACTGGGCGAGGACAGCACCTCTTTTCTGGTCACGGTGACGGCCAGACCCAATCCGCCGGGAGCACCCAAGCTGAACATGTCCTTTGGCAAGTCTGCAACGCTCTCCTGGACAGCGCCACTTGATGATGGTGGTTGTAAGATCGGCAACTACATCGTCGAGTACTTCCGCGTGGGCTGGAATGTGTGGCTCAAGGCGGCCACCACTCGAGCCCTGACCACTACGTTGCACGATCTGATCGAGGGATCCGAATACAAGTTCCGTGTCAAGGCGGAAAATCCCTATGGACTCAGTGAACCCTCGGGTGAATCAGAGCTACTCTTCATACCGGATCCCAAGAGGGGAATAACCAAGCCCAAATCAGCTACCAAGATAGCAGGAGTAGAGAAGGACAAGGGTGATGCAGGAGCCGAGGCAGTGCAGGTTCCGCCCCGCCGTAAGACCCTATCGCCACCACGTCCACATGCGGATGCCTCCACGGGAATGTCGCCGAAGCAGTCGCCCAGCGTGAAGCGAAAGCCCAAGCCCCAGCTCATTGATAACGAGCAGCTGCATCACGAGATGTCCTACGGCACCTCCGACCAGGCTCTGAAGATGGACGTGCGCAAGAGTCCGTCGCAGAGCAGTGCCGACTTGGCCACCAAGTCCACAACTGTGGGCTCCAATCCGAAGTTGAATCTGACACTGGTCACCACTACTCTAGCTCCGTTAGAGAAATCGGAAGTGCAGCCACGGTCACCAAAGTCTCCTGTTTCGCCGCCTTTGAAGCTATTCAACATCAAGCCCTCGGGACCTGCGAAGGACAACACTAAGCCGAAGGACAAGTCACCTTTGGCAATACGACAACCGCAGCCATTGCCCACACCGCCCAAGGATAAGACGGAGAAGACGTCGCCCAATCGCAAGAGGAGTTTGAGTCCACCGAACAAGAGGCAACCGGTGCCGCTTCGAAAGAGTCCAACGCCACCCGAACCCATGAAAGCAACAGCAGCTCTACTGCGAAGCGCTGAACCCGTTCAACTCGGAGTCAACCAGAACGTCAGACGCTTCTCAGGACAGACACTCAGTCCGGCCAGGAATGTGCCCACTCTGGCGCTTGCTGTGGCTTCAGGGGTAACCGCTGTGATTGGCGAGAAGCTGCCAACCATTGAGATCAGTGCGCCTCCCACACCGCAAGAGGAGGAGCCATCGCCATCTCCAGTGCCAGCTCCGATGATGTCGCAGCCCATTTCAAGGCGGTCTTCCAGGTCAGCGGATAAACATGACGATGTCCATACCAGCAATGAGTTTATGCTTGTCGTGTTTGATAAGAACAGCAAAGTCAAGGACAAGGACAGTGAGTATCCTATATATAATAGATTGGGATTAGAAATGAAAGGATTTATAGGATTAGGAAAGTCCTTCTCTTAGCTTTTATCTCAAATTTATACTCATCTTTCTTTCTCACCACTCAGAACAAGATTCCTTCGAGCTGGACCTGGAGGATGCCATCCAGCCGCCTCCCATCTCGATTTCGGCTCCGGATCTGGCCTTCCTTGAGTTCACCAACTTGCACACCACTTTTCCGTTGCGTCGCTCTGTCAGCTCCACGGAGTTGCTGTACGAGCGGGCAATGGCGCGCTTCTACGAGGCTGTGGAGCTTGAGCAGGCTTCCAAGTCGCGCAAGACATCCCAGGATAAACTGGCAGCCGCTCCAACGCCTCGCGAACCGCCGGCCAATCTGCGCAAGCGTCTTGGTTCTATTTCGGAGGCGGAGCGTGTATCCTTCGAGCGGAGAGCCGAGCTGCGTCGTCAGTCGGCAGACATGGTGTCCATGGCGCGCAAATGGGACTCGAGGGAGAATGTCAACGATTCGGGCAACCTAACGCGCCCTGGACAGATGCCTTTGGAGACGCGACAGGATCTTAGGGAGCCCCAGGACCAGGAGGAGCTGGAGGAAGAACATTTGACGGAGAGCACTGCCGACGATAGCGAGGATATGGATCTGGACTTTGACGATGACGATGCAGACGTGGACTTGGAGTATCCGTCGCAAAGACAAAAGCAGCAACACCAACAGTTGCAGCAGCAGTCCAGCAACGACCTCGGATCGGACTATACGGAGAGCACTGCCTCCTCGGAGCAGGACTCCATTGAGAAGTTTAAGATGGAGCTGCTGGCCCGCACGCGCTCACCCAGTCCCCGAGACCTGGAAACCTATCATCCGCGCACCATGGGCGCCGGAACCTTCACACCCTACAGAGCACCCACTCCAGAGCAGGCTGCCGTGGTCCTCACGCGTCCAGTGCCTTTGCCTAGTCCCGATTTCGTCCCCAAGCCAATCTTGAAGCGTTCCTCCAATGAACATGTAGAACAGTCAGCGATGAGTCCCTTGCCGGCTGGGACAGGAAACGAACCTTTTGGCGGAGCCACTGTGCCTCCACCAATTGCAGCAGCTGTCGTCAGCAACCCTAGCACCCTCAAAATGGACCTAGCCAAAGGTATCAAGTCGTTCTTTAGTCGCGACAAACGCTCGGCCACCGAGAAGAACACGGAGGCTAATGAAGAGATATCCAATCCACTGGAGAAGACAAATGCAGCTGCCATTGCTGCGGATTTGGAGGCGAAGCGCAAGGCCAAAGAGGAGGAGGAGTTGCGCCGCAAGGAGGAGGAGCGTCTCATGGAAGAGGAGGCCCATGCCGCCGTCGATCACTACAGCGATCTGGTGCGAGAGGTGGGCAGCTCACATAGGTATCACACGCCGCTCTACCTCGATCGCGATGAGTTGAAGCGGGCGGCTGCCAAGGCGGCGGCAGAGACCGATGAGGAGGACATCCTCTCGCACTCGGAGGAACTAAAGAAACGACTAGCCAGCGGTGCCAGTGGTGATGACATGTTCCTAGCTCCTCCAGTGGTCCGAGAGCGACGTCTCTCCATTTCAGAACGTGAACAGTTGGTCCATGTACGTGATGCAGCTAGTAATTTGGCCATTCAGCGCGCTCCGGACCAGGCTGAGACAGATCAGGAGAAGGAGCGGGAACAACAGGTGTCCCACCACGAGGAATACCTCCCGGATGAGGAGCCAGAATACCCCACTGTGCTGGTGGTGCCGCCGCCCAAATCCAAAAAGAAGAGCGAATCGGAGACTGAAAGCGTCATGAGCGAGATGGTGGAGGCTCGTCCGGATGCCAGAGGACGTACACGCCTCGTGAAGGTAAAACGAGTGATAAGGCGGCGTGTTCCGTCCAGCACACGATCGCGTGACACCTCCCTAAGCAGACCGTCGCTTCCCACTGGAACGGAGTCATCTGCCCTCGTTTTATCCACCGCCGATAGGGAGCTTCTGGAGAAGACTGCCGCTCTGGCCATCCTTCAGTCGGAGGAGCAGGCTCACGAAAAGGTCCGCTCTGCGTTGAGCTACTCCACCGATCTGGTCCTCTTCCTGGTCGCCTGCTATGTGTATTTGTTCAAGGATGCCCGCCTGGTGCTACCCATCCTGGGTCTGATCATCTACCGCCAGGTGGGCGATGCTGTGCGCGGTTGTGTGCCCAACTGGCTGCGTCGTCGGCTAAACGGGAATGAGGGAAGTTAGACAATTGGACCAGAATCCCGTCCCATGTCCGCTATGCTCACATGCGTTTATCGGTTAAGTTAGTTATTATTACATTACATACGACTTATTTATACGTCTTAAGTAAGTAAAGTTGAAGGCATGCATCCATCCAACCACCCATCCACCATTTCTCCATATCCCTCGAGTACATCCTCGTACCCTTGAAATCTGTATACGTAATTCTTTGGCTAGATTCTTGTTTCGTACTATTTCTTTGGGTTTTTTTTTTGTATTTTACTTTTGGATTTTAATAATGGAATTTCACTTATTTTAATTTCAACTAGAAATTTATAAACAAACTTTTAAAGCGGAACAAGGAACAGCAAGAAAGATATCCCAAACTAAATATATATTAACCCTCAAGAATTAATTAAAATTACAAAAATGATATCCTAAAATATATATTAACCATTAATCATTCATAATTCATCTAATCCCTTTGCTTGCTTAACATTTTCCCTATTTGTCGAAATTAATCCCAGCGAGAAATTAAGTTCATATTTCAAGGACATATTCATAAGATCCTTATTTTCCTCCCCACACTTTATTTCGCTTTGTGTATGTATGTGGAGCTGGAGCTATGTGAAGTCCTCATGTTATGAAGTGTTCGTTTGCGCGGTTCTTTGTGGTTTCCATCATCCGGATTGTTGGTGATTCACTTTGAAAATAAAAAGCTTAGCGTGTTATAAATTCGTAAATGTCATGAGTGCTTTCTTTGGCCAAGTTCTTGGCTTGTTTACCCACTTCCGTGGGGAATTTAAAAGTGGGTAGAGCTATAAACAGATCGAAGAAGTGCTCTTATCGGGATGACGACAGTTGTCAACAAGAGATGCTGTTGCGCCAAATGCCGGCGACTAACGCTATCAGCAGATAATAATCCAGGGGAAGATATAAAAGCCTCTGGCAGTAGCGGTTACCCATCATCTTTTCCCGCCATGGCTTTCGCACTGGGCTGGCTCTTCCTGATCACCCTGGCCATAGGATCATCTCTGGCCCTGTGGGCAGCTCCGCAGACTGATGTTACCACCGGTGGACTTAACCCTCAGCCGCCACCGATTGCTACTTTGGCTCCACCGCCCACGTTGTCTCAGGATCTGGACGAAATCCAGCGGTTGATTCAGTTCAAGCCCATAAATCAGCTAATAGTGCGTTACCTGATCAACGATCCCCAGTTTCAGGCATTCGTGAGGATCATCAATAGCAATTCGGCATTCACGGCCCGCTGGCGTCTGCGTTCCCAGCCGGAGATCATCCTGTTCCAGCAGTGGGTCGACCAGCAGCTCTTGGCTTCGGGCGGCGCCTTCGAGATGGAGGAACAGAAGCTGAAAGTGACCCTATTGAACCAGTTCCCCTATTGGTCTGGTACTGTTTTCGGCTGGCAAGGATTCCTCACCGAGGCGCAGCTATACTTCCCGCTGTACGCCATCCGAGCTCACATCGATGCCAAGGTGCTGCAGCAGGGCATCTTTGCCCAGTTCTGGACCCGAGTTCAGGGCCTCCAAGTGGTCTACGAACGTTGGTTGGCATCGGTGGAGACTTCCCAGGTTGTAGGTGAACTTCAAATGGCTGGCATCGACACAGTTCAGTTGGATGGCATCATTCGCGAGCTCTTCGGCTGGAATATGGTGAATGCAACCACAACTGTTGCGCCTGCAACACCCGTGGGTCCCACTATCATTCCGGGAGCAGTGCTCCCTCCGGTTAACGCTGGTCCTGTAATTGTCTAGGTAACTAAAATCAATCAGTGATGGGAATCATTTTACCTAGGAGGGGGATTATACGTTATACGAAATAAAAATATGGCTGCAGGCCTCGATTTGTTAATTAAGACATACTAGAAAGATAAAGCAATAATTAAATCGTATGCGTACAGGTAGTTATTAATGAATACCTTCCCATCACTGTCAATATAGCTACATCGTATATTTGGATGATCTTTACTTAAGACCGAAGTCTTTAACAAACAAATGGGCACTAACTACATCTACGTCGCGAAACGATGGACTGCACATCGTAATCGGGTTAAGAGCAAACTCAGAACTTAAGTTTGCCTAGCGTTTCAGAGACTTTTTTGGCATTGGCAGGCTTTTTCCTGTTGTCCTTAATGGGCGCAACAACGGCCTTGGGCTTCTTCACCACCATATCCTTATGCAGCGTCTTTAGGCTGGCATCCAGCTTCTCCTGCTTATCCTTGACGGACTCCTTGATCTGGAATTCAAGCTTGTGAGTCACGGCATCGCTTCTGGCAGGGGTTCCTGTCTATGTCACACTCACCTGCTTGAGCTTGCCCTGCACTTCCTTGGGCTTCTTGCCCTTGCCCTTACTGCTGTTGGCCACCTTGAACACGTTGTTGGCCTTCTTGGACTTATTCAGCGGGGTCTTGGGCTTGCTGGCACCAGGAGCCACCTTCTTGTTGTTCGCCTTGTTCCGACCCATCTGAAAGTAGGGACAAATAGACTGTTTTACTTGATTGAAAGCTACTTTATTTATTAAACATTAAACACATTTCACTTTGTTGGCTGTATTTTGTAGATCAGATTCGAGCACGTCATCCTCCTGCGCGCATCTCTTTCTCGTGAGGAACTCCTCCTTGGATGTGGTCAATAGCTGGTGACTTAATCGAAAGGAAACCCTGTACATGTCCTTGTTGGGTGCCACATTCCGTACAAAGCTAATGCCTTGAAGGAGACTGTCGTCTAGATTGGCTCCTAAATGTTTCTCCGCGAGCTCCTGCACCAAGACTTTGGTATTTTCTCCCTTGGCAAAGGAGTAAACATGAACGGTGGGATAGACTACGTTCTCTGGCAACTCAGCAAGATCCTCTACTTTGTAGAGCCCACGAAATGCGTCCAGGAACTCCACAGCCAAAGCGGGTAGGTTCATTGTTATATGGATGGCATTGGACGAAGTGTCTGTCGTGAGCAGACGCTTTAAGAGATCCTCCCGCAACTCCTCCACAATAAACTGCCTGCCATCCTTATTGAACATCTTGATATGCGCCAGGCACTTGTTCCGTTTTGCATTGTGTTGCAGCCAGTGATAGCTCACAGGATTCAGATCGTTGGCCAGGACATGGCAGCGCTTCTTGGCCGCCGGAACACTGAAGGGACCAACGCCGGCGAAGACGTCGTAGAGGACGTCACTGGATTTCAAAATCTTAACGATACGCTCATGCTCTGTGGAGAGACGCGGATTCCAGTACACCTTGGAGAAGTCAAACTCGAAGGGCACGCCGTTCTCTTTGGTCTCCACCTGATACACCGCCTCGCCACAGATTAGCTCTAGCTGGAAGTTGCGGTAGGTGTTGTCAATGCTCGCCGCCTTGTTGACCACCGTCCGGCAGTTGGGCAGCTTGTCCAGCAGCACCTGGCCAATAAGCTGCTTGTATGGCAGCAGGTGATCGCGGAGGTTTAGGTGCACGATATGGCCGATGCGGGAGTAGGAGGTGAGACCCTCCTCATCGGCGGGCAGTACACTCTTGAGGATTTCGCTGGCGCTCCAATTCTCGTAGCTCAGCTCGAGTTCCGCAAAGGAGAAATGCTCCTGCGTCACTTCCTGCTTTAGTAGCTCTTCCGTGGGCAGGGATTCCCAGTCTTTAACGGGCGTAGGATGCAGCAGGATCTCCCGGGACTGGTCCACAGCCCGCACAGGATGTAAATGCTCCATTTTGAGCAGCAGTTTCTTAACCAACGGCATCACACGCTGCACTTGCGACTCGGGCAGCCGTAATCTCGGCACTTGGACACTCTTCTGGAAGCGCTCCCGCTGCAGCTCTTGCATGCCGCGCACCGTGGCGGGTGGCTGCAGATCCTGGCACTCCATATTCCGAAAATAGTGACGCAAACGAGTGGCTATAATCGTTATTCGCGGTACCTTTACTTGGGCCACCATAAACATCCAAACACGTGTGCGATTAGTTGTCTGTTTTTTTTTCAGTGTTGCTCCGGCGCGTAGTGGATGCGGCGTTGACTTTAAACTAACCAGCACTAAGTGGAGCTCCTAGAGATCTCCTAGTTGCGATCAATCTTTAAATATACCTCAAAAAGTCTCCAAATTATTGGATTTATCCACAAGATCCGTAAAAGCCAAACAAACGCAGTGAAAACAGTGTGACCACCTACCGACCGTTAAAATAAACTAACTAGGTCATACGAAAAAAATACCGAAGATAGTTCTGTTTTGAAATTATAGCAACTATTATACCTGTGCTATAAATTTAAATACATTTAAAATATTTAAAAAATATATAAATTAACTTGTTAAGATTTCAAGAAATTTACATTTACTTTTAAAAAGTTTATTTTATAGTAATTTCAATCTAATTTTCTTAAAAACCCTCAAATCAAACGATTCTAATTTTAGTCACATTTTATGTTTTATTTAAAAATAAAAAGTCAATTATATAGTTTTGGTGATTAATCATTACACAGATTAGCTTTTATAGCATACAAATTATGCACATTCGCCTAAGATTCTTTTACAGATCATTACAAAAATATGTTGTATCATGTGTCTTTTTGTTCAACCGACTACATTATATTTATGCCATAAATATATATTATATGTATATATAATATATTAATCGATGTGCGCGAAGAAAACTTTGGGGCTAAACTTGTATAGATTTACAATTTGTGCAAGTGTATCCAAGGGCTCCTCCTGCTTCAAAATGGACCCAGCAGGCAGGTGCCAAGTGCATATTTGTATGAGTACTACGTACAAAAGCATATTTATTATTTAATTTTCGTCGTAGTTGTCCTGGGTGGTTTAATGTACACGTATATAACTATCTTTAGCGTGGCAGAAACATACAAGTATAACAGTTAAAAAAGTGGGGACAAACCGAAAAATATATAAACACCGGCGGCACTGAGCAATTTTAGCAAGTTAGAGTTAGATTAAGGGAAGCCTGGGCTCGTTCCACCTGCCTCCATGTGGAATCCAAATGACATTACTACAATTAAATAAATAAAGGCAAAACGCTTGCTTAAAGTAATTACACCACGGAGCTGCAATCGAACCGAGCTGGATCAACCGCCGGATCTTATCGCCGGTAGCGCCCCAAGTATGCCCTGCAGTTGGGGCATGAATGATGCACGTCCATGCAGTCGTCAATGCAGCACGGTATCAGGCAGCATCCCAGCCAGCATCTATAGAAGGAGAAAGATTAGGATTAGGATCGATCAGTAAATCTAGAAAGCTGGGTAGCGTCTGTTAGTCCCTTCTATAACTCACCCAAACAGGGCAATCAAAAATCCAGACAAATAGGCAATCATTCCGGGCTCGGTGCGCGTGGTCGTTTCAATCTCGGCGTGACACGACGGACAGATCATGTGCGTTGAGGACCGGCTAATAGGCACTAATGTAGTCACTATGGTTGTGTTGGTGGTGGCGGGAGCCACTACGGGTGTGTAGGGGCCCACGGGCTTGACGCCGCCCACCGCCTCCTGGTATGATGGCGGTGCCGATGGTGGCGGCACATAGGTAAACTGCGGCGGAGCACTGCCCGGCTTACTCATTATGGCTTAGGCTTAGGCTCCTACTAAATGCTTTTGTCGATTAAGTTTATGCTGGAAATAGAAAATCAGATTTTTATAAGTATTTTTCTTTAGATTTAGACCATTTAGAGAAATACATAGTCCGAAAAATCTTCGGGGCCTCAGGGTACTTAAAAAACGAAAATCACGCATGTATATGACGGTTTTTACTTTATAAAGTTTGACACACATCACAAATAATTAAATTTAAAGAAAGTTCTCAGACTGGAAAAATACACCGCATGGTGTTATGGGTCAACAATAAAGAATTTCAAACCGTTGAACTAAAAATTCGGGTACATTTCTCACAAATAAATAAGTTCAGAAAGGTAAACAACCAGCAACGAGTGGATTTGATTTAAAAAACGTTGACTAAAATAGCACAGAGCCCAATGGCCAGCGTCCACGGCGCCGCTATGAATCACATCTACTCTGTTCTTTTCTTTTGTATTTGGCACGCATCCGAATCTTTTTTGAGAACGGAGCGCAATTCCGATTCTCTAGAGAGGCATCAAAACATGCTCCAAATAGTTACATCCCAAGTCAGTACACTAAAAGGAAATTGAGACGAGTTTGCATGAAAGATGATCAGTTGTTTGGATTGGAATTATACATACATAAAATTTCCTAGTTTATATAAATGATTTTTACCCTTGAAATAAAGACAATTTTGTAATAAACAATAAATCAAAAAGAAAATATTGTCTTAATTTATGAATCAATTTTAATCGTTATTTTTATGATAATTTTTTTGGTCAAATCAAAATTTAAAAAACTCATAACTAAACAAAATAAGCATTAAAAAAGCTTTTCTGTTTTAGTTTTTATTAGGTTAATAAACCTGTATACCAAATTTAATATTTAAAAAAATTAAGCTTTTTCTCAATTTTTGAAAATTGTAACGATGGTTACATCTATATCTTAAAGTGTCCCTGAGTGTATTGTCATGTACATAAATAAGGGGCAGAGTTTAATAATGCGATGCGGTCCCGAGGCAATTAGCAATTGAAATTCCACGGAGGGAGTGGAGCACACAGTACATTCATTTAACCAATTGGGAGCAACAATCGGAGTTTGTCGGATTCTTTTCGACGAAAGCTCTCCGATAAGATATGTGGAAATGGTTTTATCCTCAACTAATTTCGTCAACTGAATCAGACTTCCATTGACTTATTGCGGTGGACAACGACCTGCACCTCATCCAAACTGCGCCAACTTTCACCATTCACTCGTTCAGGGAGGCAATGATTGCTTGCATTCAACAAGCTGCTCCGTGCGGCGATATCCATAGTTGCAGCCGGAAGTGTGGAGAACCAGATGGTGGTCTCGACTGGGCCAGAACGCCAACGACAAGCAGCTGCAGTTGGCGGAAATAAATACAGATAGATCACCACAGATACGAGAGATGCCAAGTGGGCGACATGCATGCATCGATCGAGAGATCCCAATGAATCAACTTTAATTCGGTTTTTACTCGTTCAAAGCAAAAGCGCTAATGGAATTAGCATCTGAGCGCAGTTTTTCTTAATTTCCACCACTTGACAGACTAACTTTAGACGTAATATATTACTAATGATAAACTGTGACGATCGAGACTTTTCAGAGTCACATATCATTCATCCCATCCATTCTATGTTCGTGCAACCACAGAGCTTACGTCAGGCGAAAAGACTCTGTCCGCGCCTTCGTTGTATCTGAGAGCTTGGAAATCTAAATCTTTGCTTGGGAAATGCGATAGCCTCCCTCGCTTGCCAGGTCTAAAGTATTTAAAACACAAAGCTTGCCACGGCGACATTAATTAACTCACTTAGGTAGCTAAAATGTATTATTTATATGTTAACTCTGCACGTCTCGGAACTTGGCTTGTCTTTCATGTTTGACTTTAGTCAGATTATCTTATATATTTTTGGGTTATATTAAGCTAAGGAACGTACTGAAAGTTGTTTTGCAAATGTTTGCGAAAATGTAAACAATTGCACAAATACCTTTCCTTATCTGAAGTAGAAGTACTTTTTTCATTCTATACAAATTGTTGTTTATAAATGCAGGAGCACATCAAGAACTGATCCAGCAAGCCAAATAATAATTATATATATTTTTAAACAAATCTCTTCGTCATAAAACAAATATTACCTTCCGAAAGGGTATAATAAATTAGAATTCAGCTGTGTATGCTTCTGTGAGTAGTGTACAAGGTCTTTTTGTCTGGCGTCCAAAGCTTCTTTCAATCAAAAGAGATTTCCAACAAAAAAATTCAAAATAAAAAAAATAAAGCGTCTTAATATGTATTTAATTTTAGCCTTTCTGTTAATTTTCCGACAGCGAAAAGGAATATGTAAATGCCATGTGAATCGAGTTTTAAGCCCGGAGGTTGTTATTTATTTACCCAAATTGCCGTAAACACAATTAGATAAACCAGAAAAAAGAATAATTGCATAAGTTCCGTGCCAAATTGAAGATTAATGTAATGAAAATTGCTGACAATTACTGGAATTTCATTGGAATGTTTATAAAGTGGCTCTTTTTGTTCGCGAAGCCCATCTGACCTATGATCTTTTATAAATATCAGCAAATACATATGTACATAATGTGTATGTTTTGATGCTGATAATGGTAAATATGCTTTATTACTGTTTACTTTTTAATCACAAAACGCAAAACTGACCCTAATTGTGAAATATTTTAAAATTCTTCGTAGAAAAACCAGTTTTGTAAACCACACTAGTTACTGTATCAAAAATGTATGCAAACAAATAAGTAGTTTATGCCTACAGCACTTTAAAACTACGAAAATATCATTTGAAATTTGTGCAATAGGTCCCAGGGTGGTATTTGCAGTAAACTTAATCCCTTTTGTGACCTTGGAGCCGCCCTTTAGAACTGCTTTTTTGAAACAGAACCTGTCCCGACTTCTCTCATAACGGTGATGATGTTTCCAATGATGTGTACATCGCGTGTGCTCTGTGTGTTTGTGTGTGTAATATCTTCACACCAGATGTTTTTGGCCGATGCCACAGATGACGTAGTCGCGCCAAAAATAAACCCGCTCGTGGGCGGGAAGGACGCTCGCGGGGGCGGATGGTGGGGGGAAACAAGAGCAGAGGTGTGATGATGGTTTACAGGTGTGTGTCTGAATGAAGCTGCGTCGTGTCGCAATTGTTGCTTTCGCAATCAAATCCTTGCACTTTTATGTTCACTTTACACTTAAAGGACACCTCGTAATCACAAATTCACGCATACCAAATCGTGACGCCAGCAGCCAATTTAATTTGCGCTAATTTTCAATGGATATTTTTGTTCGCAACCCGCACTACATGCACACGCACACGCACACAACTGCATACACAAATATTATTCTTCGTGAAAGATAAAACGTTTTATCTAGTCAAGACCGTCGTTCTTTGTAGCTGCCCTTTTTTAGCCGTTTTCTCGGCCTTGATACACCTGCGCACACAAATTCTTGCGAAAGCGAGACTGTTACCTCGAATATTTTCAGCGAGCGAAAAATAACAATATAACTGCGGCGATGACAAAAAATACAATTAGAGCTGGGAAAAAGTCGATGTCAACGTCGATTCGATACAACGATTGGTTCTGAAGCAATCGATGAATCGATCGCATAAACAAGTGGTTAATGAAACTTTGAGATTTCTTTTTGCGTTTTTTCGTTATGGAAATATTCAAGTTTAAAAATATTTAAGTTTAAAATGAAGGTCTAAACATTTTATCTACGATGTATACTGTCGTTGATCGATGTATCGATTTATGTACCGAAACTTTTGATGGCAGAACAAAAATGACCATCCCTAACAGCAGCAAAACAAAATTTACGCCGGAAATTCGGGAATTGCTACCCCTGCGGGAGCACAGGTGCGATAAGTGCCCCAATTTGGTGTTCGGCAACCAGAGCCACTATCAGCTGCACCTACGCCAGCGGCACAAGGTGGTCATAGCGCCAGAGCCAAGCGGAAAAGTAACAGAGTTTCACTGTCCCGTGGAGAAGTGCATCTACCATGAGACCATTAAGGGAGCGCGGAGCTTCAGCAGCTTGCGCCTGCTGCGTCAGCACTACCAGAAAAGTCATCTGGACAAGAAGTTCAAGTGCCAGGAGTGCGGTGAGAAGTTCCTGCTGCCGCGGCACCTGGAGAAGCACCAATGCTCCGAGCACAAGTGTCCCGTTTGCGAGTTGACATACAACAGCAAGGCTGGACTAAGGACGCATATGCGGCGAAAGAACCACATCGTTGAGGAAGAGGAATCTGACAAGGTTGCCATCCCTTCTTTGGCCACATGGAAGAAGTTGAATCCGCAGCCTGAGTCTGAAATCCCACCCGCAGTAGAGGTAAGCCCTGAGCCATCGGTGGAGGAGCCAGAAGAACATATTCTTTGCTTTCTGCCCATTGTGGACGTTGAGTACCCGAATATGCAGCTGCAGTCAGATAAACTGGACATGGAGACCCAAACGGAGGAGGTCGACGACCTGGAGGAAATCAAGAACGAGGTACTGGCGCCTTTACTTCGAGATATCCAAACTCAAACGCCCGATACCCGCGGAGATATTGGAACGATGACGGATGACTTTCCCGACGAGCTGCAGCCTGTGGAAGAGCAGCAGCAGCCAAATGCAGAGCCAGTTGGGAGCAGTTTTCCCTCCTATCCCGAGAATGAGCCCCTGTTTGGCCTGCAAACATCTGCCCACATGTACACCCAGACTTGCGACGAGCTGTTCGAAGAGCTCGGCCTGTCGCACATTCAAACCCAGACCCACTGGCCGGATGGTCTGTACAATACGCAGCACACGCAAACCTGTGACGAGATGCTGGACGAACTGGAGTTCCTGGAGAACTTTCAGTCGACGTACACGCAAACCAAGTGGCTGGACTGGCAGGAAAACGGAGAAGAAGGCAATTAGACTCTTATTTTCCACGATTATATATTAAGATACATTTGCTTTATAAAAATCATAAAGCAATTGTTATAAAGCCATTTATAATACAAAAGTTGTCACATTTGTTCATTAATCTAAGCAGACTTTTTAGCGAGGTCAGTTGATTTCTGTTTTAAGGCGAGAGTCCCCTACTTGGCCAGAAGGAGCTCGGAGCATTGGAAAAAGCAGTAACTGCAAAAACTCAAAGCCAAATAGTTGCCCAAGCCGCTGAGGTATGCTCCGCGCATCAGGAAGTCGCCAATCTCCTGTCCGCCAATAAAGTAGACATTGGAGAAAGCTGCCGGGATGAATAGCTGTGTGGCAAGAATAGCGTAGAGGCGCTGGGAGCCCACTTCACCCAGATAACGCTGTGTCCAATCCTGATACCTTGGCATAGATATCAGTGCCTTGAAGAGCTTCTCCGCAGCCAGGCAGAGAAAGTTGAGAATGCTCCAGATGAGCACGTAGGTGTAGCAGCCATGCCATACGAACACAAACGCAAAAGTCAATGCGGTGGCTCCCAACTTGGCAGCTGGCGAGGAACGTCGTGTGCACAGCTCGGCGTAGATGTTCTGGAAGAGAAATTCGTAGAGGCCCTCATCGAAATACTTCCACATGTCCGAATAGAAGTGGATGCGACCTATGCAGCGAGGTCGCTTTGGAGCCGGGATCCCGTCCTGCAGCGCAAAGGTGATTCCCAGGCCATAGGTGATCACGTAGTACAAGAAGAAGAACTGGCCCATAAAGTAGCCGGCAGAGTGCTGCCAGAATACCGAATCCATCAATTCCACCATGTGCACATCCCGCGACATGTAATGTATGTAAAAGTAGTGAAGGGCGAATTGCATCACCAGCCACCACACTGCACTGCGCAGCACCCCGCCAGCGAAGCCTAGCCAGTCCTGCTGCTTATTTTTTCGCCTGAGGGAGAATCTCTGGTAGCTGATGATAGGGCCGTAGGTCAGGCAAGGAAAATACATTGCGTAGCCCAGGTATTCTATGAGGCTGTAACGCTCCTGATGATCCTTCTGGGCTCCCATCTTGGAGAGCGCAAAGCTGCAGCCGCGCAGCAGGCTCCACGACATGGTAACTATCACCATGACATACTCCGTGTAGCCCACTCGATTCGTCCACCAGGCATTCTTCTGCATCAAGTTAATGCACAGTATCCAGCCGGCGGACAGGAGCCACACTGTGACCTTGGAGGTGCTACCCAGAGACACCACGTAGTAGCTACCTATCAGCAGGGCTAGAGCCAATCCCGATGTCCAGTCGATGTTAAAGCCCAGGGCCATTGCGCACACCATGGCAAAACTGTGGCACTGAAACCTGGGCCACTTCCAACGTATAACGCCCTGAACGACCGCATGGAGCAGGTAAAACGGCCACAATTTTTCCATGAAGTCTCCAAAGTTCTCCAGTTCGTCGTTGCTGTCATCACGCCGGCGATCGGCTACGGGATACAGGCTCCAGCCTTTGGGGAACTGGAACTTGGCCTCCGCAGTTATGATATCCCTCAGGCCATAGATCTTGCCCAGCCCAATCGCTATGTAGGCAATGTAGACGCCGAAATAGACCACTATCTCGCACCGGCTCAGCAGAGATCGCTTGCTTTTGGACATTATTGGACGACGAACACTGCATCCCGGGTAGAGATTGTGCTAGGGATGTGAGCAATGTGTACAAATATCGATATATTTTAATCACTTGCGGGAGAAGGAAAGAAACTTTGGCGGGAAAAGGGGAATAGGATCTTAATTGAATATTTCATTTTTGTGCATAATAGAACTTTTGCTTGAAGAACTTGGATAAACTACTTATTGGTGTTTTTTTAGTTTTTAAAACTCTCGAACGGTGTAAGAAGCAACACTTGGAAGATCCGTCGGAGATCTACACATCGTGGGGAATAACTTAGTTTGGCTTTATTTATAATTTACAAATTATGAAGTTGCGAACAATAATGAGACATACGTGCTTAATATATGTTCCTGCTAATGGTATCTACAATTAGAGCTATTTCTAAATAACTACTATCGTAGCTTAATGCCATATTGGTTTAGTTAAAGGTTAAACTAAATCGAGCCGTTTTTTGTGGAGAAGATGAACATTGATAGGGGAACGCAGACAATCGAACGCTTAACCTATAGCTCCTAATGGGGTTTATCTTATCAGAGAATCGGTGGCGGATTTCTCCTCCTAATTTAGTATGTCATCGTACTCGTCCTGTAGTTCCTTCTTAACCTTTCGGTCCTCGTTCGACATCCGTCGTTGCAGGTGGCGCCAGAGCGTGCTCTTAGGGATCTCGAAAAGGTTGGCTGCGTGGTTCTGCGACATGCCCTCGTTGACGCATGCATGGACCGCCTTGGCCAGCTTGTCGCGCAGCTCGTCCTTTGGTGTCGTGTCCCGTCGGCGGCAGGACACAAAGTTCGGCAGGCGGCCCTGGGCCGACAGACGCACCTTGTGGCGGTGCAGCGTGGACATGGGTATGCGGAGATCCTGGCTAATGTTCTTCAACGAGTCGCCGTTCTTCAGGCGCTCGTAAGCCTCCAGAAGTGATGGTCTTTCGCGATTGCTGCGCATATAGGCGGGGTTGGTGCGGACGCGACGCCACAGAACCGTCTTGGAGATGTCGAACCGATCCGCGGCCTTCTGGAGGCTAAGCCCCTCTATGATCACAGCGTCCGCTGCGAGGTCCAAGGCGTCGTTGATATCATCCTTTACCTCGCGCTTAAGCGATCCATACTGTTCTTGTCGATGGGGCTTAGCTGGCAGTCGCTTGACGGCCTTCGGATTGTGCGGACGTCGTATACGCGGCTTTCCTCCGCCGCCCAACTTGCGTGGCTTTATGTCCATAACATCCTCCTCGTCCACCAGATCCTCGTGCAAGTTGTCGTCGTCATCCATTTCGGCGGCAGTGTTTAGCTCAACCAGCGGATCGGATGGAGCGTAATCCTCTTCCATTATCTGTGTGTCCTGCTCTTCGGGCTCATCGGGTATGTCCTCCTCCCCTTCCTCGTCCACCAACTCCGCGTTCTCCTGCGCGTTACCCTGGGGCTCCATCTTCGGCAAACTGGTTGTGGACTGGGTGATGGTGAAAGTGCCTGTGTTCTCGGTAAGAATGAACTGGCTGCCGTTTGTGTTGCCGTCCATGTGTTCGATGGAATAAGTGATCTTCGGTGCATCATACACGTCTAGGTACTCCAGCGGGCGGCTGGGCTCGGCCAAGACAGTGGCCGGCACGGCAACCATTGGCTGCTCGCCATCTTCCTCCTCCCCCTCATCCAGCAGCTCGGCCTGGGCAATCTGCAGACCAGATATTGACTTGGCCGTTTCAACGGCCAGCGATCCGTTGTCTGGATCGGCACTGGGCGAACTTACCGTTGGGTTGCACTCGAAACTTATTGCCGACTTGATGCCAAGTAGGTTGATGGCCTCAAGGAACTCGGAGAGTGAGGCAGATGACAGGCTTGTCTCGCCCATGTAGATGAACGACATCATGCTCTCGAGCAGGTCACCCCGTATGTCTGGCAGAATGATGGTGGCCTCCTGGCCCGGCGGCACGTCCACCAGGATGTTACGCATCAGATCGCTGCATGTGCTCAGCACGAAGAGGTGGGCACGCACCCGGGTGCCGTCCCTGGAGGCCAGGACCACTTCGCAGGTCTTGTTGTCGTTGCGCAGTGACCGCTGTATATCCATTAGCGTGGTCGAGTGACCCATCCACTTCAGGTGATTCTGAAAACGTTTAAAAGGCTTTTAGTGCACCTGCTCCAAATAAAAACAATTCCGCGTTTCACTTACCATTTTGTTGTGTTTTGTTTTCCAATTGATTTCCACAGTTCTCTTAAAGTTCAATTCACGCAATTCCAAACGCGACGCGAAGCTAGAATGACTCTGCACCAGGGTTCCAGAGAATTCGAAGGGTTTTGGTATTTTTATTTTCATTTAAATAATACTAACGTTTGTGGATTTGATTATTTTCTTAAATAGTTTAATCAAAGAAAATTAAGAATATTTAATTGCACTTCAAATTAGAATTTGATTATTCACTTAAGTATATACACTTATTGGAACCAGTTTTACAGATAAAAATGTATTTATAAATTATATTCTTAATAGCCTGGTCTCTTTTGGTATTTTCCGCCCCATTTTCGATACAACCAGGGTTCCCGAGTGCGTTCCAGATTCACGATTCCGCACGCCCTGGGAACTACAACAACTATATTGACATTTTGGCATTACATAAATTGTCAAAAAACGAAGTGCTAATTGTTAAATTTATATTAAACAATTCGTACGAATGGCGGCCTTAATCAGGAATCTGGGTGCCCGGGTCGCTGTTGCCGCTTTATCGGCCAAACACGGTGGGTAAAGGTCGTGAATCAAGAGCTCCAATTGATTATTTCCTAACCCCTCAATATTTAGTGGTGCCCGCTGCAGGCTCAGCTGCTCTGCGGATGTCCAGTACTGCGCCCGTGGATACCAATAAGGCGGATAAGCGTGAGTAACGGTTTGGCTACCTCCTGGAGCTCATTACATCCTCGATGTCGTCCCCACAGCCACTGTCCGCAAGCCAGATGCCGCCGCCCGCACTAGTCTCTCGGATTTCGGGCGCTATGTGGCCGAGTGCCTGCCCAAGTATGTGCAGAAGGTGCAGCTGACCGCCGGCGATGAGCTGGAGGTTCTGATCGCTCCGGACGGCGTGGTGCCGGTGCTGCAGTTCCTTAAGGACCATCATCAGGCGCAGTTTACCAACTTGGTGGACATTGCTGGCGTGGATGTTCCTTGCCGCAAGAACCGCTTCGAGGTGGTCTACAATCTGCTCTCGTTGCGCTACAACTCGCGCGTCCGCGTCAAGACCTACACCGACGAGCTGACACCATTGGACTCCGCCTGCGAGGTGCACAAGGCGGCCAATTGGTACGAACGTGAGATCTGGGACATGTATGGCGTGTTCTTTGCCAACCATCCCGACTTGCGTCGCATCCTCACCGATTATGGCTTCGAGGGCCATCCCCAGCGCCGCGACTTCCCTCTTTCCGGCTACGTGGAGCTGCGCTACGATGACGAGAAGAAGCGCGTAGTCTGCGAGCCGCTCGAGTTGGCCCAGGAGTTCAGGAAGTTTGACTTGTCGGCGCCCTGGGAGCAGTTCCCCAACTTCCGCAACGCTAATCCCCCAGCTGAGGTTGTTCCCCAACAGCCGGCTCCGGCTAAGAAGTAATCCCGCGTCACCGACGGTATGTTAACTGGTAATTAGATCAATAAATGGAGGTACGAGATATGTAATGCCTAAACAAAAGAGTATTTATTGATCATTTAGTCGGTTTTTGTTTTTATTAAGCTCAATTTTCACTTTCATAAATCACATTTACATTAATTATGCACAGTGACAGAGTGCGCGGTTTTCCTTCTAAAGTTTTGTACTTTTTATACCCTTGCAGGGTCTTAAAATTTAAGTCAGAACCTTGTTACACTGTGAAGGAATCATTTCATCACAAATCAATCATTAATCATAATAATCTTGATCAGCATCAACAATCGTTGTTTAATTGATCGTTACGATTTTATTGACTTTAAAAAAGTAACTGTTTTAGAGACCCGAATTAAAACAATAATTAAATATGAAAGAGAGTAGGCCTTAACCGAAAGTGAACTTAAAATAGTTTAATAGAAAATTGAATATATTCCTAGAATAAATTAACGAAACCCCTCTACTTTTATTAATTATTTTTCATATATTCAAAATTATTAAGATAATGACAATGACATTTTTACCAGTCGTTCTTTTTATTTTATAACTATAAGAAACAATAATGCAAAATCTGAAACTTTTCTTCCATGAAGTCAATTAGAATTGCTTCCTTCGTCGTCACAAGTATTTATTTTATTTCGTTATCGTTTACAATATATAGTACTTTACACTCAGAGTTAAACAAGCCCCGAACCCGACTCCTTTTTGGGATCCAGGGGATCGATTCCTACGCGTGTGCATATTTCATTTTATGTTACATATAAAACATTTAGTAAAACAATCGTAGTTTCTTGTGGGCCTCTTGACAATTCGTGCGCCTGCGCAGCGGTGCCCGGCAAATGGTGCTGGGACGTACTTAAGTATAGACCGAGGTCGGGTCGGATTGGGTGAGGAGTAGTTGTTGTAGTCGTAGTTGTACTTGGTGAAAACCTAATCGTAATTCGAGCTTCAGAAGTCGCACCGCTTGGCTGCTGCACCGCCGTCAACGTATTTTCATTTTAATTCTGTTAATTTTTCTTTGATTTTTTTTTTAGTTTGTTTCTTGTTTGTTTTTTGTTTGTACAATAACATACACATATACATAAAGGTACATACACACATAAACATAGTATTACATTTAGCGATTCTACAAAAAAATCGAGCTCCTCCGCGGAGTGCTCCCAAAGGTTTATTTTATTTTTTCTGCTGCGTGCGCTTGAGCACGGCTCAAAAACAAATCTCCAGCGTTGCATTTTTGCTCCGCCCACGCCAGTCGCTGTGCTCCTGGGTCTCCAGAATGCACAGACTGGACAACAAATGAAAATTTCGATGCAGGTTCGATCAATCGATCGCGCCTCCTGCTGACAAAAAACAAATTCGACAGACAGCCGACCGCTCGGGTGACCGCTTATCCGGGTGATCCTGGAACATGGTCATCCTCTTGGTGACATGTCGTGCCACAAATACAAATGAACGGGCTCCAGCTCCTGATGATTATATCGATTCCGTCTTGGTATAATGCCGAGCCGAACCCGTTCCACTATTGCCACCACCACCACCGCCACCAGTGGAAACGTAGGGCGATGCCTTGCCACTGCTACTGCTGGCCGAACCTGATCCTGTGCTGCCACTGAGCAACTGATTCTCCCCGGATCCCGCCGCTCCGCCTGAACTCGCGGCGGCGGCGGCCGTCTCGTTGTCGAGCCGCGCATGGTATTCCTGGAAGCACGGCACAATGCATAAATTCGTCTGGCACTCGGGGCAATGGTATTTCGTTTTGCGGCGCAAAATTCGGCCATGCCCATCAATGGTGTTCCAGCAGAAGTTGCAGCCCAGCGCCGGACCCGGCCGGATGACAGGGCAATGACTAGAACGCGGATTCTCCAGGGTAATGATCTCCCGTTGGGTCTGGCAATGGAACAGGAGGTGAGTATTTAGCTTTGGAAATATGGAATCTAAAAGAACTAACCTGCGGTGATGACACCGATCGCTGCAGCTCCTCGTTCTTGACGCGCAGCGTGGGCAAATGCTCGAATGAACTGCTCATCGTAGCCTGGCCGGGATGTAGATGACTGCCACTTATGGATCCTGAAGCAGATTTGGAATTGCGCAGCCTGGACCCACCGCCATTGGCCTCTCCTTTAATCCGCTCAACAATCTGTGTTCGTGTTATTGTCGGCGAGTGTGGGGATCTTCGCTCCGGAGGCCCTCCCTCCGAGCCACCCGCATAGGTAGGCGAAAAGGAGTGTCGACTGCCGCCACTGCTGCTATTATGAAGACCGGAAGTGGGTGAGGTAACCACGGACACGGCAGCTGCCACCGCCGACGAGGAGCCGGGACTGGCATTCGTGGGTGTGGCCGCCGTTTCACTGGACACTGCTGGACAGGCTACCACTCTCGTGGGTACCAGGTATTGCGAGGAGCCGGCCGGCGGCGGAGAACCCGAGGCGTAAATAGACTCAGGTAGCGAGATGTGGTGCGGATGATGGAGCGGAGCCGGCGGTACATAGCTGGCACTGCTCCCCGACAGTGGATGCGAGTATTGGCGGTGCAGCGGAGCGAACGGATTGCTGCCAGTGATCCCAGAACTGGAACCGGCAATGTGCAGGGTGGACTGGCGGGGCAGCAATGGATCCGAATGCTGCTTAATGAGATACGGAGTACTGGACGGCACGCTGAGCAGGTGTGGAGTGGATGAACCCAGGCTGGGCGCTGGCTCCGAGGCATGACGCTCGATCCGCGGCGGCACCGTCAACAGGTGCTGGGGCTGATGCTGATGATGCTGCTGCTGGTGTGCCGACGACTGGTGCTGGTGCAGATGGTGTGAGCCCGTGGTGGAGTAGTCCCTGGCCGTCACACTCGTGGCAGCTCCTGCCGCATTGAATGGATCAAAGTCCAGCGTGGTGGCAGCCGTATCCGGGGATATCTGATTCGTAGACGAGATACTGTCGCTGTCCCGCTTCACCCTCGGCTGGCGGGTTAGCACCCGATTGCGCTTCGTGCCCATCACCACCGGAGAGCTGGGCGTAGCGTCCGGATCGCAGTTGTCGCCGCTGCCAACGCCACCAATGCTGAAGGAACGCTCAAAGCTGCCGCTGCCGCCGCTGCTGCTACTGGTGGCAGCCGCCAACGGCGGATGTGACGGATGAGGTGCATGCGCTGGACTAGGTTCTGGAATAGATTGAGATTGAATTGTAAATTAGAGATTGGTTGCTTTAGAAGGTAATCCCAGGCGCGGCAGTTACTTGGTGATAGGAATTTCTTGTAAAATAATAGTCGGCTTTTAGAGAGATTTGTGGATTTCAGATAGTAATTGATCTTTTATGGTTTTTAACTCATTTACTAAAAATGTTTTGCCTATAACTTATCAGTTTTCCTTCTCACAAGTAACAACCGTGTGCTCTATTTTCTAGTTTTTCTTTTGGAAAGGAAAGAGTTGTGAAAATGAAGTCAAGAGAGGAAGACAGGAGGTGGTGGTGGAGTTACGTTGTAGTTTTGAAAGTTTATTCGTTTCGTTTGCACATCGAACTACAGTCTAGAATGTTCGTTCCATCTTGACGATATTCGTTTGGGGCTCGCATTACGCATTACGGTTTTAGTTGGTATATTACATGCAACTTATATTACAATCGGTTCGTTTATATGCACTTGCGCTGATTTTAAATAATTTATATATATATTTAACACACATAACTCTAGCGTAGTTATTGGTACTTTTTGCAATTGTAGGAAACAGAGTTAGTTAATATATTTGCTTATTGTTTGTTCTTTTGTTTTTTTTTTTTTGCTATTTTCGCTGTGTTCCGTCTGTGTGATCTGTGGACCTCTTTAAGGGAGGACCTGGACCTGGTCAAGTCATGCTCCGTGGTATCGTTTGGTGTATGTTGTTGTTGTGGGCGAGTGGTGTGTGTATTAAAAGTCCATTATCAAAGTTTACGTTACTCTATGACTTCTAACAAATCACGCTTAGTCCTTAGTATGCCTTGACACAATATATATAAAAAAGTTCTCTATTTAGTTACAATATTGTATATGGATTTGTATTAAAAACACACACACTATTCGTAATCGTTATCGTATCCGTTTCTGTGTTTTATCTCATTGTTTTGGTTTCTTCTATTTATTTTTTGCCTTTAGCTGCAGTCTCCGTTTAGGATTTTGGGTGGTTACGAGTGTTATCTTTAAGTTTCGATTCTGTATCTTTTTCTGGTAATACGTCTCGTCTAAATATGTACATGGCTAATATATGTACAAAGAAATCGCTTAAATAAAAACAAAACTGCACCTCTGGGATATGTTGTTAAAATTTCGGAAACAAAGTTGTAAAAACGTAAAACCATAAACCCGTGAGTTCTTCACTAAAAAAATTACAAATGTTAGTGGAATTTTGTATACATACATACAGATACATAAATATATATACATTGCATATTTGGATTGGTAGGTTATATATCATACATGACTTCTTCCACGGATCTTAGGCTATTGTTTGACCCCGTGGTCTCTGATTATGATTACTGGATGTGTTTACACTTCAAAATAAAATATATGTATTGCTCCACTGTACAGAGTAGATTGCCATGTTCCCTCATGGAGCTATAGGAGTACCTCCTAAATACTAATATATTTGCTATTGTAACACAAGTGCAGAAGGAAAAGAAACTTATTTCTGAGGCGCCAGAGCCAGAGCAAACCCACGGAGCATGCCTAAAAAACAGAGCTCGTAAAATTGGTCAACGGTTTGGATTCCTTTTTCAACAAGAACCGTTTACGAGCTCTGGCATAACATGAAATCAGGAATCACAAAATTTAGTCTAGGGTTCTAGAGTTACCAATGACATTTTAAGGGTTCTTATTTAATTAAAATTACAGATAGAATTTTTGGTTTCGTCCATTACTTGGCTGGTTTATGGAACATATATTCCGCAAGGTTTGATTCCGGCTGCTGGCACACACAGCACCACGATTTGGCTGCAGTTTGGTTTGCAAATCATCATGTTGCATGCTTCGGATTAACACTAATATAAAATTGTATAATTTATGTACATTTACAATAATCTTTTACATGTAATATAGCTAAATATATATTCATATATATATATATCGAAGATCTGTCTACCGATTTTTCTTAGTTAACAATCGTAAAAATGTAGGGTTCAAAAACTTGAAGCTTAAAAGGAATTAAGTTCTAAGAAAATTATTACAAGTTCGGCCGGCTCGCCTGTTCCATTCTGTTTCTTCCATTCCGTCGCATTTGATCCTGCTCCGCTTAGCTCAGCTCAGCTCGGCGCAGGTATCTTTATCCAAATCCGATCCTCGCCGACATTTATTCTATTGCCACTCTGCCACTCTATAAAAGCGGTCCGCTATGTACACACTAGATCTGCTGCCGTTTGCTCTAATACCTGTATCGATCGATTTTGCGGGTGGTGCCAGTGCCAGGCTTACGACTTGTCCAAGTACTGGAGGCCCGTGCTGCCGCCGCTGCTCATCGTATTCGTTGGCGGTGCAGCCACCGTCACGAAGTTGTTGATGAGAAAGCTGTGGGCCATGCCCATGGGCATGGATACGGGCATGGCTGATATGCTGAGGGGTTCTGTCGTCGTTGCTGCTGGTTCGCTGGCCGCCATCACGGCGGCTGCCTGCAGCAGAGTGGCCGTTCCCGCCGCCTGGCTCGAAATCATCGTATTCTATATCGAGTTGAAGTTAATACTCTGTAGATTCATGGCGGTGGTAGGATTGACGTTGATGGTGCCGGCACCCGCGCCCGTTCCCGCACCAGTGCCCGCCCCGCCGGTGGCGTCGATGTAGCGCTGCCGCGACATTGAGTGCACGTTGCCCGGCGAGTCCATGTACCGCGGATCGAATAGGCTCATAACACCGATGGCCGGATGCGAGTTGCCTGCACCGGGTAGACTTCCAGCTCCACTGCCGCCGCCAATCCCTGCGTGATGCGGTGTGCACATGAGCGAGGATGGCGTTGGTGTTTCCGCCTGCGGTGGTATCTGCATACTGAGCGTTTCGGTGGTGTCGTCGCCGGGATTCGTTGATGGGGTGGGCGACGGCGATAGATTCGGCTCCTGCTTGACCACGCGTGCCTTTATGCTCGGCCGCGACACCGGGTAGCCACGCTTCTTGTACTCCAGCCACAATGTCCGATTGTTTACGCCATACAGCCGGGCAGCCTTGCAGAAACCAATGCCTCCCGTCCGCACCGCCTCCAGGGCACGGATAAAGTTCTCATCGCCCTGTGGATTCACAGATCTCTTGCGCTTCACCACCTGATTAGCTCCTGCTCCAGTGGCGTTGCCGTTACCAGCATTGGCATTGCCCGCATTGCCGCCGCCACCGGCGGCACCCGCTCCGCCTGCATGCACCGGCGATTGGGTGGGAGTCGGTCCCTGGCTATACACTGATTGCACCATGTTCGATTCGTTGGGCGAGGTGGGGGATAGGTTCTGGGCTGCCGTCGCATAGCCGCTGACTAGGTTGTTCACGGTGATGATCTGCGACGAATACGCCTGGCCAGAGGCTGCGGCAGCAGCGGCGGCGGCAGCGGCCTGCTCCTGCTGCTGTTGCTGGTAGTGCAGCTGCTGCAGATGCTGCTGCTGTGTGGCAACCTGCTGCTGCTGGGCCTCGTGCTGCTGCTGGCGCTGCTGGTCGCTATTAGCGCCGCCGGCGCTATTGGCACCACCGCTGCTCTGGCTGCCGGCACCGCCGCTGCCACCGCCACCGCCGCCACCGTTGCCCAGTATGTTGGCAGACTGGCAGGCGGGCAGGGAGAAGCGCGGATAATTGGAATCGACAACTGTCCATTGCAGACCTGGGAAGGGGAGAGAGAGAGAGACAGCGTATGAAAGATTGGTTCTTTGTACTGTTTGCAGTTCGATGAGAGATCGCTCTCCTAGCTCTAGTCTGGGTCTTAGTCTGGGTCTCGGTCTCTGGCGTCTGCTTAAGGGACAGCTTATAGTTTCGCAGTTCATAGATAGGTACATAGATAGGCAGTTGTAGTAGTAGTAGAGGAAAGATTGCTAAGGCTAAATCATTATTATCGGAAACCGCTGTTCTTTTGAAACTCCCACAAAATATTACAAGAAAAACTAAAAGCAAAAACGCAAAAGTGAACGCAAATCGTAAAGTAAATCAAAGGCTTTAGGTTTTTGGAAGTTTTTGTTTTTTGCTTTGGACTCTGTGCTAGCTCTCTCCCATTCCCAAGTTCAGGCATTCAGGATTCGGTTTTTTTCGGTTTGTTTTTTGGAATACAATACACAATAAATGGTTGTTAAACATAGAAAATGTTCGGCACTTTCACAAATATTTGCACATTTCATTGCACTTAGTCGGTAAGAAATCGGTAAGATTGGTAATAATATCGGTATTATGCCAAGTTCTCATATATATTTAGCTTTAGCATTCATTTCTCCAAGCGCTGTGTACTGAAATTTGTTTCGAAATGGCACCGTTCGTGTGTGAGAGATATATATGAAGGATATATAATGAAGGATGAGTTCGTGAGCCTAAATCGATGTGGGAATCGAGAGTAAGCACAGTGATTGAGACATGTTGATTGATTTGAGAGGTGACCGAGTGACTGTTAAGAGTGCTCCCCATGTGTCTAAGACTAGAAATCCAACCAAAATGGTTTAATCAAAAATAGTTTTTATTATTACAGAAAAAAGCTAATATCAAAAGACACAGACGGCAGACGCCGATTGTATACATATTTTAATGGTGATGTGTGCAATAATTCGATATTCCGTTTAATATATCGGGGAAATTTCAAATGTTTAGTTTTGCACATTTTTTTATTTTAAATTATCAATTGAAAATAAATAGTTAACCTATTAAATTCAACGATACGCATATTTTCTCGATTTAAAAGTTAACTGCGAAATTTATATGAAACTACTATAAATTCTTTAGGGTTGTTAAGTCGTATCGCACTATGTATGTGTAGATATATATATACTTCCCCAGTTTATAGACAAAGTCTATACCTGTCCAACAGTAACCCAAACATTCAGGATTGATCAACCCATTGAGTGCTATCTTGACCAAGAGACTCACTATTTTTCCCCAACCTCCAAGTAGAGCCATCATTGTGTGCTTGTGTGTTTTTTAAATAAAAATGGCAAACTAAATGAGAACAACAATAAAGATCAAGTTAAAAGCTAACATAATGAGTTCTCCCTACCAGAAATGAGCAATGAGATATTTTTGAGATGGAATTAAGGTTTGTGTGTTTGTGTGTGCGGGCACCGGTAATCTAGCGAGCGACTGGACTTACCCGAGTGGGACGACTGAGAGTTCGGCGCCTCGTGCTCGGATGGTGTGGTGGCTCCAGAGATGTCCAAAGGCATCGTTTGATTCACGCCGCCAATATCCACTTCGGGCTTCTGCAGTTAAAAATAAGGTAACCTTTAGTTATGCTTGATCCAAGGGGACAGAGGGCGAGGTTAACGTGACCAATTTCATTACAATTTGCATATGTATGTGTCCATGGCCGTCATCCAGATCCGAGTCCTGCGGCTGCTGCTCTAGCTCGGCATTCGCAGATTCCTTTAGCAGCTTGGCCGCGTGCAGCGAATGTCCAGCAAGGCCACCGCCAGCACCAAACGACATCTGACTCATCTGGGCAAGACTGAGGCCGGCATTGCCGGTGCCACTGCCTGCGTCCAGAGAGCTGTTGTGGTGCTGCTCCTCGGCATTGTTGCGTTCGCCAGAGCCTAGAAGGATTTAAGCGTTACTCAAGGCTTGAACTCCGGCCACAAAGACAACTTTCGATGACGATGCTTTACCCAACTCCAACTCACCGTTATTCGAGGATTTCCGCAGGCGCTTCCGTCTTGTGGCAGGAGAGGTGCCGGCGCTCAACGGTGATGGGGTGCGTCGCATCTGATGGTGATGCGTCTGCGCCGCCTGCGCCTGTCCCTGCTGCTGCTGCTGATGGTGATGGTGGTGATGGTGCTGCTGCGCCTGCGCCTGCTGTTGCGCCGCTTGCTGCTGTGCCGCCTGCTGCTGCGCTTGCTGCTGCGCCGCCTGCTGTTGGGCTTGCTGCTGAAGCTGCTGTTGTTGTTGCTGGTGGTGGTGATGCTGCTGCTGCGCCTGTTGTTGCTGCTGCTGGAACTGCTGTGCTTCACTGCTACTCCACAGCGAATCGCCGACGCTGCTGCTGCCACTAGCTGCTCCCAAACTGCCGGCTGAGTTGCCAGCTCCCGTGCCCACGCCTCCACCGCCACCACCCACCAACTCGGTGCCGTCGCTGGAGGACTTGCTATCGGATTTGGTAAGATTGGCCGGATCCGTTGGCATCTCCGCCAAACCCTTGATTTTCAGCATTTCAGCTGTCTTCAAGATGTGCGGCAACTGCTCCTGCGACACATTGACCTCGCCATAGTACATAAAGTCGACCATGGTTTTCAAGTCATCGTACTGCACGTCCTTGAGGATAACAATGGGATGTTGGCACGGATTTGTGGTAAACAAAGCCTGCGGGGGAAACAAAAAGGATTAACTATGAGGTACTGTCAAGGGATTGCCAAGCTCACCTGAAAGTACGAACTGCATGCGGACAGGACTATCTTGTGCGCCTGCAGCTGGCGACCTTCGGCGGCCAGAGTGACGTCCACCAGGGTGCCATTGTGCAGCAGGGAGGAGCACACCGAGATGAAGTTCGGCTGGTGATTGTTCCACCGCAGACAGAACTGCTGCACCGACATGATTGTACTTGGTGCTTCCTAGATTCCTCTGCCGCTCCTGATCCCGATCTCAATCTGAGACGCTGGCGGCTGACGCCGACTTCGACAGCGACGCCACCTCCTCCGGCGCCTCTGCCTCCTCTATCTGACGGGGCAGCAATTTAATTCACACTGATAACACTTTTTATCGCCTCCCGTCGTCCGTCGGCTTTTTTCTGTTGCCGCTCTATTGATTTCTTTTTATATTAATTTTATTTTCCTGTGACTTCCTTCACTGCTTTTGACTTTGTTTTCTCTTGTTGCTTTTCTTGTTTTTTTTCGCTTAATTAATATTTATGAGCAGTATTCTTCTTCGGGGGCGCCTTCATAGGTGTGTGAGTGTGTATTGTCGGGGGTTTGGGGTTCCAAAGAGGAAGGGTGACGACTTCTATGCCGCACGCATCGCGAGCCTCTGCAAAAAAAACAGAGGGATGGTATTATGGTGTTGGTGAGGCGAAAATAAATCAAACAATTATCGAAATGCGCTCAATGGTTACAGAAATCACTTTGTTGTGTTCTCCCTTGCTCCCGCTCCGTCCTTCGCTCCTTCTACTGCTCCTCCTGCTCCCTCTCTCGCACTCCCGCTTTCTTCGTTTTCACCGTTTCTTCTGTATCACAGCTGCGCGCTGCTTACAAAAACCACAAACAACAACAGCGGGAGCAGCAACAACAACGCTGCGTGTGTATGTAATTATACAGTCGCGAAAACGAAACGCACGCACACATCCCACTGGGGTACTTGTTTTTGTTGCTGATGCGCTGGCTCTGGCCAAAGTTTTATTTTTGATAAACCGAGAACGTAACGAAACCGAATAGCTTTGTGTACTAGCGCTGTAGCGTTTTAGACCTTGAATTTTCTTTGATTCTTATGACGTAATTATCGCGCCCGCGGCTGGCCCCCCACCAGGCCCCACTCTGCCCCCCATCCTACTCCACTCCGCTGCCCTCCACGAACCCCTCTCACTCTCTCACCCACACAGACGACGACAGCGGGCCGACGTACTAATCGCTGCTTCGTTTATTCATCGTATCGACATTTTCAGTGGCATTTATTTATGTGATGTCGCGCGTTATTTTCGTATAGGATAGGCATAAAACTGATACACAAACTGGCGCTCCGCCACATGTTTTTCTTTCAATCTTTTTCCCTCTGCGCTAGTCTTGTTTATGAGCGAAAACTTTAACTATTTTTTTTGTGGTAGGTTTTCGCTGTTGCATTTTTTTTTTGCAGAAAGAAAACAGAGAAAAACAAAATGGCGCGCGCCTTTCGAAGCATTCGAGTGCAAAACAACACTTAAAAACAGGTGCACGAACTTAATTTTAATTCACTTGGCTGCCGGATCGGTTGCGCTACATGTTTTTCTACTTTTTACATCATTTCCCTCGTTATTTGTTGGCGAAATATGTAGTTGAAAATTCTTACGTTTTACTTCTTTATTCCTCTATTTCTCTGGAAAGCAGTGTGACCGAAGCGCATGGGACCAGTGTAGCCACTTTTTGATTTAAAAAGGAAGCTAATTTTCACTCGGAAAATAATAAAAATTTAAAACAATAAGCTCAGAATAGCGAAGAGTTCTTAAAAAAATAACATATTAAGAAGATTTTCTTTAATTTAGAATTTTTCGAAGGAACTTTAAAAAGTCGTCTCATTGCTGTTGGTGGCCTTTGCGAGATCGTATACCATTTTAATACCAATCAATCTTAAAACAAAAAAAATTATCATAAATTCCCATTTTTGTATCGCTAGTGTATTTCCGTTGAGTTATCAACAAGAAGACTGCATTTGGAGTCTTCAATATATATCTTTTTAATAATTTTGTTAAATTTCGTGCGATGTAGCTTTATATGCCTGGCTGTTTCCCCATCAAAACTTGCTGCATAGTGCCCAAATAATTATTTTGTGACACAATCGCACCTAGATAGTCTTCTTAGATAAAAACAGGTATATTTTTTTGGCAATGATGATAACTAAAAAAACCAAACACATTTAAAATAAAACCCAGAATTCCTGCTTTTCGCAATTTAATTTTTCCCCGCATGTGATCTTAAAAAAAAGCTGGATTTGACGGGAAAAATGCTGAAGTGTTAGCCTTGCATAGGGCGATAATAATAAAGTTTACAAAATCAATCTGGCCACTTTGAGTGCTGAGTTTTGAATCCATTCTTCGCTCGTATTTTCTAAGGTAAATTACAGGTAATATATGACGGAGTAAAAGGCTTGGATGGTGAGTTGGCAGGAAAACGGAAAAGAAATATCTAAAGTCCATCCGGCTTTCTGCCCACCATCTGGCAGCACTGTTGAACCGGCCAGTTTTTCGTAGCGTTGTAGTATAATTCACCAAAATAACGCTGGGCACACTATATTTTCCATAGGAAACAAAACACCGAAACTTTTTAAAACAATTGAAATAGCGTCATGGAAGAACTACGCAAGCATTTATCCTCTGTAAACGTGCCCTGCGGCTCCGGGTCGGGCGGTCCTCCGATATACAAGGACGAGTGCGTCTACTCCTACGACGACCCAGAGACGCCCACCGGCCTGTACGTGTGCCTGCACAGCTTTCTGGGCTTCGGTGAGGCCTATGTGCGGGAGTACGCCAGTAAGACCGGCCACCAGGTCTTTCTCCACATCCGCCGCGTCAAGACTCCAAAAGAGGGAGAGGGCGTCGACGCCGAGTGCAATCCGGAGGAGGAGGCGGGGCCGGAGCGGAAGATCACCCGGCTGGCCATTGGCGTGGAGGGCGGCTATAATGAGTCGGACATGGCCAAGAAGTACGAGATCAAGGATACGTACAGCATCGTTGTCGCGCCGGAGCTGGACAAGAAGCTCCCCTATCCAGATCCCGAGCTGCCGATGCGCGTCACCCAGGCGGTGGAGGCGATTCTGGCCGCAGACTCGGCCATTGCCAAGTTGGAGAAGGCCACTCTGATGGGTGAGTAGTGTCTGCTTGAAGTCTTTGTTATAAATGTATATAAAATGTTATAAAAAAGCTGAAATATCGCCTGATTAAAATCTGAACAAAGTAAAGCAATTTTGTGGTTAATCAAAAATGTCAAGTCATTCAGCAGGAAAATATATTAAATATTACAATAAATTATGAAATAAATACGCAAAATTAGATTTTTTATACGATAATAACTAAGCCTTTCAGAACCTGGTAAAACTACCAAGTTTCATGATATCTTTTCATATTACCTACAACTTTCAACTTTCTTTCACAGGTACTTGGGATGGTGAAGTGCGACAGGCATCGAAATATGCAGAGAATCTGCAGCAGCTGGACAATGGCAAGAAGATACCGCCGGCCGGCTGGCAGTGCGAGAAATGTGATCTGACCAACAACCTCTGGCTGAATCTAACCGACGGCTCCATTATGTGTGGACGCAAGTTCTTTGATGGTAGTGGTGGCAACGACCATGCCGTGGAGCACTACCGCGTCACAGGCTATCCATTGGCCGTCAAACTGGGCACCATAACTGCCGATGGTAAGTCAGATGTCTTCTCTTACCCGGAGGACGATATGGTGCTCGATCCGCATTTGGAGCGTCATCTCTCCCACTTTGGGATCAACATGGCCGCAATGAAAAAGAGCGAAAAGTCAATGGTTGAGCTGGAACTGGACATTAATCAGCGAATCGGCGAGTGGTCTGCGCTGACTGAGAGTGAGAGCGAACTGCAGCCGTTGGCCGGACCGGGATATACGGGAATGCGCAACCTGGGTAACTCGTGCTACATCAACAGCGTCATGCAGGTGCTCTTCGTCATACCCGATTTCCTGCAGCGCTTTGTGGGCACCGGAGCCGAGCGTTATTTCAACGAGTTCCCCAGCGATCCTGCCAATGACTTCAACATCCAAATGGCCAAGCTGGGTACTGGCCTGCAGTCTGGCAAGTACAGTAGCGTGGCCGAGAACACTTTGGATACTGATCACTCCACAGGCATTTCGCCGGCCATGTTCAAGAACATTGTGGGCAAGAATCATCCGGATTTCAGTACCAAACAGCAGCAGGATGCGAACGACTTCTATCTACATTTGCTCACCCTGCTGGACAGGAATTCGCGCAACCAAACCAACCCGGCCGATGCGCTTAAGTTTTTGCTTGAGGATCGCGTCGAGTGTTTGGCCAGTCGTAAAGTGAAATATAAGACGCGCGAGGAGTACAGCTTCCGGCTGCCTATACCGCTGGAGAAGGCCACAAACTTGGATGAGGTAAGGGAGCACCAGGAGCGAGAGAAGGCGGCACGCGAGACCGGCCAGCGGTTGGTGGAGCGGGACATTATCAGGCACAAGGTGCCGCTGCAGGCCTGCCTGGAACGCTTTTTCGCCCCGGAGCTGATCGAGCAGTTCTACTCTACGGCCATTGAGGGCAAGACGAATGCTAGGAAACTCACGCGCCTCGCTACCATGCCCGATTGCCTAATGATTCACTTGGGCAAGTTTACGCTGGGCGACGACTGGGTGCCCAAGAAGCTGGACGTATCCGTGGACATGCCGGATGAACTGGATCTGAGCAATTGGCGCTCTGCCGGCGGCTTGCAGGCTGGCGAAGAGGCTCTGCCGGACGGTGCTGTCGAGGATGTGAAGTTCACCTTTGACGAGGCCGTCATGTCCGAGCTGCTCACTATGGGCTTCCCCACGGAGGCCTGCAAGCGCGCTTGCTTCCACACGAAGAACAGCGGCCTAGAAGCCGCCTCCAACTGGCTGATGGAGCACATTGCTGACGAGGACATCTCTGAGCCCTTCGTGGTGCCAAATAATCGAATTGGAGACTGTTCTGCCGATCAGTTTGTGGCCAATCCGGAAAGTCTAGCCATGCTGATGAGCATGGGCTTTGACGAACGCCAGGCTGTGGCCGCCCTAAAGGCTACCGATGGCAACGTGGAGCGCGCAACCGACTGGATCTTTTCGCACGCTGACTCCATCGGCTTTGAGGATGTTCCGCCACCCGCTTCAGCTCCAACCGCTGCGTCTGGAGCAGCCGCAACTAGTTCGGGGCCCAACAAAAGCCATTATCGCGATGGCGCCGGCAAATATCGCCTGGTAGCCTTCATCTCGCACATGGGCACCTCCGCCCAGGTAGGCCACTATGTCTGTCACATCCGCAAACAGGGCGAGTGGGTCATCTACAACGACAGCAAGGTGGCCAAGTCGCAGAACCCGCCCAAGGATCTCGGCTACCTATATCTCTACATGCGCGACGAGTAGCCGTTGCCAGACGCCCGATCTCAGGCCAATCCCAAATATGCCAGACTCCCAGAAAATCTTATATTATGCGCCCCTTAAAAAATGGAAATTAAGAAAATAAACTTATATATTGTGCTACACAATGGTTTGTTTTTTTTTTAGAAAATTATTTAGAAAACAAAGAACTTTTGTAATAATATTAAAGGATGCAAGCTATTGCCCTCGATCTTAACTTTTTTAATTAAGTAAAGTGATGAAAGAGGTGACTCAATATTTTCTATGAACTGGAACCTTTTAAATAACGTAATGATTCACGTTTTCATTCAATTGATTCTCCCTGGATGAGTAATTAAAAATGGTATACCATATAGACAATTTTCACGTTTCAACTCGCACTTTATTCACGTTTCTTGGCGGCACTCGACTTTGGAATGGTAAGTAGCTCCTGGACAATTTCGTTAAGCCGGTCTGCAAACGCCTGGAAGGAGAACTTCTGCTGGACTCGCTTATGACCCTGGTCGCCCATCTTTAAGCGGAGCGGTTCGTCACGGAATAGTTGGAGCATGGCGGCGCCAAAGCTCTTCTCTTGCTTCTCGCACAGGAAGCCCGTCGAGGTGTTCACCACAGTTTCCGTGGGTCCTCCGCTGTTCAGAGCCACCACTGGCTTCGAGCAGTACATACCCTCCAGCGGTACGATGCCAAAGTGCTCGTTTTCTGGCGTGTAGAGCAAACAGTGGGCGGCAAAGAGCAGGCGGCACTTTTCCTCGTCCGTGGGGGATTGCAGCAGTACCACATTATCCTGTAACTTCAGCTTCTCAGTGAGTTCCTCCAGCTCCGCAAAGTGCTCTACATTCTCCAGGCAGCGGGTATCGTAGCCACCGGCGATGATCAGGCGGCAGCGCTTGAAATCCGATGCGGGCAGCGTATCACCCAAGAGTCTCAGGGAATGCAGAGCCAAGGCATGGTTCTTCTTTCGCTCGTACCTATTGATGTCCAGGTAGATGAAGGCGTTGCGTGGCACTCGTGGATGTACAGGCTGCTGCTCGTCCAGCAGGGCTGCCCGCTGCTCCAGCTTTTGCCGCATCTGGTCAAAGTACTGGGTGTGGAGAGACGGATACAGGACGTCTGGCACTGTGCTTAGCCGCCGGAAGGTGTCCTGAAAGACGCGCAGCGTAAACTTAGAGTTCACCAGCACCTTGTCCGCCAGTCCAATGGTGTGCTCCTCCAGCCAGTTGATGGGCATTCGGTACAAGCGTTTTAGCATGCCCTCCCTGGAGCTGAGGAGTTGATCTGGAAAATGACAGTAGAACAGAACCCGCGGGCGATGGCGAGCCAGTCGCAGAACGGGAATGCACACGGAGATCAGGTCGCAGACCACCACATCCACCTGCTCCCGCTGCGGCATGAAGAAGCTGGCGTAGAAGGCGGCATAGAGCATCCTCAGGTATGCGCAAATCGCGTAGAATCTCCCGAAGAGCCTGCGTGGCAGCCAGTCGCCAACGACGTGGACAGGAAAGCTCCCGTCCGCCGTCTCCTTAAAGCAGTGCGTGCTGTCATGGTGGTTCGTCAGAAAGCTGACCTGGTGACCACGCTCCTTGAGAGCCAAAGCGGCATCTACCACCAGGCGCTCGGCTCCACCGATTCCCAAGTCCGGATGAAGGAACAGTACGCGAACCATGGTTAAGACCAAAGTCTATAATGGGTAAGTTTTGGAACAAAATACTGGAACTGGGCACAACCCTCTTAAGGATCCTATTATCAGGATGTTTGCATTCTTTTACGTGTTCTTTTCGTTATTAACTTTTAAATACTTTTATTGTTCAGCTGATTCGTCGAAAGTGTGACCGTAGTCGACAGAACCTAGCATGGGCTGGAGTTCTTTCCGTTATAATTCAAATTTCAAGTTATTTTTGCCAATTCTGCATTATTAAACTTAACATAATAGAAAAAGTTGTATAAAAATATATTATATATTCACATAATAATCCCCAAAAGAATTCTTAATAATTAGCCTGCAATATAGCTATAGTTTGTAGTTTTAATTTATTAAAACACAGCTCCGGCAGCCCTGGCGAGCCCATCCTCCGCCTGGCAGCCCTAGAAGAAGAAGCGCAGGTGGCAACTCTAGAACACATGTTGACAGCGCCCGCTTTTGCCGTTTTTTAGCACCAAATCAACTCTGGTGTTTGCAACGAACGCATTAAAATTTTTGTGGAACCGCAGAATCCTAGCCATAATTACAGTATTGCAGCAGCAGGTGCTCCCCGTGCTCCACCCACATGTGGCCGACTGTTCCGCTGCAACCATAGGCATGCGAGCCGCCTAAAAAGAACCGCCGCCTCTCCACCAGCCTGCCGTAGAGTCGCCGTCGATGTTGTTGTGTTTTCTATATTGCCTTCGCCTCCTCGTTGCTGCCTCCGAAATAGTAAACTAATAATCATCATTAATTCGCGCGCGTCGGGCAAATATACGTCTGCGGATAGTCCGTGTGTGCGCCTCAATTTAGTCCGGGTTTCAGCGGGGCAACAACACCGAAAAACAAAAACCCGGGTGACGCGAACACTGTGAAAAACAACGAGTGAGAACGGTAGACCGAAGAACGGGAAAGAACAACGCTCTCCGGCGTTCCCATTCCCAAAACAAACACTATACGGAAAGCTAAAGCCACGTAGCCGCAACGTTGCCACCACCGCGACCGCCGCCGCCACCAAGATGCCCAAAATCCACGTGAAGAAGCCCCTGGCGGGCCTGGTCATACGGAATCGAGCCCACAAGAAGAGCAGTATCTTCACGGTGAGTACTTCACGGACGCGGCGCGGACTCAGCTCCAAGCGCCGCACCGTGCGATATCACTTATCTTGGGGGTGATTCAGCGAACGAGCAGCGGCGTGTGCTCCGATTGCTCCAACTGCGGTTGGGCATTAGTTTTAGGCGTAATCGACGTCTATCAGACGATTTGGGGAGCGTTTGGGTCATAACAACTACATACGCCAGCCAGCACGATACGTTACTGTGTGTATTTATTTATTTATACAGTTGGATTTGGGTTTTCCCCCAAGGATTTCAAGTATTCTAAAGTTGTTTTCTAAGCTAGTTCGATTAATATAGATTTGTTTGACCGAAAAATGAGCTATTTTCGGTTATTATGCAAAGTTCAATAGTATTACCTGGTTTTAATTTATTCAAGACTTTGTTTTTACTTTACTTAAATACCTTTTTTTAGATCCCTTTATTATGAACTAAGCGTGGCGAGACGTATTTTATAGAAGTGTTATCTATTTCACTTTCTAAGTATTTCATTAAAGTACTATGTGAAATGAATGAAATATGTCTACCTTATTGCGTATAACCTCTTTTCTTGGTACAATTTCTCTTAACTATTTAATAATTTTCATATGAATATGCAGATTCAGGTTAGCCCAATTTCTACTCCTCTTATTTTAAATCATTTTATTTAGTCTACGGACTACTATTTCTTAAGGGTCTGTTAAATTAGTGGCCTGATAAAAAGCTTTAAATTATATTTTATCTCCCACAAAGGATGATATTATATTATATCTGGTACAAAGGGTTACCAGGTTCATATTTATTCAAATAAACCCAAATTTGTTTTCTGTGTAGTTAGCAGTTTATGAACCCCAAATGAGTAACAAAAATATGTGTGGTACCTGCCCTACGCTAATGACTAAACGAGCTCATAAAGTTGATATATTGAAGGTTGGGACATCAGGCGAGTTCTTCTTATCGCCGATAAAATCACGATATAGAGTTCGAAGCAATTCTAAAATTTTATTTTGGGGAAAACCTTGCTATATCTTAATATCGCAATAGGTTTTCCCAAATATTTTCGTTAAAGCTCTGCACCGAAATCAAAGTGCAGTAAAGGCATAAAACCCCGCTTGATAAGAGGGAAAGTGATGGCAGCTCCGCCGCTGCTCTCCAGTTCTATATCCACATCCCCTGCTAGGCCCATAAGTATGTCACTATGGCTATGTCGTAATCAATTCAACATCGCTGCTGACCTCCAGATGAAAACCACTTGTGCGACGGCGTCTGACTTTCGATTTCGTGGAGAAGCTGTTCTGTGGGTTCTCTGGCTTCTGGTTCTTCGAGTGTTTCGTTTCTTTTCTTTTTATTCCTCGAGTCTCTCTCGGGTTTCTTGTTTTATTTTTGGGCGGGAGCATTGAACTGGCCTTTTGTGTTTACCTCTGTTGCCTCTCACCTCTTGTTATTGGCCCACTAATGATGATCGCCCATCTGGACGGGCAAATCAGTGTGTGTTTGTAGGGAGCGCGTGTAAATATTACATTAGTCACAATTACTACACTACATTACCACCTCCCCCTGTAGTTTCTGCTGTGAAATTAGGAGCAGCCCAGGTGAGGGCGAAAATGACCCCAACGCTTCCACACCCCATCCCCAGTGCCATTTTAACGCGGTCATGCATATTTAAGGCCATGATAATTAGTCGAAAACGAAAAAAGAAAGTGGAAAAGGAGTTTCTAGACTGCCTGCCGCCGGTGTCAAGCCTTCCCTTAATTTTATGAAACAGATTTCTTTGGTCGAGAGGAAAGCCCTGGACGCCTGCGCCATGCTCTCATTCTTATTTTCCAACGCAGTATTTTCCATTTTTTCCATTTTCCCATTAAGTTGAGTCGGTTAATTAAAGGTCTCGCTGCGAGAATTTCATATTCGGAGTTTTGCTATAGCCTTGACTAGACGCTAATTATACTGCACAAGCCAACCATTAGAGGATATGTCGCCCAGGAGATTTTAGTTAGCAAAGTTTTTACGTTTTCTACGCTTTTTGGAAATTCTTATTTAATATAGAGTTACTATCATAATTAAGGTGAAATTAATTAAGTATAATGCGTGAAAATAAGCTATCAAAATAAGTTCTTTAACCGAAAACCTCATTTCAATTGTTAAAATTACATTAATGATAACATACTTAAATTGTATAGCCTATATATTTATAAATATTTTCGTATGATCATTTTTATTGACAATTGAAATTGAACTTATCTCTGTTTTCATATGTAAAAATGTATTCTAAAATATTGTTATTTTAATAAATAAATATTATAATTAGAAATATATATTATACCACAATTATGTATTGTAAATTGCGCTTTATATGATTGTTAGACATGTTTTCCCCAAAGGACTTGGCACCATTACTTTTGCAGTGCACTAGTTACTGTGGCCCAGTCATTTGGTTATTTCCCCAGAAAAAACGTACCTTTCTCCCCTTTCTTTTGGACTTTTCGATAAACAACATTCTTGGGAAATGTTCCCGAGAGCTTTTCTCAGTGAATCGAACAAGAAAAGCTATTTTCATTCATAAAACCCAGCAATAAGGCGCAGAAGCGAACAGGTGCCAATGCGAAAGAAAACTAAAGTCACCTAATGAATCGTGATAAGAGAGCGTGGAAAGTCCCAGTGAGCAAAAGCTTTGGTTTATTCCCTCTCTCGGAAAATGTGTTTGCCGGGAAAAACAGCAACAATGGCGAAAATAAATATCCATTTGGTAATTGTTGTGGGAAATTTTCTGTTAAAAGCGAGAAAGCAGGTTTGTGGAGCAAATCGACGAAGAAAGTGAAATAATCGAAAGTAAATGTGGGAAAGGGAGAGAATAGAATTCTAAATCCTTTGAAAGGAGGTAAAGGAATGCTTCCGAAAAGTTTTATAAAATATTCACAGGAAATATATATATTTATTTTGAGTAGACTAATAAATATAATATATTATTCCGTTTAATTATTTACTTAAATAAGCAGACTTGTGGGTAATTCATGAGCTCGCACTGAGGCAGAGAGAGCAAGGTACTTGCTGAAAATACCAAAAAGAAAAGCTTTGAAAGCTTCGGTGAGGAAAAACTGCATGCCAAAGGAAAATGCCATTGTGGCGAGTGAAAAACAGACAGACGCTTTTCCAGCTGAGTACGGCGCAGCATGTGGAAAAGCGCACAACGTTGCGCACATTTTGTCGCGCTGTGTACGAAGAAAAAGAAAAAACTAAACAATTTCCACGCGTTTTCCTCACGCTTTCGTGTCGATTTCTGTTGATAATTAACGCCAGTCGAGCCAACATGTGCAATTAAATCGAGCCTTGTATAAACAAATAGCAAAGCAAAAATAATATTATAAAAAAAAGAAAAACACAGAGCATTTTCCGAAATAAATTCCATGAAAAGCGTGTGTGCGAGTGTTGTGAGTGAATCAGAAAATGTAAATCAAGCGAGGAGAACGAAAAAACTTAACTGAACTTGAAATGCTTCTCGATTTCTGCTTTTACTTTCAGTTTGTCAGTCGGTCAGGCTTTTCATTTACAGGCTTTCCACCCACGGAAAACTGTCCTGCCGTTACGCAAAACATTAATGAAAACTGTACCCACACTCTTGTTTATATTGTTTCTGACTTGGTTAGTCCTGGTTATCTTCATGAGATCAGACAATATGTATCTCTAAGATGTTGGGTTTTTCTTTCCTTTCCAAGTGTGTAGGTGAATTTTTCCTCTCCCCCCGCAAAAACAGAGCAGCCAGCCTCTCGCGTTACTGATTTTCCTTTGTTCTTCTTTTGACTGCCTGACGCACAGGAAAAATGGAAATGAAAGCGAAAACGAAAGCGAGAGGGGGCTTTTCCCCTGCTTTCCTTGAAGAAGGTCACGACGTCCTTTCGTCGATCCCGCCTGCCCGCTCCCCGCCCCTTAATTTCACTTGTCCAGTATTATTCGTATTCCTGTTTAATGTTCTGAGAATTTCGCATAATTTCGTACGTATTTAGCCCTCGTAAAATGCGTTTTTTTATGACCCCTGATGATGATGATGGGACGGGCTTCTTGTTTAATGCCAAAAGCCATCAAAATAATTCTTTTAGCAGGAGGTAGAGAGACATGCAACAATCAGATTTGCAGTCTTTTATTCGAACCCTGCATAAGTCACCAATCACCTAACCGACATCTAACCGGGGAAAATAACATCTCAATTCTCAGACAGGGACAACCCACGTTTATTTGTCTAACCAAATATATATGTATATAATTTTCTTGTGGTGCCACACAAAGTTCAACAAACTTTGGCGTAGAAAAATTTCCACGACACTTTCTTGCGAGTAGGAAAAGTCTGCCTTGCCACGCATAAATTTTTCATCCTCATCCCTAGCCACCTTTCTCTCTGGGTTCCAAAATCCGCCTAGGATTGAGTTCCTTGGCTAAAACCAATCAATTATGGCCTGAACTTTGCTCAAGTGCGGAGACATCGTTCTTATGAAACGCCGTTAGATAACACCGCCATATCCATAAATTATTCAGCCATTCCCTGGGCTTTGTTTTGAAGGAGAAGCCATTGTTGAAGTGGCTTCATTGTCCCAAGGAGTGTGGTGTACATATAAAGTATGAACTATGGAGTTATACCGCAGTGGTTATATATAGTGTCAACTGCAACACACTATCTAGAATGTATTCTGCACTAAACAAAAGACTAGTGAAGTCTTTTAAAGGGTTCTATAAACTTAACCCAGAATAAATTAGGAACATCTCTCACAAAAGTTAGCTTGGAAAATAAGTATTTAATAGGACTTTTCAACAAATTCAGGCAAGACTCTTGGCAAAGTTTCACCGAAACTACTTAAAGTTGGGTAAAGGATTTAAGAAAGAATAAATTACATAGTGGGAGACAAGCTGGTTTTAATTTACTCATTCAGATATACTATTATTAGAAAAATATAATTATTATCTAGAAAATAAGGTCTGTTTGTCTGATTATAATATTTACTCTGTATTTGGGATAGAAACAAAAGACATTTCAAGTTTATGTATATTGCACAAATGTTATTCAAAATCTTTCTCTTAAAATTATAAATCCCTAAAACATCGCCTTATAATAAGCAAATATATTCAGGAATTCTAATACCCAGCAAAGGCATATTATCTAGGCAAAAGAAATGGCTTAAATGCTATTCGCTTGAGGCTTTTTGGCCACAAGCCAAGCTTCCCATCAGGCGTCATTTCCGTTGTCTCTTTATGCAAATTAACTGCACGACTTCCGCTGATGATGCAGTCCTGCCGTGCCTTCCCCCGTATCCTGCTGCGGTTGTTGCTTCTACTTTTGTGTCAACACATTTTGGGCAACAGTTCAAGAAACATAAATTTATTAAAATTACCCGTGTTTGCAGTCGTCAGGCCTTCCGTGTTTGCCGTGTTTGTCTGGCCTGGCAAGGTCAGTTGGGTGCTTGGAATCGAATTGTAGAGTCGGATCGGGTTAGCCTTTCGTGAGGATTTTAATTCGTTTTTGCTTTGGTTTTGGGTGCATCATCATCCCCATCATAGTCATCGTCCTCCCAGCTAATCAATAAGCAACACCCATTTTGGTGGCTCCTATTTTATTCATCTGAACATGGCACCGTCTGGGTTTTGGTTTACTCTGCGAAATTTTCTATTATCTCACATCGGGTTGCCCAGCAAAATCAATAAAGGGTATGGTACACACATAAATCATGCGGCAGGCAGTCTGCAGCGGTCAGACTTTAGTGTCCTGTGTCGCTAGAATTTATCCTGATTTAGTAGGTGAATGTTGGGAGAAAGATTTCATATTGGGAACATAAAAAAGGGATACAGGAAAGTCATAAAAATAATAGTTGCTGAGTTAATATAAGAAGAAAGGGAAGTTAAAATAGGAAATTAATGTACAAAATGCTTGATTGCAAGCTAGTTTTCTTTATAGATTGATGACAGGAAATCAATAAAATCGATTAAGACCAGTGGGCCATGTCCTAAACCCTTCGGGGTTCCAATTTCCTGTCCTCTTGGCCCAAAGTCCCAACCAATCCAAACCAATTTTGTCGCTGCAGCCGTCGCAGCTTGACACTTTCTGGCCAAACGTTGTTGACAAACTATTTTTAATATTGAAAGGCGGCAGCTGTGTGTATGAGTGTGTGTGTTGGTGAGCACATTACGTATACGTAATATAGAAATACGTATCCGCAACGTTGCACGCGCTGCAGCATCCTCCCTTTTCTCTCTACCCGTTTCCTTCTTCTTTTTTTATATTTTTTCTCTGCTCTTGCACTCACATGACCTTGGTTCTTGTTGTCATCTTGTGCGAGGGAATGCTCTCCATTAGCCACCGAGTGTGGTCGTCAGAAGGTCCATTTTTCATGGCGGCCTGACATTTGGCACATCAAGCTTAGCATCCCATCGTTTGGTCCAATGGTTGTGCACACACGTGCTAGTTTTTCATTTCACTTTGAAAGCAGCAAATAACTTGAGCTCTGTTTTGCCATAAAGTTTGTGGAATTATTTAAATGATTGACTTTTTAAAACAAAGAAAGTGCTAAATGTTGGCGAAATACATATACTAAAGCATATTAAAATATAATAATGAAGTTCAAAGTCGAAACCCTATGTTTTCCATGTCTTAATTAACATTTAAAGCCCTCACAGAAGGTGACCTCTTTACCAAGAAAGCTTATCCTTAATTGCCTGATTTGGAAAAGTAATTATTTTTGTGTGTATTTAATACCAGCATCACTCAAATTTCAAATCCTCACAGCCACCCGCAGTATAGAAAAGGAATGACGTAGAGGAAATTTTATGAAATTCCGTCGGCCATGAATCTCCGGTTTATTGTTTTCACTTTAATGTTGCTCCGAGCGGCAGCTTGGAGGAGTGTTTACCCTCCCTCCGAAATGTGTCACTGATTGATTTGTGTGCCCCCGTCAGGTTGGCCAGGGAGTATTTTTAATTAAAATTGTGAAATTGCGACAAAAGTAAAGCCAGCCACGTTCTTAAGACTCCAACGACAAACACCTGCGAGACGCCGACGCGCGAGAATCTTTGACTTGGCAGCAGGAGCAGGTGGAGGAGACTAAGAAACAGAAGCAGGAGCAGGTGGAGAAGGATAAGAAACAGAAGCAGGAGCAGGTGGAGCAGGAGAAGGACCAAAAGCAGGATAAGGAAAAGGACCCAAAGCAGGAGAAGGAGAAGGAACAGCAGCAGGAGATTGGTGTAGGAGCAAACTTCTGGGCGCCCACTGGTAGCGTCCTTGGTGCCTTGGGCTTTGGCCTACTTTTCAATAAGCCACAACAATGGAGTTTCTGCCAGTTATTGGCCATTGTCTGGGGGTCTTGGTGGTCGTGGCATTATTGCGAAATCCAAATCGAAATCAAGAGCGACGCCGACACGTGCGCTAAACTGTGGCAAATGGGAAAGGGTAGTCGTGACTCTCCTCCTGGCAAAAAAACTAAGAACAGAAAATGCAATCTAAAAAAAATTGTATAAATTTCGTTACTTTCACATATTAATTCAAAATATTCAATTTTCATTTACAAATTTTTACACTGTAAAATGTTATTCGATTATTGGTCACTTTTTTGTCAGAAATAATAATATATTTAAAAGAAAAAAACTTTTATTTTATATTATTAGATTCAAAATTGTGTGTAGCATTACATTTTTTTTTATTAATAACTAGCCATAATATTAGCCTCCTTTGCTTGTTGTCTTTAAAACACATCGAAGGAGTCATTTCCGACTCTATAAACCATATATATTTTTGATCAGCACCAACAGCCCAGTCGTTCTAGCCATGTCCGGTCGAAAAATACATTTTTAAAATTTTTTCGAAAATTGAAAATTTTATAAGGGGTTACATCATTAAAATTGGCAAAATTTAACAAAAAATTTAAATTTTAAAATTTTAAAAATTGAGTACGCAGATTTGTTAATCTCTTACAAATTAGCATAGAACAGCTTTCCGAATTAAAATCAATGATTTTTTGGCTTAGTTATGAGTTTTTAAAACTATGATTTTCGGAAAATAATTGTCTGTTTTATACCATTTTGTAGGTTTTTATAATTTTAGTCAAAAACTGACAATAGCATTAACAAACGCAGTATGCAGATTTGTTAGTGCCATAAAAACTAGCACAGAAAAGCTTTCCGAATTAAAATTAATGCAATTTCAGCTTAATTATGATGTCCGAAAAACTTTGGTTTTTCAATAAAATTGTCTGTTTTTATACCTTTTTGCTGGGTATAGTTTAAGTCAGAAGCTTCAAAATGTAATGAAGGAGTTATTTCCGACCCTATAAACCATATATATTCTTGATCAGCATCAGCAGCCGAACCGATCTAGCCATATCCGGGCAAAAAATAAATATTGGAAATTTTTTTCAAAATTGAAAAAATGATAAGGGGTTACATCGCAGAAATTTTCAAAAATTGATAAAATTTTAAATTTTATAAAATTGTACATTGAGTATGCAGATTTATTGACCTAATGAAAACTAACATAGAAAAGCTTTCCGAATTAAAATTAATGATTTTTTGGCTGAATTATGAGATTTTAAAAACTTTGATTTATCGAAAAAATTGTCGTATAAAAATCACGATAAATATTGATTTAAAAATTATGAATATTTTAAGCTTTTGAATCGATCCTATAACTCAATTGCAAACTGAAAGGGCATATCAACTTCTGATTTAATTTATTTTAATTTCTAATATTTTTTGTTTTAAGAATTTCTCAATTTAAACGTGAAATTGAATTTCCACTTTAGCAAAACTATTTCTCTGAGTGAACTTGAGTGCATTTCCACTGCACTCTCAATGGAGTTAGACTGGGTCACGGAATTTTGCGGGCTTCGGAATATTTGATCAGGCCACCGCCAGCCATCCAGCAGGGACGGCCCCCAACTTGACCTTGGGCAGGCAGGCTTTTTCCTATATAATTCACATATATATATATGTATTTAAATTTTGCGTGTCCACAAAAACACATGAAGATTAATTAGCAAGCAAAAAAAGAGTAGGAAATTCGCCACAAAAATCCATTTGAGGGCACATGTAATGGTAGTCCCCCTTAGACCTTAGCTCAGATCCCATTTTTAGACGGGTTTTTCAATTTGACAGTGGCGAGCCCATTGCGCCCATTGGTCTCCTCGTTTTCTGTGTGTGACATTAATGAAAGGAAAACATGGAAATGTATTTTCCAGCATGTCTCCTTGCCAAATCGTTACGCCATCGCGAACTTGTTGTCTGTTACTTTTTTTCCTCCCTTTTTCTGTTCTCCATTTATATGTAGTTTAGCTTTTGCCACCGAAAAACGGATGCGCCTGTCCGTCCCGGTTGTTTTTCCCTTCTTCCATTGGTTTTTCCTCCGCCCTGTGCCTTTGCCTTTCAGCCGCTTCTGTCAAGGTCACTCCTAATGCCTTTTGATGCGACACATGCATGTGGATCCATCCACATCCACATCCACATCCACATCCGTGGGCAGCAGAGCTGCTCCTCCTCCTGCTGACGCCTTTTGTTCCGATGATTGGCTTGGCAGGCACTATTTCCTGTTGAAAAACACCAACAGGCTGTCCCCGGCTGCAACAGGATTGGATCTCTCTCGTCGTTGTCTCCATCTCCATCCCCACGTTCTATCTTTCATCCAGATTTAAATGGAAATTACATTTTCTTTTTGGCCTGCACTTGACCCGATTGGCGGACTGGCCTGCCCTGCCTGACCATGATTTATGCAGCAAGTTTGGGTCGGTTTAAATGGGTTTTTATCTAACTAATTCCACGCACAGCGGTCGACTCAGCTGGTTGAGGTTTATGCGGGTCAAGTTTGACGAATTAAGCATAGTAATTTTTGTATTAAATATTTAATAGAAAATGAAGCAAAGGAGGTTATTGTTTCAATAAACAAACTGTAAGAGTATCTTTATGGCTATAAAAGTTAACATGTTCTTAAGAATACTACCTGAAATTAAGATTAGAAACATAAATAATATACCATATTTTCCTCAAATTGTATAAAAGCTGTATGTAGAAACAATTATAAATTTGATTTATCAATTTAAAATACCCCTTTTACTTACTTTCTTGTGCACCTGCTTAATAGCATATATCTAATGTTATCTCGATAAGAAACTCTACTCGTGTTTCCAAAATTTTATTTTCCCCTCATCACCTTAATATTTGTTAAGCCACGACAAGTAGTAGTCTAAGCATAATTGTCCCTGAAGAGATAACAATCAATTCTCCGTTCCACGACGACTGCTGAAACGTTTCCATGGGCCGCTGCTCATTACTTACTTTTAGCGAGAAAACTTTCATCATCGCCGTTGTCAAGCTCATCTATTTGATATGTGCGACAATTACTTTTGGGCTTTTTTTATTGTATTGTATTGTATTGTTTCCGGGAAGAGAGCACACGGAGCAGCGAGCTCGGAGGAGAACCATGTAGTGGGTATGTAGTGATGTAGCGGTTAATGAAATTGTCAACATCCGAAAGTGCTGAAACTTGTTCAATCGCCAAATAATGACAATATAATAAGGAAGGGGGAGAGTGAGCTATAAATTAATATTGAATTTTTAATACCCTGGCTTTATTAATTGTTTTGTTACGGAAAAAAAGGGAAGTTGTTGGGCTTCTACCTTCTTTTAAACATTAGATTTGAGGATACTTTCCAAGGAAAACCTGTTCGATTTTATGGGTACATAAAACTGATTAATATATTTTTTATATTTCATCCAGCTTGTTCAACTTCTCTCACACACGCTGTGGGATTTCAATAATGTTTTAAATTTTATTTTATACAAAAAATGCTAAAGGGTATTAAGGCAGTCGTTGCTCAGCAACAAAAAAGCCTCCTCAACTGCTGTCTCTTTTCCCTCATATCTCTTTCGCTGTGGCTCTTCCCAAAAGCAAAACCTCCACAGCAGGTGGACATGTGCGGTGTTGTGCTCTCTTCGGAGCTTCCGCTCGCCGGAGAACCGAACCAAGTGCGCTCGCTCCACCGATCCAAACCCATGCCATCCGGCGGCTACCCATTTCTGTCAGTGAATCGCGCTCGTCGGAAGGCAACAGAACATTTGCTGGGGTATCTAAATTTATCCCCCGAAGTTCGTTTAGTATCAAACGTGACAGTCAGATGTTGGGAGATGTGTTTTGTTAAAATTCCAAGTGATTATTTTTTGGCTATTGTTTTAATTGAAAATTTAAATCATTAATACGGCGGTGTGACGCGGAGTGCAAGTGAATTTGTGTGAACCTGTGTGATCCTAGAGACATAGAGTTGGAGTTTGTGAGTGTGATTATCTCTAGACTTTGCCAAGCTGGGGTTTTGTTAGAAAATCCTCTTTAATTGCCTTAAATCTCCAGCCAAACCCGATTTTTACTATATAATATATCACTTGGTTGTGTGTTACTTTGATTCGCTTCACTTGCTAGTTGTGTGTTAATGTTGATCGATCCATTTTTGAGCCCATCACAATACTTGTGGCTTCAATTAGCACCGCGTTGTTAAAATCTATACAAAGCCAATGGCACTAAGTGCGGGGTTAAATTGGCTTTTAGCGCGATCTTTAACATTTTCTGGGCCAAGTAAATAATGGCTAACTGATCTGAATGGAATATAAAGCCATGGCATACTTTTTGGAGTCTCTTTTGAGTTATTTTGTGGAGTTTTATCATCAGAAAATTAAATATTCTATAAATCAAGAGTGTGGAATTACAGTTTAATTACTTTAAATGAAAATTAATAGTGTTTAACATGGCTGTTAATTGTTAATTGTTACATTCCGGTTATTTATTAATTATCAAACCGTAACTTTGTCAGAAATTGAGCTTCATAGGTGTCTATTAGCTATTAGGTCCTCTTGAGGAAAGCTCCCCTGTAGCCAGCTGATAGTAAAGGCAAATCGTGCGAGTTTCAAGTGAAAAACCAATGAGTAAACGACGGAAACTCTTATTACAGCCTCAAAAGTGCCTGAAAACTGCAGCAAATCGAAGCGGGAAGCATTGTGTTTAATCCAAACAAATGATTAGATAAACTTGACCTCGATCGGCGAGATAACCAGAGTAAAGAGGAGCACGATTTCGATCAACAAAAATCCATATATTGCACTCCCCCTGCGTCACATTCAGCCCATGTCCGTGGATTCGTGGCCATGGAAATTAGTGTAGAAACACCCAAGGAGCCAAGGACAGCAGCATCAATTAGAGGAGCAACAGCTAGGAGAGATTAGACCAGGATTAAGCAGATCATGCGTAGCAGTCGGAACTATGTCCAGCGGCAGAGCGAGACGCTGGAGAGCAGCAGCTTCGAGCTGGAGGATCACGACGATGCCAAGGATGAGCGCGGTGAGCCAGAGGATCACGAGGAGGAGGAGCAGCGCCAGTCATCGGACACGGTGAGCACGCACAGCAGCAGCTCCACCACGCCCACGACAGCGGATGTGGCCGATGTGGAGACCATCAACTCGCTGCCCCTGTCGCCACCCAGCTTTGGAGGCAGCCAGCTTGTGAAGCGCCACTCGCCGTTGAAGGATCATCATGACCAGGTGCAGCAGCAGAAGCAGAAGCGGCAGCTCCAGCAGGCAGACAACAAAAGCAACAGTTCCAGCTCCAGCTCCAGCTCAAGCCAGCAGCAGGATGATGTGGACGATGTGCCCACGGTAAGCGGGTGCAATCTGCGATCGGGCTCCTCACCTAATGCCTCCTCCTCTTCCACGACTCCGCAGACGTCGCGGTACGCGGCTGCAGCGGCACATCCCAGCGCCGCCTTTGCAGAAACGGCGGTCACCTCCTCCTCTGGAACGGCGGGAGCTGCCCACAGGCGCACACATTCGGCGGCCTCCTACATCTCGATGAGATCGCAGGTCGGATCGGAGCCACCGCCAGAGCGACCCAAACGGAATCGCTTCTTTGAGTGGCTGCGCGTCGCCTGTAACATCTGTTGCTGCAAGGTTGGTTTTTCCCGGTGGGACAGGGTACAGACTCTTTGGTAGGGATTTATGATCTTAAGTTTATCCAATTGAGACAGAAAGCTTGAAAGAAAACATCCTTACATATTTTATAACCTTTTTTCAGATAAATTTTGAATTGATTTAAATGATTTGATTGATCAAAACCGTGTTATTTTCCACTAAAACCTCTTTTGAGAGTTTCTTTTCACAAAATCTTGAATGAATATTTCAGTTTAACCTCAAGACATGGTGCCTTTTTATTTTATTTAAGCGAAGTCATTGTAGTTTTTAAGTAAATTGAATTTTATTAACTGCAATTCCACAAAATTTGAATTTAAATTGACTGAATGAATGGAATGGTTGCCAGTCAATTGAAATGTGAAAATAAATTTCATGATTTACTGCCTTATAAAAAAGAAACTTGATCTAAACATATAGAATATGCAAATTATACAACTGGTGAATTTTTGTAGTTGTGAACTTGAACTTGCATATGTACAAATAACATGACAATATGATCATTATTTTGAACGTAATTCATCTACCATATATTATTTATTTGGAAAATACAAATACTGTTCATTTCTGTAACGTCAAAAATCATAAAATTGTTGAATTGGTGTTTTGGTGAATTGTTGAACTATACTTCAAGAGTAGCTCCTTTTTGGATATAACTAAGTCGATTTTTTTTATTAATATACCATTAATAATTAGAATTCTTATTTATTCAGGCTTCGTTTGTCTTATTCCGATCTGCAATGTCAGAAATAAAAGCTTTCTGACTTGTTTGAATTGAATCCCGAGCTGAGTTCATTGGGGATTCGTTTTTTTATTTATTGATGCGCGATAAAAAACAAATCAGTTGACGGCATTCCGAAAACCATTGCCCGACTGCCATCACCGTCGCCGTTGCCACCGCCTCGAGTGGCATTGGGGCAGTTAACGAGCTCAAACAATTTCGCATTTAGTACAATTTATTTATAGCTGAGTCCGCGACTCAAATGTTTGCAAATAAAGCTAGAGCCCAGGCGGTCACTGAAGGGTTAATATGGCACAGTAGCTTTGCGCCTTATCCAACGATGACGCACTCTCGAATGGGTGCGTCGCCTCCTCGTTTCCTCTGTGGGCTTTGTGCATCCTGCAATCATCCAATGGCATTGCTCTCTACTTAGTCTGATATCGAATCTAACGTATGTCATTACTAATTCACTCTCTAATCTATCCACAGAGTTCCGGAATCGGAGAGCCGAGTGTTCATCATGCGCTGGTTGTGATATTTCTAGAGTTCTTCGCCTGGGGTCTGCTGACAATGCCCATTATATCGGTGAGTAGAGGGTCCTAGGAGAGAAATCCCAATTGCAACTTAACCTAATACTCCTTCTTTTTTGCTTATCCAAAACAGACCCTCAACCAGACGTTTCCGGATCACACATTCCTGATGAACGGCCTGGTCATGGGCATCAAGGGCATCTTATCGTTCCTGTCGGCACCGCTGATCGGCGCCTTGTCGGACATCTGGGGCCGAAAGTTTTTCCTATTAGTCACAGTATTCTTCACCTGCCTACCCATACCGCTGATGTCCATCAATACGTGGTGGTTCTTTGCCATGATCTCAATAAGCGGCGCCTTCGCCGTCACCTTCTCGGTGGTATTTGCCTATGTGGCGGATGTCACCACGCCGGAGGAGCGATCCAAGGCATATGGCCTGGCCTCGGCCACATTTGCCGCCAGTCTGGTCATCTCGCCGGCATTGGGCAATGCCTTGATGGAGATGTACGGTGACACGCTGGTCGTGGCCCTCTCCACGGCCATTGCGCTGCTCGATGTGTTCTTTATTCTTGTTGCAGTGCCGGAGAGTCTATCGGAGAAGATGCGACCCGCCACTTGGGGTGCGCCCATCAGCTGGGAGCAGGCGGATCCTTTCCTGGTAAGTCTAAATAACTAAAATACCTTATAAAGTGATGTATTTTAATGTTTTGTGATATAATTTATCAGGCTTTGCGCAAAGTGGGCACCGACAAGACCGTGCTGATGCTTTGCCTCACTGTGCTGCTGTCGTACCTGCCCGAAGCCGGCGAGTATTCCTGCATGTTTGTCTATCTTAAGCTCAAGATGGGTTTCAACTATGTGGAGGTGTCCGTTTTTATAGCCATTGTTGGCATTCTCAGCATAACGGTGCAAGTGACCCTCGGCTCTTTCATGAAGTAAGTTATCTGGAAGCTCCCTTATCATCTTCCCTAAATATGAAGCTAATGGCATTTATTCTTTCCACAGAGTGTTTGGAGCCAAGCGCACGATCATTATGGGCCTAGCCCTGGAAATTGTGCAGCTGTTGTGGTACGGCTTTGGCAGTCAAAAATGGTGAGTTTAAGCTAGAAAGCTGGATTTTGTAAGACTTTTGTATTTGATACTCTATATTTTATCCCTTCAGGATGATGTGGTCGGCTGGCGTTGTGGCTGCCCTGGGCTCTCTCACGTATCCAGCCATCAGCGCCTTTGTGTCACTCTACGCGGCTCCAGAGAGTCAAGGTAAGCGATTTGAATCCTTTTCCTCCTTTACCTTCGTTACTAATTAAAGAACACTATTTACAGGAGCTGTCCAGGGAATGATCACAGGCATGCGGGGTCTGTGCAATGGCCTGGGACCGGCAGTGTTTGGGGTTATATTTTACCTGTTTAATGTGGACCTGAACGATGACCACGATGCCCATGCCAAGACCAGCGGCAGCCGGGCGACGAATGTGGAGAAAATATCGCAGCATGTACCGGGTCCACCGTTCGTCTTTGGCGCCTTGTGCGTCTTCTGTGCCATAATTGTGGCGGCGTTCATTCCGGAGGGCCAGACTAGCCAGTTGGAGAAGAAACGTAAGCAGCGACAGTCATCAGTCACAGATCCATTGACCTACTCATCCCATCAGTGACGAATAAAAATGAACCTATGCTATATAATGACACTCTTTCAGGTGGCTCGCTCGACGTGCAGTATGAGATTGAGACGGGTCACAAGGCGCCCAGCTCCTTGGCGCCGCTCATTCGCTCCGACTCGCTGGCGCAGCTGTAGTGGGCTCCATCGTAGTCGTCCTAACCACACAACCGTAATCCGTAACCCGCAACCCGTAAACCGTAACAGTTGGTGGCTATAGACATACGTTTAAGCAGAGTTAAGGAGTTAAGAGTTTTTTGTAACTGTAAACAACAAATGCTGTAACTAGTTTGGCTTTAGTTTCCGAGTCTAACATTAATTGTAGTTGAGCCCGAGAAGAGATGTTATTGTTTGCGTTGGATCCCTCGGTTCTAACATTAGTTTCCACCTCAGCCCAAGTACATAGATATATATAGATTTCGTAATTTATATTTATTATCGCGATAAGTAACGTAACAGCAACATAGTCACATACTATTGGATATATTGGCCGTGTGCTTGCCCGCTTGCCGGCTTTTCCTATTCAGTTCTCTTCGGGCTGGGGATTACACATCACAGCAGATAGCTTTGCAACAACAGCAACCACAACAACAACAACAAACAACAAAATAACTGCCAAACAAACAAAATAACGAAAGAGAGGAAAATTTGTAATTGTAATTTGTAATCTTCAGCAGCAGTTTTTCGAGTACATTTCCAGTTGGGCTTATCACTTGCTATCGCCGCGATATCTTTCCGTTCCGTCACCGTTTTAGTTACCACACACACACAAATTAGGAAGAAGAGATAAAGGAATCCAAATAAACTGAATAACAAGCTTTACTTTGAAAATTGTAGTGATTTAAAGTCTAAAAACCTAAAACAAAAAAAGCAAGAATTGCAAAGCTAGGCGACTTCAATTAAATATGACAAACAAAATATATGTATATATATAGAGATATGTATGTATGGATCGTAATGTTTTTAATTTAGCTAAATGCGATTATAGCGCCGCCTCCTCCCGATCATCATAGTTTTTTATTTTGATAAAAACAACAAGAAGAGCCAGTGAATAGCCTTTCTCACCAAAAGTCAATGCTTGATCGTACATACATATATATAGGGACATATAGCGTGTGTGTATGTCCGTGCTGCGGGAATCAAAAGTTATATTTTCGAAGTTGCTAACTAACAACCGTGTAAAGTAGTTGCCCCAACTCACAGACGTGCGTGGCCGGACATACACATCGCACATATCCGTGCGAGAGAGGATCAGGAGCAGCAGCAGCAGGAGCTGGAGTCGGAGTTGGAGTGTTTGTCCCGATGATGAGACAGTATACAACATGAAAACTGAATCCAAATTTCGATTGTAAATTATTTAACGTGTAATTTAGTGTTTTAAACGAAACCAAAATAAAACAACATTGTTTAATGAAACGCTAGTACAATGAAGCGCGAAAGACTTTTTGAATAAATGGGATCACCCATTGTAAGTATAATTATCGGATTAGTTATAATTCTAGTTGGTTGGTAGTGAATTTTGATTTAAAACGGATTATGTAGTTTAGGGAAAACTAATGGACAATTTTAATAGAAACTTCCCAAACTTAAGTTGTGCCACCTAAAATTTCGGCAAAACTCCCAATTTATTGCTTAATTTTTTAGATTTCATAAAAGATCTTGAATTTCTTTACACTCTTTTGGGCTATTTTAATGGAATTTATGCCTAAAATGATTACAAAAGACTAAAGCCGAAGGCATCTACTTTCTGAATTTAAATATTTGAATTTGTAAAATTGTCGTTAAAAATGTTTTTACATCTTGGTTTGTGTCGCTGCTTTGGCTTCTTATTTAGCAAAATATACTAAACTCAAGTACAAATATCGGAATATCGATGACGCATGGCGTCTTATAGACGTGCAATATGTAAAATGTTAAATAACAGCTTTGGATTTCAGAGTGACTAAAAAAAGATCAAAAATACCAACAATACATTGGTATTTTTATATGTTTTCAACAACATGAGAATTCTACATGTATCTGTAAACATGTAAAATTGTTTTCAATTCGTGTAAGATGTTCAAAGTGACCAGACGCTTTCTTCTGTTAATGAGCAGGTCGTTAATGTATCTTACATTCTACATGGGAATGCTACTTTCTACATGAGAATTCGACCCCAAGTATCTGTAAACGTGTCAAATAGTTTAACAGACGTGTAAGCTGTAAAATGTTAAGTAACAGCACACCGCTCTTTGGGCACACTAAAAAAAATTGGTCACACTACTTTTGAAATTGAAGTTTTAGTCGGATGAAATTTTGTTAAAAAAAAGCAAAGGTGAATGAATGGAGTGCGCCCTCGCGTGACTGAAATTCGGTCGGACTCGCCTACAATGACCTGATAACAAAGTGCAGGACTGGAAGAAAGCCCCGTGAATGCAAAACACAAAGGGCCAAGAATGTGTCGGAAGGGCGTGAATACATACAAATAGAACCGTTCGCATACAACAAAAAATACATAGCTGTGCGTAAGTGTGAGTGCTTCTTCGATTGAAAGCGAGTAAATCCCGTTACTTTGCGGGTTTCTTAATAAGAACGTGCAAAGTGTGAAAATAAATGAAAGAAAAACTGCAATTGGGCCACTGGAAGCTGTGCGTTGTGGAAAAACTCCGTGGATAAAACTCGCAGTGACCTGAATTCAAATCCGATATTCCCTTGAGGCAAACAATCCTATAGATTTTCGTGTTTTGATTTATCTGTTAAAATTTTCCTTTTTCCGATTTCTCGCGTCATTATTCGACAGGCATTTTACACAAACATAGCCCTGACATCCTAATAGTTTTTACCATTTAACAACCGTCCTGCGGTTTGCATTTTTTTTAGGTTTTAGGACCAAATTTTTAAGTTTATATCAGTTTAAATTTGTTGTCTATTAAACAAAGATCTTGATCGTGCGACCCTGGATACGCATACTGAAGATTTACTGTGCTCCCTTTGCAGCAGCTCGGGATAGCACGGCTAATTGGACTCGGGAGCAGTGCATCATCTCCAGAAGGGATTCGGAAGCAGAAGAAGACCACCACCAGTAGGAGGAGGAACAGCACCCAAACCCAAGCCAGCTTAATTGGCTTAGGCGACGGTTGTTGTTGTCGGCCCTCACTGTCAATGTTGGTGAGTGTTTGCACATTTAAAAAGAGATTTATGAGAGTATATATGTATAAGTATATAAGTGATCCAGAGTGCCAGCTCAGTTAGTTTGTTGATTTCAATTTACCGAGTTATTCAATTGTCGGTGTCGAATTAGTAACTTTATCCACCCTTCCTGTGTTCTGTGGGAGTCTTTGTGTATCCATATCACCTACAGGCCTCACCTGAGAGACGGCATGCATAATTAATCCGATGCACTGCACTCATTGCACTGCGCTACAGGCAAAGAAAATGTGGCTACTTTTTGTACCTATAAACAATATCTATTTATTATTAATACGATTTGGAATAGGAGAAACATAAATTGTCATAAAACCATCTCAGCTTAACTGAATTTGTGGGTAATTTTAAGTTGTTAGGAGATAAAATCATGACTTTCCTTCGAACAAATACCTCTGAAAGTACCATTTCCTTTTTAAATAGCTAAAAAAAAATAGTTGAACTATTCAAACGGCTAAATAAAATACTTAAATGTATAGCAAAATAACAGAGGTACACCGAGATATCATCTCAAATACTTATTGGGCTATATCGTGCTTTAAAAAGACATGTGGTAACCCATTTAGTTAGCAATAATGTCACAAATGATTTGTATGATTTTAAAGGGTAACAACCACGAGTTGTTTAATCATTTTTGCGTGTAGCTAGACACTCAAAACAACAACAAAAAAAAAACTCCACCGCAGATACACACTACACCACCGCAGATACGGATACATCCCTGACCTGCGTGGCGTTGAGATACAGATGCGAGTATCAGACTGCGAGTACATGTGCGTGTGTGGTTCCAAACGACACCCAGCAGAGACGAGTGTGTAAAAATGCATGTATTTATAGAGTTTATATAGCCCCGGCGACCAAATCCCAGCTACACACACTTCAGGGATTTCGGAAGCGACTTCAAAAAAGTGGGCAGCATATTAGTTTCCAGCTGATTAAGCAAATCCATAAGCTGCAAATAAACACAACATTTATGAACGGTTTTATAAAGAAGAATCCATCATTAATGGTGTATAAAAACTATTAGCTATCTTAGCTGCTATTTATTAGAGAATTATATACAAAAAAGATCCCATTTATTAGGTTCCACCTTTCCATTTTAGAAACAGGTTTTCAAATAACTAAAGAAAAGAGAAACCTGAATAAATAAGCTACACAATTTAAGAATTTGCAACCAGTTGAGCGTATTTTACGAGTTTTCTTTATAGACCTCAAACAAACACTGGTTTATAGCCTACAACGGCGATAAGCCTCAGTTGTCTATATATGCTATTGGATAACAAGGCATAAGATTACAGACCCCAATAAACAACAGATTCATTAAATAAATAATATAGAAATGTAGAAAAAATATTGTAGTGAAACTAGTGAAAACCAGTTAAAATCTGCAGGCTTATTAACCAGATACAAGTGTACAAGAACTCTTAAATCCCTAGATAAGTCCAAAAATAGGTTCAAGTTTATTTAAGGTTTGTCATATGATAAGTCCAGACACAAACAATTGTATAATAGCAACAGGAGAAATTCTGCAAGCTGGAAGATTAGTTTTCATCCAAGCAAATACTGACTCTGACTCAACCGAGGAGTGGAGTTACTTAATATGACGACAGAGAGTAGAGATTCATACCAGATATCAGATGCAAGGTGACTTGTAAATATAGCACGTATCTGAGTTTCTGTCAGTGTAACATGGCTTCCGTGTCATCCGTTCATCAGAGAGTAGCATAGCTACTTCTCGATCGTCTCCACCCCTTTGACTACTGCTCATTTCCGCCCTTCGAAAGACCTTTCCTCCGTCTCCGTCTCCATTTCTGTATCCACTCCATCATATTGCATTGCCCGACTTCCTTTGTTTGGACTCGCTCGTTCTTCATCTAAAGAAGTTCACTTTTGTATCTGTGTTGTGTGATTAGCCCATTTCTGCGGTTTTATATATCGGGGAGTGAGTCACACGGCCGGCGAAACAAGTTTCTCGCCTTGGCAAGGCATGGCATGGCACGACTTCACTCCACTCCATCGTCAAGACGGGGCAACCTGTTCTGCTCTCTTGCAATAATACTTGTATCTTTTGCCTCGAACCAAATGCCGCGTCTTTCTTGGATGCGAACCACTGCCGGTTGTTCCAAATTTTCATGTCGCACGAGATGAATGCGGAGGCGTAGAGATTGGATGCGACCATGCCGCGAAGTGTGTGCGTTCTCAATTAAATAAGTCGGGGAATTAGTTGGTTAAACGAGTGACAACACAACAGTTTACTTTAAAAGAAGATTTCATTCACCACTTCGGCCACTTGGAGCTAAAATTACCAAGAAATTGTGTCTGCTTCAGATATTTCTTATTTGTTCTTATTTTCAATCAAGTCTCATACAATTTAGTATATTACAGTAGTATAGAATGTAAATAATATATAAAATATAAGGAAATTCTCTCTCTTCTGAAAGCTAATTGTATTGATTTGTCAACTAGGGTTATCTCTCAGTGTTCTTCTTATTCAGATCGACTTACTCATCATTTCAATTGAGTTCTAGGTTTCTGAATAATTCAATAAAATTCAAATAAAAGAACATTGCAGCGTCAACTGATTATTCATCTATACTTTTACACAAATGGTGTCATGAGTATTACAATCAGAAAGGGTCATTGTAGCCTCTGTCTTTCCACTAATATTTTTACTATATTGAAAGGTATAGTAAATGCTTAATTAAAGTTCCCAAATAGTTATCGTTTCCTATCCGTTTTTATTTTGTAATTCAAAACCAAAGTATTATCTTTTTGAGAAACAACCTTAATCTTTCAGTTTTAATAGTCTTTGTTTTTTCTCACAGCAAAAATAAAGTCACCAAGTTTCAATGCTAGCCTTGTCATTGTTTTACTTATCGCAGATTTTGTTAAACTATTAAGATTAATAAGTACTTTTAACATTTTTATATCTCTTTTTTGTTGTACTTGGCTTGACATTTTGAAATCTGATGTGAATACTTCTAAATATTTATTTAGCAGTCAGCAGCTTTCGGAATCGGCATTGATTGCAACTCGCCATAGATGGTGTAGGGGGAAATTGTTTTATTATTAATTCAACCTTCACATTCGCATTTAATTCTTTTGTTTATACAATCCGGTAAGCAAAAGCCGTCGTCAAGTTGTGTTATTATTATTCTGCTTTTCTGCTGATTTAGCCACAGTCCACCGGCCACCTTGCACTTGGCGCTTCCGCAGATACAGTAGTTACTCCGTGCCTGTGACCCACTGCGGGTATCTGCATCTCTAGATAAGTTTTGTTTAACTTTGTCAACTTTCTCTTCTTGGCAAAAAAAGAAGAAAAAAAACCTGTCCAAGTCAATCAGGTGGAGGGAATACAGCAGGCAAAATCCATTGAATTTCAAGAAATGGTTTGTTGCCTTTGTTAGGAGGAGGCTTTGACTCACATTACCCAAAAAAGGGAAACTTTATTACGCTATGCCAGACACAAAGGGTTTATTGTATTTGAGTGCCGGCACGTAACACGGCTTGTTAAGGCACTTGGATGTGAATTTGAGTCCACATAGATTATATGAATCATTATATCAATTTTACAATTACACCCTGGCCTCTTTTTTTGTTTTGCTGCAAATTAACCAAAGAATTCCTGGTACTGGAAACTGTGTGTGTACATTATTTTATTACCTGTTTATGATTATTACTTTGTTTTTTTTCTGTATTTTTCCATAAATCTAAATACGAATTTTATTAGAAGGTATGCACATTATTGTGTATTGCAGAATTTTTATTTATTTTAGTTGTTTACAAGGGAATTCTTCTTTTAAACATTGGAAAGTTTTGAGTTTGTACATTTTGAGGAGGGAAAATATCGAATAGTGTTCTTTACTAAGATATCATGGCATATAGCTATTCGTTTTATTTATTAGTATATGTAAAAGACACCTCTAGAAGTAATTCTTTGTGGGATATTTTCAACTGTTCTTAAGTGAACTCTAGCCTGAATTAAGGGCATATTGCGTGTGGCCTTGCCGGGCAATTGCCTTTTCCGCCCACTGTTCCAAGCGAGTGCAGCATCAGAGGGCGATGATTGCTGCTCTTTTGGTCCTTGGTCCTTGCTCCCTGCAGCTGTCCCAGGCGCATGCGCCGACCTCAGTCTGCCACAAGCCGAAGCTGCAAATTGTTTTGTTTTCCTCACAATTGCTGAGGAGACGACCTCTGGCGATGGTTGGTTTTATCCAGCATTTCGCGATTGTTTGCTCATTTCCATGGGCAAGTGCTTTGACTTCTGGCACACAGCTTTTTAGCTGAAAAGGAGAACTCCTCGCAGCAGGACACGAGTCCTGAACGCCGCGTGTCAAGGCCGTTCAAAGGCTGGTCCAATCCGGTGAATACAGAATTTTCTGCACAGCAGCACAGCGGCAGTACAGCAACGGGAGCAATGCGCCTCTCGCTTCCAGCCTTCTGCTTTCAGTTTAGTTTGCTCTCGGCCGCAGACAACGCTGCGTATACGCAATCGACACCGCACACAGCACCGAACTCCAAACAAATCCATCCAATCGCTGTGTGTTTAGCCATCCATATTAAAGCCCTGTTAGCAGGTGCAGGGCCCGGCAGTAAGGCGTCTATTTTTACACCACATATCATCATCCACATCGTCAGCAAGTGCCCATCGTCAACACCCAGTAATCCAGCTCTTTCCGGAAAGTAAGCATTGGAAAACAAAAAAGCAAAAAAGAAAACGGGCCTCGGAAGGGACACCGAGAGATAAGCGCGGCGGAAAATGCAGTGCTCCAAATGTATATTTCCATACAGCTGTGTTCAAAATATTAGCAGTGATCCCTATAAAAAGAAAAACAAACAAAATATTATTGGTTAAAGAAATAGTAGCAGGTGATCTTTTTTAAAAAACAAACAAAATGTTATTGGTTAAAGCACTTTAACCTTGGGAAGACGATGTTTGTATACCCTTGCAGTTTGTGATTGGATTAGGACGCATTTAAAACTGAAAATAAATAAGTAAAACATTTAATAATTTCGAAAAAGTTTTATAAAATTATATACATTTGTTTTTGAAGTTTTATCAAGACTTTTTTGTTTAAAACTATATTCTGTTATCTGAATATATGCAGCTTTTGGCAATCATTCAAACCCAAAATAATAATAAATAAATAAATAATTTTTTGAATAAATCAAAGTATAAAAATAATCATAACTAAGCCAAAAAACCATTTATTTAAATTCGGAATAATTTTCTATGTTAGTTTTTGGAAGGTTAATAAATTTACATACTAAATTCAATATATTAGAAAAATTTAATTTTTCATATTTTTTTTTTACAATTTTAACGATGTAACCCCTTATAAAATTTCGAAAAAATTCATACATTTTATTTTCTATCCAACATTGTTATACCGATTCTGCTTTTAATTCTGATCAAGAATATATATGGTTTATAGGGTCGGAAATGACTCCTTTACTGCGTTTCAAGCTTCTGACCTAAAGTAAAATAATCTGAAAAGGTATAAAAACTGGTTTAACATTTTTAAACTAAATTTCTTTAAACTTTAATTTGAAATGAAATTAAATTGAATTAAATTGTCTAAAATATACTATAAATTTCTTTCAAATATAAAAGCCTCAAAATCTTTAAAGCTAATTCCTATCTTAAAGTTACCGAATCTAAGTATCTAAGAATTTTCTTCGACTATCCTTGGGAATATATTGAAAATATTTACTTTATTTTTTTGATGCTAGCTGTGTATGCTTTGCTTCTGATGTTTGCCACTGTTGGCTGTTTGTCGGTCGCTGTTGCGACATATTCTATACAATGTTTGAGGAGGGGAGGCTATAAAGCATAAAATAAAATAAAGCCACGGACATGGAGAGCCGTTGAGCTTGGCTCTTCGCCTTCGCCTTCGCCCTCCCCGTGTCCAGTTCGGTTCAGTTTCCCCCAGAGTTCATTAAACCTTTCGATTTCTTTGTCTATGTTTATATAGTATGTCTTTTGCCAAGACAGTCGATGAGTGTAACTGCTGCTGCTGCTTGTTGCTTGCCCCCACGGCCATAAATTTACAGTTCCGAGCTGAGCAGAGTATCAAATGAGCACACTCATTGTCTTGATCGCGATACCAGTGTTATGGTACCGGCATTGGTTGATATACATACATATATAAATATAAGCAAAAAATTCTATGGATTTAAGTTACATTCTGAAAAGTAAATATCTTGTAAAAATCCTGGATTTTTAAGAAATTTTATATTTAAATGAGTAACGAGTTAGATTTTGATTAATTGGAACGATTAAGAAAAGTATCAAACTAAATTAAAATCTCCCATATTTCCTATATTTCCAATCCACATACACAACCTTTAAAAATTTGATGATTTAATTACAATTTTTATTACATTCTAATAATGAAAAATTTACTAAAAACTCAACATTTAATCATTCAATTGATCGTTTTTAAATTTTTAAAATACTTTTAAAATATGTACTTAATATCAACTGTTCATTAAATGATTATTTTATAATTTGCTTATACAACATTTTGCTCCAATTTTTTCTGTAATTATTGTTATTTGGATTAAATATCGGCAATGTCAATTGTTTAACAAGATAAATGTATGGCAAATACAGAAGCCGACAAGTGTAAACTGTGGTAGCATCTTATTTCTATATTGTTACCTAGACATTTATTGATAAGAAAAGTAATCTCTTCAGTAAAAAGTGATCGAAAAAGTCATGGCTTGTTTGGCCTTCGTATAACTACAAGAAAATATGCAATATGTTTATTATAGGTATATTATTTATATGCTTATATTTTGGGTAAATTACAGTTTTTCATATATCATAACTAGGTAACAAATTCATCAATTTTAATATAGATAGCTTTTCTATGCTAATTTGTATAGGGTTAGCAAATCTGCATATTATGTTTTAGAATATTGAACAATTAAAATTTTTCACAATTTTTGAACATTTTATCGATGTATAAAATTTTGAAATTTTGAAGAAGCTTCAAAAAATGTAAATTTTTTCCGGATATGGATAGATCAAATCGGCTTCGGATGCTGATCAAGAATATATATGATTTATAGGGTCGCAAACAACTCCTTCACTGAGTTTTAAGCTTCTGGCTGAAATGATAATATTGTATAATAATGTAGCAAAAGTTAGCGCCAAAGTCAGGGTTAGTTTTAAAACTAAATTAATTGAATAAATTATTGAATAATTTTCAATTAAGTGAAGCTGTTGACTGATAGCCTCAATACAAATTAGTTTATCAATTTAAATTAAAACTAAGTAAAGAGGTATAATTGTCAAGATTAAGACTTACCTCAGTAAAGGACACGTGGCCATCCGTTGCTTAGTTAGTTCCTTCCCTCGTAGTGTTGTTTTCCTGGTGACTCCAATTGGGCTTTCCATGTTATCCACGAAGTCAGCTTCTTCCTGGTTATCCAAATATATAGCATTCGCCAGATGAAATAGTTGAGTCGAAGAGCAATCACTATCACTGCCACTATCACTGACGATGTAAACAGGCGGAAGGCCTGGCACTGACTAAGGGCGGCGGGCCTGAAGTGCCTCTATTTATACTCCCCAAGCAAAGAGAACAGAGAAAGTGAGAGCGAGAGTGCAAGAGATTCCTCTAGAGAAAGGTAGAGAGAGTTAGAGAGAAAGAGGCAGCTCAAGAGGTACGCTGTGGGAGAAAGAGGCAGTGGGAGAAAGAGGCATTGGGAGAAAGAGGCAGTGGGAGAAAGAGGCAGTGGGAGAAAGAGGAATTGGGAGAAAGAGGCAGTGGGAGAAAGAGGAATTGGGAGAAAGAGGCAATGGAAGAAAGAGGAATTGGGAGAAAGAGGCAGTGGGAGAAAGAGGCAGTGGGAGGAGAGGCAGTGGGAGAAAGAGAGATATAGTGAGTGTTTAGCATTTACGTGTACATTTAACGATATTTTCTGTGGCAGCTATATGATAATGTCGTCCGATTTTGATTAAAAGTTTTAATTATAAAATAGTACAGTATCTTCTTCTAATATCTAATAATATCTCAAATTAGATATGTTAAAAATATGAAAAAAATATAATTTATATTCCCAAAATTTGTTGATCGATTTTATGGCAGCTATATAATATAGTCGTTCGATCCCTTCCGACTTTTATACTAGTAAAAGTAAGGCAAGGTTTATTCAGTTAGATTATTAAAACTTCGACTATTTTGAGTACAAACGGACAGACAGTCAGACGTTGTTGCTGAACTAGAATATATATTCTTTATATGGTCAGTAATAACTCCTTTCGCTTTGCAAATTTTTAATAAAAATACCCTGAAAGGGTATAAAAATGCGTCTGTTTTAAAACAGATCTTCACCGTTCAGTGCTCCCAACACTAAGTGATCTGCTCTGACGCAATACTGATAAAAAGTTTAAAGATAATTTAAACAAACAAATAATGCCGCATGTTACACATGCAAAACCTCTTTTGTTGTTAGAACATTTAACATTTAAAATTTCACAAAACGAGGCTCGTATTTGCCGGCGCGTTGTTCATTGCCTCGGTGGCGCAGTTGGCAGCGCGTAAGTCTCATAATCTTAAGGTCGTGAGTTCGAGCCTCACCCGGGGCATGTATACTTTTTTATAATTATTATTATTTTTTTAGTATTACCTAAAACGTCTTTTTTTTTCTTTTTCTATTTTATACACCTAACATCGAGTTATTTAATATTGGGGTAATTATGCAAATGCATACACGCAATGCTTGGCGGGTGACTCATACATATTTCCCCTTCAGAGAGCATTAAACCAAGGCAAAGAAAAAGGGGTTTCCCTTCCAGATAACACCTGTCCATATGGGCAAGTTGCCAGCAACAAAGCTCAGCTCCCTTCGAACTGCACTCAGTCCTTTTGTAACTTTGCATTTGGTCAGAGCTAGCTAGCTAATGCCTCATCCCATTGTCATCTTCTCCGGGGCTTGCCTCTTTATTGACCTTAATTGATGTCAAGTGGATGCGAGTGCTCCGTGATAGGGAGCAGCAGGGAGAGGGAGTATGCTCGGGAACCAATCCTATATCTATTACCCCATTGGCCTGGACGAACCACACCAAGAAGTGAATAATATTCTTTATTGCCCCTGCCACGCATTTATTATTGGCCCAGGACATGCCACGGCCACATTATGGGTGTGAGCTCCGCTCTGCTCTGTCCTCGAATACTCCTAAATCATTCTGTTGTCTCCATTTCCGTTCTTAATTCGAAATAGTTGGGGAAGAAAGGATCAAAGATTAATATGATAAGTGCCTATAAAATGTCAAGCTCCCAAATGATAACCATTTGCATATCAATTCGAGCGCAAGTTCCAGTGTTATGGCCCCAAGTCAGAGAAGTTTTAGATAAAATAAGAATAATCTCTTGCGATAAAATGTAGCTAAAGTGAAGTCAACCAAAGAAGAGATTTAAAAGAGCGTATAGGCTCTTTGAAAAGTGGATTCTTACATATTTTTAATGTATATATGTTTTAGCAATTTAATTAAATATACAATTCTCTACTATTTTACAGGCCACTGAAGTGTGAAATGGGTGTGGTTTTCAACACCGAAAGGATCAAGAATACCAGAAGCCGCTTCGAGTGTTAGTGAATTTCAAGGGGACATTCCTGCATCCTAATCCGCCTTCCCCACTAAGATGAATTCTACAATGGAGTTTACAAACACTAAGCCGATGCGTTCCAAAAAACGACGACTGCGTCGAAGGCGCCAGATTGCCTATTTGGCCATATGTGGCTTAAGTGTAGCAATTTTTGCCATTGCATTGGCCACGCTCATTAGGCCAGCTGCGGCTGACGATGATCCTCCACCACCTGAAGATCCACCGGCTGGTGACCCACCGGCTGGTGACCCACCGGCTGGAGACCCGCCGGCTGGAGACCCGCCGGCTGGAGACCCACCGGCAGGAGATGCACCGGCTGGAGCCCCACCGGCTGGAGATCCACCGGCTGGAGCCCCACCGGCTGGAGATCCACCGGGTGAAAAAGCGCCCGCTGATGCGCCAGCATCTGACCCTAAAAATCCACCTGCAGATGAGGGTGATTCGGGTAGACCGTGGCGCGAAGGTTACTCGGGCGATGGCACAACCCACGAGCAGCTCGGTCAGCCCCATTGGACGCCTGTGGAGTATACACCTTATCGGCCGACAACGAACTATTCCGAGGAGCCGCCAAAGCTCACGTCGGCCATGAACCCCATCTTTAACTTTACGCACTTTATATTCGACACGGTGCTGTACACGAACGATTCCTTTCCACCGGGTGAGTGAAGTATTATTAACTTGATGTATTCCTGATATAATTTAATTTTTCTTTTTGCAGGATATATTACGATAAAGAATGGAGACACCCTTCAATTGGGTCCGAAAGTGCAGGAAAATGATTGGCGCGATCTGTTGGCCCATTATTGGTTGGTTTTCATTTGGATTCTTCTGCTCATGGTACTGATCATTGTCGTACCTTTTATAGCGTAAGTAGGATCCTCATTATTCCACTGTTCCAAATAATTCTGAGTAATCCCTAATAATCTCTATCCTCAGCGTTTGCTACTGCTGCTTCTGTTGTTGTAAGCGCTGTCGCCAGGGCTGTCCACCGTGCACCAGCAAACAGGATGCCCAAAGGCGCTGCTGCTGCGGCGTATGCCTCCTGCTCCTCATAATTGGACTAATGTGAGTGGCGCTCTCTAATTCATCCCTTGGATCAACTTAAGCTAACACTCTTTGCGACTTTCATAGCTTTGGAATTATCATCGCTTTCGTGACCAACAAAATGCTAGAGGACGGTTTCGGAGAGACCGACAAGACGATGAAGCGCGGCGGCCAAGACACCTGCACCTATCTGAAGGATGTGGCCGATCATGTCCACCATTTGTTGGTGTACAACTACGAGGAACTCGAGACACACGTTAATGATCAGCTAGCACGTAAGAATTTTATGGGTCAACGTGTTCATATAGCCTAGCTAACATACTTTGTTCCCTTCTCTAGGTGCCCACGATCACATATTTTTGGATTTAACCGACACATCGCAGAGTACGTCGTTGTCTGACCTGGAACGGGTGCTGGATAACATGCCGGAGGCACTAATTCTGATGAAGGAAATTGATAAGATGCAGAAGGACCTGGTCTTCTTTGGCTCACAGTTGAGAGATGGTAGGAGACAACCTAAAGGCATACATCGTTTCAACATCTAAAATTTGTTCGATTCTAGGTGTCCGCGGCATGAAACGTGATATTAATTTCGCCGTGGCCAATCTGTGCCAGGTGCAGATGTGCCAGAAGTTCCTCGTCAGCAGCAATATCGAGCATATTGATACCTCGCCGTGCCTGCACTTTGACTGGGTATGTTATAGCCCGTACACTTTACTTAACTCTCAATAATGTCATGGTTCTTTTTAGCTTCCCAATACCAAACAATTTATTGACGGCATGCAGGAGATCATTAACATGAAATATGCTGCGATACCCAAGAAAGGCCTGAAGCAACTGAGCGAGGTCAAGGAAATGGTCGCGAAGCAAATGTCCTTTGTGGTACCAACAATTTCGCGCGATCTGAACAAAGGCAAGGGCGTCTTTCGGGAGCAGGCCACCAGTGTTCGCAACGTGGTGGAGGCTGTGCTGAGTGATATACACCACAAGACCCTGAGTTCGACCAAGTCCTTTGAAGATGTTTACACGAAATTTGGACCGGATCGCAGCGTAGTTAGCCTGCTTGTGGGGCTCATCATATTGCTGGTAAGGAACGGTTCTCTTTTAAAGTGGCAATTGGTTTCATCACCGTTCCTTCCTATTTATAGATTCTATTCATACTGATCTGGGCTTTGCTTTGCGGATGCTTCGGACGACGGCGCAGTGGTTACGGCGACGAGTGCTGCAGCAAATCTACCGGCGCCACCTGCCTGCTAATGTGAGTGGACAACACTAAACACACAACTAAACACCTCATCATTTCTCCTATCAATTGCAGAGCCATCATACTGATATTCTGCGTTTTCTCATTCATTTGCCTCGTTGGACTTTTCTACTTTGTTATCGGCTTGGTGACCTATCAGGGCGCTTGTGCCCCGTTGCGGGATCGCGAGAACAACGCGGTATTCCGGCAACTGGACGCCGCTATAGATGTGAATCGCTATTTACCGAGGCATGACGATAAGGACGCGCCGCCAATGAAGATGTCGAGTGCTTTGAAATCGTGCAACGACAATGAGACAGTGTTCGTGATGATGCGACAGCACAAAATCTACGACATCAATGACTTGTCGCGTGTCAAGGTGATCTCCAGCGATCCCAGTGCGGTTCGCATCTTTAACGACGATCTGTCCAAAGTGAAACTGATCGAAAAGGATGATCGTGAAAAGCTTAAAAAGTTGGGCCAAAACCAACTGGGGTCGTATCGCGGCTCCACGTACTCGTCCAGACAGTGCACCAAGTTCACCCCCATGAATCTCATCGCCCTCTCTGAGCAGCTGTCGAGCCTTTCCAACGATCTTGAGTATCCAGCCTATGGCTGGGCCAAAGTCTCCTTCTGGAACGAGGGCCTCAACGCCAAGACCTTGCACCGCAACTTTGTACCGAAGCTGACCAGCCTTGTGGAAAAGATGAGGGCCACTTGGAAGAAGATAGACGAGATGATATTGTTCAACAATCTCGATTTTGAAGATTCCATCACACTTCTCAATAAAGCGGTGATTGATTCAGAGGAATTCATTCAGACGCGTGGCAAGGACTACATCAATGTGCTGGGCACCGGTTTGACGACCACCATTCAGAAGCAAATCGATGACTACGTTAAAATGGTTATGCGGGAGGCTAACGAGAATGTGGGACACTGTGCGCCACTGGGTTATATATACCAGCGTGGCGTTGACCTCATCTGTCACCGTTTGGTGGATCCAATTGTGAGTTTTCTAAAGAGATTTTCCTTACTTTTCTAGCCTATTTTGTGAATAAGTTATTAATTGATAAATGTTTCCTTTTAGAATGGCTACTGGGTGGGCATTCTGCTGTGCGCCTTTCTCTTCCTACCCATTCTCTATGTGGCCCATCGCCTGATGTGTCTGTACAAGAAGATCTATCCCTATCTGGCTACCGTGGGAGCTGGCGGCGTTGTCGAGGGCGGGTAAGTGGTTCTCTTTATCATCCCCCCCTGTCCATTCCATTCGCTTTAAGCATCACCCTAAAACCCAAAGCTGTCCCGTATGCATGGGTGCCGCCCAGGAGTTCCGCGGTGGCGGCGGTGGCATAACAATTCAGTTTGAGGAAGTTACTGAGGCTGAGCGCACGAACAAAGTCGAAGTGGAAGCGGAAGTGGAAGCTAAAGACAATGACAAGGCTGATATTACCCCGGAGTTCGAGGTGGTCGTTCCAATGAAATCTCCTAGCAAGACCAAGCAGGAATAATGAATGCTTAAACGATTGTAGAAAATTTGTGTTATATATTTTTTTTAAATTTTACGCATGCACCAAAAGATCATAAATATTGTTAACGTTTTGAAGCGCAATTATCACAACCAAAAAAAAAACATTGAAAAAGGAATCAACCAAAAACTATAACCTGTATTCGTTCTTCTCATTTCACCGCTAACCAAACAACCTCATCCGCACCACGCAGCAGCGACTATCTGTACGACGCTTATAGTGAGCGCGAACGCGAGCATGTTCCATTGGCGAAGTAAGCGAATCCATTCCGTTGCATCCACAGCCATTCTGTGTGCCGCCTGGCTAGCAGCAGCCTTTAATGCTCTCCCTGTATTAACCTTTCCCTCGTCCCTGCAGTGTACCCAAGAAGCGACGCAAGGCCTACGAGCGACGGCACCGGGAGCAGCAGGACTACTATGAGGATGCCTCACCCAGTGCGTCGCGTGCCACTCGCTCTGGCGGAGAACGCGGTGGCGGTGGCGGAGGTGGAGAGCGCGGCGATGGCGCTCCAGGCAGCAGCAGCATGCGTTACAACGACATGGCACCCACGTAAGTGCCTTCCCGAGTCCAAGCGTGGCTTACTTCCTATCTAAACTAGCTGACATATGAAACGACTGTCATAATTTGTAAAAAGTAAACATATGAATGAAAAACTAGGAGAATATTAGATAAACCAAAGGAAGTCCCTAAGAAAAAGGAACCCTTCTTCTAATAGAATAATAAAACTCTAAAATCCAGAGTAAAATCACACTTTGAAAGCAAAAAAACCTTTCCTGCATTAGTATCCAGTTAATACTTATATTAAAAAGCCAAGAAGGGAATGTCCTATCATGTTAGTTTCTTTAAAAACCATTGAATTAATCAAATAAGTTGCATATTTAAGCCAGATATGATTACCAGTTATGACAGTTGCCTATTAATTAGTAAGCCTTCTAACAAATTAACCACAGAACATGCCTCATAGCTGCCTAACACTGACCAAGAGATTCGCCTTCGATTGCATCCAGTTTCCCTTGCGTTCATTTGGAATTCGCTGCTAAAAATCGCTAAAACGCTAATTTTTAATTTTGTTTAATTTAGCGCTAAAGCTGTGGCCTCCAATGGCGGCACACGGCCAAAGGCATTGGCGGCAGATGGTTTCTTTTAGGCAAATGGTTCCTCGATTCGCTCGGTAATGTGTGCCAGTCAGAGCTCAGAGATTCAATCGGTGTGCTTCCCCCAGCCTCGATTCGAGAGTGCCCTCCCCCGATTGTGGTTCCCCCTTTAAAAACTGTTTACCTTGATTTAAAGCTTTGCTTAAACAAGAAAACATTTGCTAAAGTTTCGTTTTAAAATCATTTTAAATTTGATATATAAAACGGAAATACGTGACACCAGCATCAATTCAATGAAGAATATGGTGTAATTTGGTTTACATATTTTTTTATAATTTATGTATTGTTTTTAATCGCTTTTTGATATGATTTTTAACTCGAACAGTACACTCCTGCTGTGCTTTGTGTTCTTGTTTCTCTTGGACGAATATGCTTCTCGTCTCTAGATTGCTCCAAAGTCACAGACACTCACTGGAAGCAATTTCCTAGACCCCAAAAGCCTACAAATATACGTTTCCTGTACGAGCTAAGCTGTTGACCCAAAACTCTAACTAAACTGAATACAATTTCTTAACTAACCTATCTGTTTCTGTGTTGTGCGTGTCGCGTGGTCGTCGCACTATGAGTTTTTCGAATTATATATACATTAGTATATCATTATTATTAATGTATATATTAATTACAACTTCACAGGCACTGGGATCATGAGCCACCGCGCTACCACAATCCACCAGCTGCGCCGCCATCCTCGGAGTACGAGCGTCCGCCGCCCTACTATTACCCCGGGGCCTCTGAGCAGGACTAGAGAGTGAAGGAATGAGTTGAGAGGTGGCAACATGGATGACGATTTTGATTTGAACCCAAACCCTCACCTATCCCCCTTACACTGAGACTGTACTTTTAGTTAAAAAGCGTAAACAAAAGCATAACTGAAATTATATAATTTAATTAAGTAGTACTGTAGCATCACACATGTGTTATATATATATATTAATATCTGCCATTGACCTACAGAAGATAATGTTAAGTGCGAAACTCTGAAATTCACTCAAATATCATTTCACAATTATGTATGTACTTTGAAAATGTTGCCAAAAGACGACGATGACGACGACGATTATAATGATGATGAGCACTTAAGAAACATGGATAGAATGGATAGATGGACGCATTTAATGGTACAGAGAAGAGATGATCATCTATATAGATAGAAGGTCGCACGGCACAGGCGTAGGATCTGATGAGTCAACCTTGAAGAAGTTTGGCATTCGCCGGACCGCAAGGTCGCTGAAGCTTTAAGGAATCTCATAATTTTATTATGCACGACGACGATGATGAGAAAAATAAGCAAATATCTAGCAAGCAAGCAAAACTACATAAATAACCGATCAAACAAGAACACTTCATGGAATCTGTAATACTTCCAGCAAATCAAAATCAAGAGAAGATAAGAAAACAAGAAAGAAATATTTGATCAATACCAAAACTGCCATTTTAATTTAGAAAAGAGTGCAGTACCCAGGAGTTGAGAGTTATTCAATGCATTTAATGTATTTATTTTAGATTGAAAATGAAAAAACAAAATGTAAACGCAATACACGCGACACTGATTGAACACCAATCCAACTGCAAATCAATAAACTGGAAAATAATATGGATACCAACACGTATCTTTAACACGTTGTCATAGTTTAGTAAGTGAAAACCAAAAGTATGAGATGAAAAATCGAAACCCCGTAAAGCATTTAAACGTTTCCCAATTGTATTGTCTAGGACCTAAGTGCAAGCTAAACCATACACAAGCATATTGTACGGATTACACACAACAAATACATCATTTTTAGTATTATTATTATAATTAAGAGTGTATGTTGTATTTTACATTTGACGTACATTAAATGATTTCCGCTTAAGTCAAACAAACAAAAAACATAAAAGAATGAAAAGTCAACTAACCAATGTATCAATATATTGCCGCGTGCAAGTAAAGAAATTATCGCATAAGATCCCCGAGAAGAAAACACACAAAACCAAAAAACACAAAAACCCAAACCAGTTGCCAGTCAATCATCGAGCTCCGTTGATGGTTGTCTCTGTCGTTTGCAAACATTTTTGTCAATAAACTTCAAATGGTTTTATGTAAGTCTCAAAATTCTTTTTAAATCTTTGTGGAGTCTTTCTGTTATATTGATTATGAAGGAAGAATAATACTAATTTGTATTTAAGCTTCATTCATATATCCATGCAGATATAACAATGGATTTTTTCGTAATCTCATGAGATTTATAAAGATTCTTCAAAGAAGTATGACTTTTTGGTACACGTTACGTAATAACAAATTTAAAGATTGATTCTATTAATATTTCCCTACAATCTACATATGTTGAATATTCGTTTTTATTTTGTTCAATTTACATTACAGTAATATCTGATTTTTAAATCAAATTCGTTAAGAGAAAAATTTGAAATGATTAACAACAGTAACATGAATGATATCATGGAACTTGCATTCCCCCCTAGGTTGGAATTACCCATGTTTAAGAAGGAGGAGCCCGATAAGTCTGAAACTTCAGGAGAAGAAGCCGAACTGAAGTACCCCGATGAAGATTACCTCTATATTCCACTCTACTCCGTCCCAAATGCTGTCACAGAGGCCTTGGTGGGCAAATCCCCAGCGCCCGATGAGTACAAAGCGGAAAAAGATATTGGAGCCAAGGCGGTAAGTGATGATTGGAAGGATTATCTGGCCTCGCAGAAGCTGCTGAAGATACTGATCCTCCTGCTGTTGCTTCTCTTTATACTGGTGCCTCTCGTGGGGTAAGCTTTGCTTTTTAATTGGGTTAAATTTTTGAGGAGCAGCCTCTCCTCTTAGGCTTCTGTGTGCCTTCTGTTGTAGGCGATGCAGGAGGCGCAAGGGATTCTGCCCGATAGTGCGCTATTGTTGTACCATCTTCCTGATCATTGCCGGAGTCCTTATGCTGTAAGTCTGTGAGTCAGTATTTGTAACTTCAGCGGATCAGGCTGAATGAGCTTTAGTTTATCTCTCCTCTTTGCTATAATGGCCACCGTTCAGTTGAACACGAGCCTGAAGAAATCTGGGGACTGTTTCTCTCAGTCCCAATCCGGCAAGTCGAGCGAGAATATAATCTTCGATTCTAAATCCGAGTACACGCGCCGTGTGCATGAGACCAACTATAATCAGTTCCAGAAGAGGATCGAAGCCCAGTCCGTTGCCACTGGAGCGGTGATCCGTGCCCAGGCCTTGAGGAATCTGACAGAGGTTCTAAAGGGCATGCAAGGAGCAAAGCCGCTTCTGGAGGAGCTCAGGGATGAGCTGCCCATAGCCAAAGGCTTGGCCAGCAGGTTTCGAAATGGTGAGGAGCTTTGGGGTTTTTAAAGGATTACCAATAATGAGATTTCATGATCCTCGACAGCGTTGAGTGCTGTCAAGCAGAATCTCAAGGTATTCCTTACCTCGCAGTGCAGCCACCAGGAGTGCGGAGATTTCTTCAGAGATAATAAAATCACTATGCTAGACGAGGGATGTCTGCACTATGAAAAGGTAAGTACATTTCAGCCTAATAAAAAATAATAACTATCTTCCCCAAAATATTAAAGCTTCCCCCAACGGAGGACTTTACCAAATCCATTGAAAAGTATCTGGCCAGTAACTTTGTCAACTATCCGCTACTTGCTGCCCAGCGAATTGCCAAGGTGATCAGGAATCCCATGGATAACCTGGTGGTTAAAAAGGATCTCCATAAAGGCAGTTAGCGGGAAAACCATAAACATATCCTTTTAATTCTGCCAAAGTTCACCCTTAGCCAAAAAGGTGCCGTTGATTGGACTCCGATTAAACGAGAACCAAACTATGAGGGAGGATAAGCCAAAGGACTCTAATTCTTCTCCCGCAGCTGCTCTGAAGGGAAAGATGGGACGGACGTGGTATAGAACCACGCTGGGATGGCTTATTCTACTCCTTTTTTTGCCCATCCTCCTGCTTATTGGTGTCCTGGTGACTCTGTTCAGTTGTAGGCATGCCAGAAGGATGCTCTGTGCATTCATGATTGCTGCCATAATACTCTTCGCGTTGAACATTATCCTGTTGCTTTTCTTTCTGGTCCACGGAGCCTTGGCCCATCAAATTTTCTGTTCTGGGTAAGTGTTTGAAGCAGCTCCAAGGTAAAGTAAGCAATGGTTTATAATTATAGAAAATCTGGAGGGTCAAAAATGTTTTTTGATCCACTTGATTATCTACCCGAGTTAAGATCTGGAGATCCTTTGCAGCGGTGCGCCCGCAATGAGAGCTTGTACAGAGTCTTGGCTCAGAAGGAGCTCTATGGGAAGAAAAATGTCCGAGAATCCCTGGAGAAAGTAATGGTAGATCCTATGTTTGACAATCTGGTTCCCCAGGCGGCGTTTGTAAACCGGGAACTCTTTGAGAGTAATCTCTTTAGCTACAATAGCTCACATTTCACCCGACACATGTGCCGGGAACTGGTGCCGGAACCCAGGCCGGGTCCTTTGCCAGCGCTAATCGGTAGATTGGATAACCTGACCAGAAGTGTGGGTTCGTCCCCTTTCCTGCTCAACCAGACCAGTTACCTGCGAGCTGCCCATAAGGAACTGGGGCAACCGCTGGCAGCGATCGTCCAGCGACTGCTGGATAAGCTAAAGAAGTTGGATCACCTGCTAACCAGCGGTTATGGGAGCTTTGCCAGATACATGAGTCGCGTTCTAGAGAAGATCAAGCAGGTTGACCTAAGCGGCGATGCCGGAAGTTATTTCCTTGATTCTGGTCTGGATAATAGCACCAGGAATGCGTTGGAGAGCTGTGCTCCACAAACTCGACAGTATAAATTAGATATGGATAGGAATGTTCAGTTTGAGGATTACTGTAAGAGGATTGCCAATCCAATGGTGAGTGGATATATACATATATCTTAAATTGTATATAATAATAATTTCCTAATTTTCCAGAATGCCATTTGGTTCTGGCTTCTACTCTTCACCCTGCTGCTGCTGCCCGCCCTTTGTTGCAGTAATTATTTGCGACGTCGCTTGCGATGTTGCAGGCATGCATCGCAGGATACGCTGGTGTCCTGCTGCGGTGACAACTTTGTGGCCCACAGTGCTTTGCCATTGGAATTGGAATCACACTGCAGATGCTATAGATATCTGCCAGTGTGTTCGGAAACGAATTGTGATCAAATGCTAGTAAACAACTGTTGTGAGCATCATTGCTGACGATTAAGTAACTAAGAGAAGTATTTATAAATAAAAATATACTTGAAATGGATCAGAGTTTCCTAGGTTCTTATTTTTAAAAGAAATCAGCAAATTACAAGCATAAATATGAAAAATATGTAATATTAAATAGCATACTTGTAGGAGTGAATATAAATTCTGTAAAAATGTAAATGTATGGATTTACTAGGGTCTTCAGTGCTTGTTTGTGTTACGCTTATTTTAATTGAATATTTATATAGAAATATATGAAGAAATTTAAGGATAAATAGTCTCAACATTAATCATAGTTGCTTTTCAAATTCTCTCAACATTTTTCCAAGTTACTATATAATTATGACATTCATATTTTCTCCATTATAAAATGTTATTTATCAATTCAATTTTACTTTAAAATAAAGTTCCTTATCTAAACTAAATTCAAGATTAAATAGACACCTTTATAAATCTTCCTAGCATCACAAGTCAATAGTTTTACACAATTTTAAATCACAAAAAAATAGTATAAAGAGCCTGAAATGAGCCATACATTTCGAGTTTGTCTTGGCTTCTCCATGATAATGAACTTGCCCATCGGTCTGTGCCCCAGACTGTGGGAGACAACGGCTCTGAGTGTGTTCAATAGGAGTAAGGATACTACTCCTTCCTGCTGCTCCTCGGACTGGCTGATACAGCTGCAGCAGTCCTGGTGTCCGCTACTTAGGTTATTAATTCTGGGAATAATAGCACTTCCTATATACAATGTGGTCCTCATCCTGGTAGGGTAAGTATTCCAATCTAGGATCCTGGTTAGAAGATTAACCCTGGGATATCCCTTAGCTGGCGTTTCAATGGGAGCACCAGGAGCACTGCGGAGCTCTTGGTGGGGCATCCAGTGCGGCAGCCGCCTCCAGTTCCTCCAAAGCCTCCACCACGCATAAGGCGACGTCCATCTTTAACTCCTCCTAAGAGATCGAGCAGCCCTGAAGTCGTACCCAATTCCACTGACATGAATCCCTTTGCCGACCAGGAAGCATACCAGATCCTAAGACGGAATCTTCAGTTAGTTCTAAGGGGCCTGCAGAATCCGCCTTTAGAAGTGGAAACTCCTAGAATACCGGAACCTATCATGAAGCCTACCGAAATACCTTCCGGATTGCCTTCCGGGATACCTTCCGGGATGCCTTCCGGGATACCTTCCAAAGTTCCTTCCAGAATACCTCCCGGAATACCTTCCGAGCAGCTACCTTCTAGGATTCCTTCCGGATTACCTTCCTGGTTGCCTTCCGAAATACCTGCGGATATACCTTTCGAAATACCTTCCGAGATACCTTCGGATGCGACCTCCTTGTGCCCCTTTGAATCCCCAAAAAGTGAGGCCCAAAAGAAACGCTCGAAGGTCATCTTCAAGCGTCTCTGGCAGAGATGGAGAAGCCGAAACAAACTAAAGAAGTCCAAGAAATCACTGGTCAGCGCTTCCTCTTCCAGCTGCTGCAGCACCAATGGCTCCAGTTGCTTTTATGTTTATTTAGAGGAAACCTAACCAAGTTCGAAGGCTGCACACAGCCATGTAGATTTATTGAGAAATCCTATGCGAATATATGTTATATTTTTTTTAAGATTAAATGTGTGCTTTAAAGACCTTGGCTTGGGGGAACGCCTCGATCGTTATTAGAACACATCCGGTAGCTGACAATAGAGCTAAACGACAAACCTTGTTCTCGCATCAATCAAACGCAAAGAAAAACGCAACTTAAAACTCAAAACTGAATACTGAGAGAAATAAAAATAAACTCTAAGCACAAAAGTAAAGCAAACAAAGGCGAAATAAGCCCAAGCAACCTACCAACTACCGGGTGAGCTTGCTCGTTCGCCGACTGCCTGATTAAGGGGCAGCGAAAGCAGATCGCTATCGTCACTCCATCTCCGACTCCGACTCTAAACCCACTCCACCGGCTCCACCTCCAACATCCAAGTGCAGCTCCATCATTGTCTGTGCCACAATGGCAGGAAGGGAAGAGGCCAAAGAGCACGGGAAAAAGGCAACAGAAGTTAATAACTTAAGGCCACCTGAACAGCCTATGCTCTGCAGCTTAAAAAGCACTAATTAAGTCTGAGTTGATCTCACAAATTATAAAGAATTATTTAAGTAATAATTTAAGAAGAAGGGAATGCTATTTTTGAAGGGAATCATAAACATGAAAAGAACATTATAAGGCCTATGGAATAGCGAAACCATACATTTACGATAACAAACCACAATGCCCTACAGAATTTTATTGTAGGAAATTTTCAAAATATATATAATATATATACAAATATATAAGCCCCTAGTCACTATATTATATAGATTCCTTCACAGCTGCTCTTCAACTCCTTAATGATTTCATATCGATTATTTCTTAAATAAATATCTACTGTAAAGCAAATATTGTAACAAGCTATATTTAATCACAAGATTGTTCAACACTCTGCTAATAAATATTTATATTTCAACAACTGAATAAAAAACCCCCAAAAATTGTGAATGGAATAATGGTTAACTAAACACAGAAACCCTTTTGAAGGGCATTTATTACACACACACGAAAATTACAGAGCAAAATGAGCGACGACAAGACAACTCCCAGACGAGTTTTTTGTTCTTCCGCTCTTTCAAGTCAGACCCAAAGATGACCAGAGACCAGATCCGCAGCCGATCTTGTATGGCAACCGGAGGCAAGGCCATTGAAAAGTGAAAAGCCGCCGTATGTGTTTGTTCACAATAATTTGTAGCTAAAAATTAAATCACGTTTCTTATCAGCGATGCGATGCGATGCGATTGTGAGTGCCTTTCTTTTTCGACAATTACCAAAATCATAAAGGCAGACAACGAAATTACCTAGCAACAAAAAGTAAAAAAAAAAAGCAGTAACAAGTAGCAAGTAAGAGTAACAACAACGAAATTTCACTTTCAATTTCTGAGTGTGTTTGTTCGGTACAAAAACAAAAGACTTAAGGCACGAACTCGGCCGGCCGCAGTGAAGGTTAAATCGTTCGATTTGATATTCAATCTACGATTTCGAAAGCCGAAAGCCATGCCAATGCACCAATGGAACCCTCCAAGGGAGGTCTCAGCTCCCACCTGAACCGCATAGAAAATCCATTCCATGGGATAGATCACTTCTCAGCTCTCAAGACTGGGAATCTCTCTTCCTGCCTTTCGATTTTCCTTTTGCCTTTCCGTTGTGAAATCTAGTCCACTTGCGAAACAGAGCATCTCGATGAGTTTTCTCGTCCGAAACTGGCACACACTGAAGAATTGCAAAAGCCAAAGGAAAAGGCAGCGGAGAAAAAGGAAAAGCCAGAAAGCAAAAGCTGCTGCAACACAAAAAGAAAGAAACATCAAATGGCAAATGGCACGCAATGGAATTGGGCATTAAAATGCACGCAATTAAGTCGGCCAATTTGATTTACAGTGAAAGGCGGTGAAATTTATGGCATGCAAAGCGTGAGAAGGCATCTTGGCCTCGAATTTGGCCAGAAATTGCAAAGCCAAGAACCTCCTTACTGGAGCTCAGATTAAATTCACTTAAAAATGTTAGTTAATAGGTCTAGAAATTGCCAGAAATCAAGTGGCATTGTAATTATATAAAGTGTTAGGAAGAAATTAACTGAAATCTAAGAAAGTAACTGAGACATTATCCCTATATTATTGTTGATGAATTTAATTGCTTTTATTTAAGGTTCCTAATTTATTATAACTTTGCAAAGTATTCTACTTTTAGTCAGAAGCTTTTAATCCAGTGAAGGAATCATTTCCGACCCTTTAAACCATATATATTCTTGATCAGAATAAACAGCAGAATCGATCAAACCATGTTTGGTAGAAATAAAAAAATTTATAAATTTTTTCAAAATTTTATAAGGGGTTACATCGTTAAAATTGTCAAAAATTTGTCAAAATTTGGGTTTTCTTAAAATATTAAATTTAGTATGTAGCTTTATTAAGCTTTGAAAAACTAACACAGAACAGCTTTACAAATTAAAATCAAGGCTTTATTAGATTAGTTATCATAATTTTAATTATTTGATTTTTTTTTTAATTGTAATATAAAGACTTCGTTTTGAAGTGAATATATTTAAGGTCTTCTTGTTTGTTTATAACAAAAGAAAATAACAAATAAAACATTGGTGAAGAACCAAACAAAGCTTAGCTTAGTAAAGATTAATTGAAAATTCAGCTTCCTTGATGCAATTGTTAACTGTCGAAGTCTCTTATATACTCTTATATATTATTTTTATACACGGTTATATGAAAATGTATAAAAATAAATACATAAAAATGAAACAATAAATACAAATAGTACTCCTTATATTTTGCAATTGCCTTTTTATATTTCTTTGGGTTCACTCAACTTTTCGGACTTTCGTTTTCATTGAAAGTTTAAACTTTAAACCCAATTTGTTGACGTTTGTTCGCTGATTGCCGCCGCTATTTTTCCAACGGGTGGGCGTGGCTGGGTCAGGAATTAAGCTGGGAGATTGGACGCGGATTCGGCATGGATTTGATATTGGCTCGGATCGAACTCCGCTTATGAAACCCTTTCCATTATGCCCAAACACACACACACACACCGCACTATGCAAATGAGACGGAGCTGAAAAGGCTGCCACCTCCTGCTTTCTATCGTGTGAAACGATTGCCAGCCAAGTGTTATGCGCTGCGTATTTTGTAAATCATATTTCGAATTGGAATTTGCATTTGCCACGGCTTGACGCAGTCACAGTCCCAGTCCCAGAGGGAGATGCTTCAAAGATGGGGATCTGGCCAGAGACATTTGGCTGACACGGCTCTGTGGCCGTTTGTCTTTATGCTAATCAAACATGTTTGTTTACAAAATCCCCCAATCTGATAACAAATGGTGGATGCGACTGCTTCTGCCGCCTCCCCCTAAAAAGAAATGGGTGGTGACCGGTTTCACCTGGCTGAGTTATCGAACCGAAAGGTGTTAACCCATTTAAAATTTTCCGTACTTGAGATATGAAAGAGGTTAATGATAATTTGGTTAAATTAATTGAGTTGGTCTCAGGTTTATAAAGTTAAGAAAGCTTAAAGATTGATGGCTCTTTGATTTTTACACTGGAATGTTTTCCAATAAATTTAAAAACGTGTATGTTTTAAATAAATGGTTATCCTAGCCATGAACATAAATTGAAAGCAATTAAAGCCATACTTATTTTATGAAAAACAAAGCTTAAAATGAATTAAATAAGTTAAAAAAAATATGAAATAAAAATCGAAACCAGTGGAAGCAAGTTTTGGCTGGAAGTCCGTTCCATTGGAATACTAAATACCGCTATTATTTAGTTAACACTCTGTTAATAGCTAACAGTGCTCTGCCAGCAGCGACAACGAAAAAGCCGACCAAAGGCAAAGCCACAAAAACTGAATTTTCCATGCAGCTCACAGCGCCTGCGCGACTGCAAACCGAAAATGATTTTATGCTGCTACTGCTGCTTTTGTTGTTGTTTTTGCTATTTGTTGTTATTTCTCTGATTTTGTTGCTGTTTTTATTGGACTACTCGTATATGGCGCTCGTACGTGGCCTGCCGCCTGAAGTCTGAAGCTCAACAAGCTTCAAACCGAAACCAAAACCAAAGCCGAGCTCAAAACTAAACTCAGTGAGGCTCTCTGCTACTTCACGCGCTGCACAGCTAGAAAATCTTTGGATTTTAAACTTGAATAAGTTGAATAACTTAAGATGTGAATAAAATAAATGCTTTTCTATTTATAAATTAAATTAAAAGTTAAACAAAGTCATTCAAGATAAAATCAAGAAAGAAAACAAACTTAGGGAAGACGAAGTTTATGACCAGTAAGTATCAATGAACATTAATCCTATGACCAGTAAGTAACTATGAGAAGTAAGTATCTATGACCAGTAAGTAACTATGATCAGTAAGTATCTAGGGTATCTAAAAGTATCAGTAAGTATCAAAGTGTTTAAAGGGGACCATGGCAATAAGGAAATAAATTGGAATATAAAATGTAGACCTAGGTCTGATACCACCAATAGCCTCTTCATACATAATATAAATGACATGGTTAAGACTTACCGCAGTAAGGGACACGTCATTGCTCACTTCCTTCCAGTGACCAAGAATTGTGATTTCATCCAAGTGAGCTTCTACTTCGTCATCCAGATGTATTGCATTGGCCACGTCATATTTTTGAGATCGAAGGGTAGTCACTATCACTATCACTACAGATGTAAACACTAGGTACCCCTAGGACAGACTGAGGCGCGCGCGCCCTCAGCGCCTCTATTTATAGTCCCCGAGGAGAGAGGAGCAGAGAAAGTGAGTGTGAGTGCGTGGGAGAGGAGTTGCCTCTAGAGATAAACATAGAGCGAGAGGCAAAGAGAGAGAGGAGGAGAGGCAGAGAGACAGAGAAACAGCGAGCTGATACTTAATCTAACTATGAGCAGTAATTAACTCTGATCCGTAATTAATTATGAGAAGTAAGTAACTCTGAACAGTAAGTATCTATGACCAGTAAGTAACTATGATCAGTAAGTATTGTTCATTGATACTTAAGTAACTCTGAACAGTAAGTATCTATGACCAGTAAGTAACT